GTTCGCACTAATGTTTTAATTATACTATAAGAAGCTATACCTTTCGAGTAATTAGTCAATTACTTAACAATAAGTATCTTAGAATTAATTAAACCCTTAAGTCAAAATGTAATTAATATGTAGTGTATGTATTCAATTGTTTAATTACATTGTTCATCGTTAGACTTTTATGTATATTCCTATATTTTAATGACATTAGAAAACTAAACAGTTCCCAAGTTCATAAAAATAACGCCGAGCCTCTTAACTTCTTATCTTTTTCTTAAAAAAAATAAAAACATACATAGTTGGTAATGTAAAAATAACATTTGTTTAAATACATTTAAGTATAATTTATTAATATATTATATTAATTTTGGAAATTATAGAATTCATCGAAAATACAATTTTACAATTTACTATAAAAATTAAAACTTTTAAAATTTATTTAAAAAATATATATATCATAGTTACACGGGTCTTCATCATCCATACACAAATTATAATTATAAATACGTACATAACTTTAGTAACCTAACCAGACAAACATGTTCATATACTGAAATCGCTTATGCAAAAATAACTAATCTCTAGTTTATTCCCAGTTTATATTTAGAAGCTAGTTTGTAGGATTTTGTCATTATACAAGTATCAAGAAAGCCACGAATATAATTGGAACAATAACAATACAGATTATTTCAATCGTGACTAAATTATTGTATTCTCTACAAATAATATGCCAATACTAATGTTGCCAATAAGGATAGACATGGCAATTTGCGAGTTAATGTTATTGGTTATTTTACTGTGCAATATTGTATACGTGACTATTTTCTATGATGACAGAATATTTGCTTAAGGGTAAAACAACATAATATAATATCGTTATTGGAAACGACCCGACTGAATAGTGAGTAGGAAAAGCTCATAAAATCAAATGCCGGCAGCTTTATACATAGGTATTACTGACGAGGACGAGCAAACAACGTTTTCCATAGGGAAATAAAAATTTTATCACGACCAAAAGGCGCTATGGATGTGTGCTTTATAAATTCATGGCCATGTAATTTTTATCGTAAATATAATAATGTATAGATGTACCTAAGTATAGACGTAATTTATTATTTACTATAAATAATACAAATGAACACCGATTCTACACTTTCAATTATAACATAAACGTTCAAAAATATACCTACATGAAGAAGCATGAGATTTAGGATGTATCCCATTATTACACCTATCTCCATAATATATAATACATTTATTTAGAATAACTAATAAGTTACGCACACGTACTACCGTGGACAATAATACAAAAAAAGATAGGTAATGAATATTAACTACAAATCATACATTTCACTATACAACACATTTTTGAAACAAGAAACAAAATTAGTAAATGTTAGTATTTTTGTTCTTTGTATCCGAATCTTGCCTCGGAATTTCTCTAAGCGTTAATTTGTTTTTTTTTTTAATTGCCTTCTAATAAATATATAAACAACTACCAAAACAAAATCAGAATTTTTAAAAAAATGTTTGTGTTTAATAAACTTGTTAATTCGGAGACCAGTTGTGAAATCAACTAAGAAAATTAAATAAAACCATTCAATTTGATATTACCCGTAGAAAATTATTCAAACCTATAAAACATGCTTATAGCACCAAAATAATGTGTTTTACCACTTTGGAGATGATTTTAAAATAACTACATAGATACTAGAATTAATGGGTCGTCAAATTTATATTCGACTTAATTTGGTTTTTGTTCCAAAAATATGTAAAACTGTGTTGTTTGCTGTATCTTACTCACGGTTATTAATTTATGTTTAGTGAAGCCGATAAAATATAATCGGTAAAATCGGTGGTTTTATAAATTAATAACTATCAGTAAAAATACTTTTAAGGCAAAAAATTGCTCTTTGGCGTTTAGCTAGTTATTTTTATTTCCCTTTATAAAAAACAAATTGTATTATGTAGTACACACCGCAACAAATGAATGGCGTTATGCAGAAAGCAACCAACCCACAAAAAAAAATCGAGATTTTAGTTTAACTAGTGTAGTATAATGTACACTAGTAAACTAAAATCTCGATTTTTTTTTTGTGGGTTGGTTGCTTTCTGCATAACGCCATTATATTATAACTTCGGTTTAATTTTCAGATCTTAAATAAAAAACTAAACCTTTTACATAGAAAAATAAAGAAAAATGTTCAATGGTTTTTAGACAAAAGCAAATATGTCAATTTTGAGGGTATTTCTCTAAACATTAAAAAGGAGTAACTTTTTCAACCTTTGGCCTTACACAGTTTCATTGGTGAATAATTTCCGATTTATAATCTGTATATATTATAAAGAAGTTAATCCGGTGGTTTTCGTTGATCAAAAACATTATTTTGTAGGATACTGAATTGGCTAAAAAACTAGGTATATAGTTAAGTATTACTAATACTTATGCTGAAATCCAATTAGACAATTTGTTGCGTCAGAGGTCTACCATGTCTAATTATTGATTTAATATTGATATGAAAATATAATAATGGGATCACGACGGCATTGACGCCAAGGAAATATCTTTTGATTCTTATTTGTGGATCCGGTAGCTTTCATTGTTGCCAAGTTACAATTGTTTGTAGTAAACTGACAACAAAAATAAGTTCGAATCGACTTTGATTCGATCGATTGCTTTCTACCGAAGTTTGCGTGTCGTTCACCGACCCCAAGTCAATTAATGAGCTATAATGGAATATGCATTACGGTTTATGGAAAAGGGTCGAATTTAATGATATCAATGCTGTAAAATATATTCTAAAAATCGACACCTGCTTAAAATGTAATTTTGAGTCGAGGCTTTGAAATAAAACTTTTTTTTTATCAATCCAAACGACAACAATTTTTAAATATTTTCAAAAATTGTCCATTAAGGGTTTAAAAGTATGTCCATTATTTTGTTAATAGCGTGTTTAAAAAAAAAAAATATATATATATATAAAACCAAAAAATATTTGACATTTTGAAAATGTTTAATATTTTTGCTATATTTACTTAAAAATAAATTGATATTGTAATCCATATTTCTTTCGATTTTCGGAGAAACGTTCCTAATCGTAAACTGTTTAAAATATTAAAGAATTTATTCTAAAAATAAACAATATGCAAAATAATAAAACATAATAACGCCCGTACCTTGGATTTGAGCCGAGAATCATATAATTGTTTTAATCCAGTAGCAACTGTAGATTATGTAAAACGTTTATGTAGTAGGTTAGGGTACACAATTTATATGTACTTTAATATAAAAAAAAACACAAAATATACAACATTGCGATGAAAAAGTTTCGATAAGGCATTAACGAATTTTTAAAAGTGACCGCACACCGACAAAAAAACCGTTTTCAGGTTAAATTCGTTTGTTAATTAATGGGACGTAACAGTTATTTTCGTAGCACGCACTGGCGCGGCATAATCATTTTTACAACGGCTCACATTTTTAAAAATGTTTGATAGTGTCATTATAGTTTTTAATGTTAAAAACAGAAGTTCAAACAAGCTTGTCTCGCAAAGCTATTCCACTGCTATAGAGGAATATAACAATATAGTCTATTGTTGGGGTAATAATAGATTTTCGTAAAATCCCTAAGCACGTGGGTAGTCTTGAACAGTAATCGCTGTTAACGTTACGGGCTTACGCATTCAACGACCTTTTTAACGGCACGTGAATCGATTAAAAACAACCCTGTACATACACATAATGTGTCCTATGCAAACAAAGTGAAATGGCGACAACACACAAGAGTCCAGACCGAAATGCAAACGATAACGAAACCTTTCAACCCACCGAATTTTTAAACAAACGATTATAAAATATAGCGCGAAAATCATCAATTGCGTTTAATTGTGCAATCTAAGTTCGTGGTTTTATGGCACTGCGGGAAAATCTTACATTTAAATAATAATATTATAATAAAAACCATAACTGTCAAGTATCTATTCGCAGCGGAAGCCAAAGAGGTTCGAGGGTTAAGCTACCCGCAATAAAATTAAGTAGGTCAAATGAACCAAGATTACTTTCGTCATAACTATCTTTCGAAACAGCCTTAAAGGATTTTGTATCGATGATTACAAATTTGAATAATATAACAACGCATGACAATTCGCTCTATCAGAAGATAATTGATTCAAAGGCTTCAAGTTCAAATTACATGAGCTAAATATAAATACTATACCCCGTGTAATGTGCTATCAACGAATAATGACCAAACAGTTAATTTCAACAAAATGATTTTATCCCCAATTTTATCAGACAATAAATTTAGCTAAAACTAACTTATAGGACAAGAACGGAGAGTGACAGTATCCAAATATTTTTGAAGTTAGTAGTATCCTTTAAATTGGCCGTATAACATTTGTTAATATAGATATTCCCTTATATTCGAATAACCATATTATTATTTACCATACTGAGTTTAGAGACTATTCATGTGGTTGCTGCCAACATTTATAAGAAACCAATCGATAATGGCTGGGATATTAAAAAGTAAATTCACTACAGTCTACCATATTAATAAACCGTACTGTTCATTTATATCACCGTTTGTTTATTTATATTTTGGTATTATAGTATACTTAAATAAACAGTGAATAGACAGAATCGATGGTGCTGCTGACTCGTATCAGTCAATGCGAATTGGTGATTGGTGTAGGCATGACAGTATGGATGCTATGTAAAATATCTGAACCACTGTAATAATAATTTCATAATAATTATGAAATATACCCCCCCCCCAAGGCCGTAGTACCTCACCCAAATATTCGGGGAGGGTTTTCAAATTTGTAATTTACCTACGTCGTTGGAGTAAAACAATTTCGAGGAAAGCTTCGACCCTCAATGCCTCCCTTCAAAAACGGCCTCTTATGGGACTCTGAAAATAATAGGTGTTACTTAAGTACCCCTTTGACCGTACGATTGCCGCCACTGTTCACTAATTTGTTTACCTATAACGGATCGGTCGTCGACTTACCAGTATCCTGCCGGTGGTAGTCTGCCCGGATATCAGTTCGCCTGCCCAGTCTTTGGCCTCTGTCATGAACGTGCCCTCGAACTCTTGTTTGCCCTGACGCTTGGTCTCTTTCTTGGGCTCGGAGTTGGGACACCCGGGCGCTGTCAGCTCGGCCGGCTGCTTGCGAGTGAACAGGAACGCGAAGAACCGCCATAGCAGGACGATAAGCAGGCCGGCCAGGAACGTGAACACGCTGGACAGCAGGAAGCACCACCATTTGCGGTCGTTCAGGCACTCCGCGGTCGGCGGGGTGGTGGCAGCCAACACCGGGCATAAATGCGAGCAGCACGCCTTGTCCATTGCCATGATCGCTGAAGCGGCTCGCCGGTGCCGGACCACCGGGATACATGAAAGACAACCTCCAGCGGCCACCACACGGCCGAGCTAGCCGCCTGCGATGACCGTGCGTTGTCGCTGCTGGTTTTGTTGTTGTCGTTGTTATAATGACCGGCGTATTGTTTTGATTTTCCGCCGTTTACAGTAAAAATTATTCCGAAACCCCATGGTCGAAAAATACGTTATCCGATGAGATAGAAAAAAAATATATTTTCTTAAATACTTTGATATGACATACGATTTGCAGTCGAAAAAATTCTCGCTTTTACGGCCAAACGACGGGAGGATGGAGTTGGACGGCGTCGGCGGACATGTATGTATAGATATGGGACGACCGCAATCAAGTAGGTACGAATTGACAGTAATAATAATAATAATAATAATAATAATTTTAAAAAAAAAATAGGTATGAAAAAAAAAAACAAAATAATCTAATAAATCGCGCACATGAAACGTTTTCGGCGACACCGTCGGCGGTTAACGAGCGACTGCTGCTTCGGTGGCGGCGGCGGATCGGCTGCTTGTCCCCGGAACTTGCCTGTATATAAGCTTGCCCGTCCCCATCACCCGTGCCCCTCACCCGTCCGTTGTTCTATCCTCTGCTCGTGGCCGGCCACCGCCGACGAGCGCTTATATCTATGTAAGAAAACCGACAACAGTGCGGCGCGCGCGGGTCGCCGCTTTTGTACGTGTGCAGTATTATGTATAGAGCCACACAGGCCGCGCGCCGTCACCGCCGCTGGGATCAATACTGACCTCTAATACCGGACCGGCGCGTCCCGCTCGAGTCCGCCCAAGCGCCGCCGCCGCCGCCGCCGGCCCGTCCGTTGTGTGATCTCTATATAGAGCTATTAATATTATACTACTGTTTATGTACGATAACAACATTACTCTTTCGAGTATTGCACCCTTCGCCTCTTTGCCGGTAGAGAATAGCGAAAAAATCGTTTTAAAATATATTATTTGTCGTTCGAATTTGTCGCGCCATCCCGGTGCACGTCGCCGTCCCCACGAGGATCCCGGGAAAACGGGTCGGGGTCACGGTGACGCTCCAGCAACGGTGACGGTGCCGTTCCAGTTTATCCCCTACCCTCAACCTCGCTATTCGACCTATCCCGACACACAGCATTTAGGCGGGTTTACCGTGCGGTTCGATAGGCAGGTCGTGGTGGCATGGCAAGAAAGCCCACTACAGAGACGGAAGAGGGCGATAATTGGATTTTCACTCTCAAAGTTCACGTTATATTTTTCCCGACCGGTCGGTCGTCGGGTCGTCAAGATTGCCAATTTTTTTTTATCACTTTTTTTTTGGTTCGGTTTCTCATTTTGCGTTTCCATTTCCGTTCGAACCTTTCTTTCGTATCGTCCAATTTCCTATACGAGTACCGTGTTGTGACCTTATCACGGCAATAAACCGTTATCGGGGAAAAGGGGGGCGGGAATGTAAATAAAATAATTTATATACAGCGGATTGGCCCACATTTGGTTGGTTGATTTTGAACGTCGGTTATCCGCTTGTAAGAAAATCGTGTCTGATTATGGTATTTTCTAAAAAAACAATATAAAATCCAAAATTCAACTCGATACGCTATTAGACATTGCATATATATGCAACAAAACTGTGTAGCGAGTGAAATTGAAAATCATTCGGTATAACGCGCGATGGTACGCCGCTGACCTAGATTTATATTACAGTTTACACGGCGGGGTTGAACAATGAAAACGGAAACTTCCATGTGTTTGTACCTACCGCAAAAATAGAACCCCGACATCCGTATGAGTTGTGTAACATTTGTATAGCAAACAAACATGATGTGGTGGATTTTTGTTTCTACCTACGGAACGTCAAAATAAATTGATCGATTGAAAATCCTTCACGTGTAAGATTCAACGCCATCAATGCAAGGTTAACAAATAAATCATACGTCTTACAAAACAAACGATTCATTCCAATTTAACGCCAAGTGATGTTTGTTCAATATTAATAACAAACACACCGACAGGCATAATCTACGGCAAACTCCTCGCTGACAGTGGGGACAATTATTGCTTTTCTACCGACAAAATACTTCAACCATTAACGAGTGGGTGGTTTCTGTCTACCTTCCTGTCGCGTAAATTAGAAAACTCATCTTCTATAAAAGTTTTTAAACATGTTTTTATCACTCGCACTCCTATTTAATCGGTTTAGATTTTTCGTTTTCTTTTGTAACTAATATTGCAACTGCTTTGTCAAAATCTAACAAATGAAGTAGGATAGATTTTTTTCTAAATTCTTAATATAATTGTTTTTGAAAAAATATATTCAAATTTATACCGTAAAAGTATTCCCAGGTATTTCATAATTGTATATAGATTCAAAATTAACTGTTTAATTTTGTTTTATATTAGTTTGAAAATAATATATTTCAGAAATATAGGGGGATGATTCCACCTTTTTGACTAAATTTGGTTACAACTGATATCGCTTAAGATTATAAGTTTAAAAAAACTCATTCGACTTTCAATCAAATCTAATTGACACGCACAATATGTTGACACAGCATATTACGTTAAACAGTTAATATAATATCGACACAAGACACAACATATGGAGAAAACAGATACTTCAATTAGGGTTTCTTATCGGAATGTGTTGTGAAATGTATGTATATTTTAACAAAGACGGCAACACTTAAATACTTTCAAAAAAATGTGAACTTAAATGAAAGCAGGTTTGTTAAACAATCACCATTATCGCCGTATTCATTGAACCGCAGTAACTTATAATGTATTCTATTATTTTACGCGCACAATTTGCTCGTCCATGAGTTAATTGTTAGTACACTATAAGAAACATAATAACTATAGACAATATTTACCTAATAGCTCGTACATGTGTTACTCTAATAAAGACTACGAAATAAAAAATAGCTTGAAAACCGTTCATTGGTTTCATGAGCACACAATTAGATTAGAATCGTACATTTTGACAACTATTTTATGCATTATTTATTAATACTTTAGAGTCTGGAGGTACTCTTTTAGTACTTTAACTAAATTCAATTTTAAGAATTAATGAGCGAGATAAATCAAATATACCTATTTTGATTTTTGGGAAGTATCGTCGCGTCGACTTACAAGACTTGAAATAAACTACCAACTAAAACTAAAAATTCTTACAATGATCATTATGTTTGTAAAATATAAATTATAAAAAAAATTATTAGCGCTTCAACAAAATTTTTTAAAAGATATACCAAAAAACTAATAAACGCCATCTTTAACACACAACATTAAATTTATAATATTTATTTTGCTCTCCAGTAAAATATGAATCAGAATTTATCTTATCCTTTGATTGTAACCCCTTCAATTATTATCAAATTTAAAAAACTTCTTAATATCGTTTGTGCAGACGATTTTCATAGTGTTTACATCTACTTATACAGTATACACAATACTTAAACAGTTTAGGTAAACGTCCCGTAAAGTCATGCTAATCTTATCTGAATACCAAATATTTTAAGTATGCATTAGTGCAGATAGCCTTAATTTAAATTAAGGTTATTCAGATTGCATATTATGTACATAAAAATAAGATGACGAAGTTGCTATTGTATAGTACCATAAATATTATATTATATACTGCAGTGAGAGAGATTATTTTTAATATATTATTTATCTATTAAAAATATTTGAAAAAAAAAAATGTTTTACCGAGTTATCTTTTTTGGAACTTTTTTCGAAAAGTAGCTACGGTCAAAAATTCCGAAAATAAGTTAACTCGGTAAAATATGTTTTTTTATATTATATAAAAAAAGTAACACCTCTTTAGAGTTTAGACACTGTTATAAAAGTATGAAGAATTCTTGATAACCACGTTTTCTTGAACTATTACTAAATCATAATATATATATATATTTATATATATATATAATATTACTGGTATTTAACTTTAGTTAGACTGTTGTTTGACGTTTAATATTATTATCGAGTACCTAGTACTTTAATTTACTTTAAAAGTTGTGTGTGTTGGCAAATAGGCTATAATTGATTAATATAATTTACCTAAGTTATTTGATAATGGTCAAATGTATCGCTAAGTACGATTCATTGATCTATCGTAAACTCATTTATTAATTATTCACTTTTGAAAAAAAATCAAATTGCTTATAAAATTGGATTTTATTGTTATAAATGTATAATTTTAAAACGCACAGTATTGGACTACGCGTCGTAATGAGTTAGTTACTAGTACGAGGAATTTGAAACAATGTCAATAGTGTTTTGATTTTGGTTCTGAGTTTTTGATTTCTTGGTGAAGATCCAAAATATTTCAAGTGCATAATAGTTACAACTTACATGCACCTATCTAACGAAGTTACCCGTGTTTGAGCAATGTATGACCTGATTTGGTGGCGAATAACTATAATAATAACAAATAACAATATAGTGTGTTGACTATTGTTGACTATTAATAAACTTGAGATCCTATTACCGCAATTGTTTATTACCTAAGCGTAGTGACAAAAACGGAAACTGAGATAACCATAATTTACACATTATTCAAATGTAACTGTGAGTATCGCAGGGAGACTAACGATTTGAAAATTATATAATTTTATAGTAAGGACGGGCGTCTAGGGCGATGAAGAAAATAAACAATGTAATATATTTGCATAACATTTGGCTTTGCGATTGTAGGTAATGTCTTTGTTTTCAAATGGGTACAGTAAAGCTGTTACTGAAGAAATGTTTTACTAATATAATTGCACTTCAGTTAGCATTTTCTTTTCCATTACAATGTGCTGTAGTAGTTGAAGCTTTTTAACGATTAAAATGTGTTATTATATTTCGTAAAGGTAAAAAGGTCGAGACACGAGTATAACAGTGGAATGGATATCGATTAAAGTATGTACGGTATAACATGTATATAACTCATAATTGTATATAATATATAAATATAAATATACTATAATATAAATGTATAATGTATAATTGTTTAATAAGTCTTTATAAATAAAAAATGTTTAAAATAGTTAATTACATTTTAAGTGCTAAATGATGAAAACCAAATAGATATAACACCTATATTAAGTAAGTTTTACAAACTTTTCATAGGGGAGTACACGTTCATGTTTTCCGTTCCATATTCCATTCTCCTCGTCTAACTACTATCTTAACTCCCCAATTATCCGTATGTTGCGTATTGCTAATAGTGACCCGTCTTTTTCTTATTGTTAAACAGCCAGTCCAGTTTACCGTGATGTTTTTAAAATGTACTGTATTTAAATTTTTGTAATACGTTCGTCCCGTACTAAAAATAAATATTTTTGAAGAATACCTAGTCGATTACGTTCCATAAGTTTGTAGATTTGGTGTATAGTGTACAGTGAAAACCCAAAAAAATATGGTTTATTCTTTCCTCTCGGCGCGGGGTGAAAACTTTTTTCCTTTTTTTCAATTATATAATTGGTATAGTTTTTGGACTGGTTAAATTAATGATAGATTTAACGTACACACGTGAACTAGTAAAACATACAAATATAAACTAACAAATAGTCAAACTTTTGTTGTTTTACAAAAGAGAACCAAATAACACGATCATTGTTAGTTTTTTATTTTTATTAAAAAAACTGATATTTTATTTTATTGCCTATTATTATTGTTATTTTATATGCATAGAACGATTATTGGTTCCCCAAGCATTGGCAACAAAATAGTATGCTACGTGATTTTTGGTTATCATTTATACAGATAATATCATAACTATATATTATTATGTAATACAGTACATGAAGGGGGCATAACAGGAATAGCTATCATTGATCGCCCAAACAAATTACCCAGGAACAATGAACAGGATTGGAATTAGAGCGTAATAATAAATGTTCTTATCATGGATAGAATAGCGATTTGTCAAACCTCAACGACAAAACAGTATTTTGAATAGCTTTGGTGTGACCCATAAATGTTTTCGTTCGTCCATCCTTGTTCGGTTACAAATAAACTTTTATTTCGGCGAATATAACTCCAAGCCTCATTTAGTTTAAACGCATTAGCTAAGAAAACACCGCAGTACATTAACTGTTGATTAAACAATTTGACAACATTAATCACTTTATTTTACCAATAACGACGGCTTTCGTTAATATTTGTTTAGCTCTTATGCTGACCTCAATTGTCTAAGTGTCCGTAGTGTCACATTATTCAGACCGACCTTCCTATTGGTCAAATATGTAAATTGCTAAATTCGGATAAATCGGTGTCGCTTATTACACAAAATGTTAAAAGGAATACCAAAATTAATTTAAAAAAAAAATTAAAAATTAACTACAGCGCACATGTACACCTACAAAATAGAGATGACGTTATTTATGGATTATAGTTCAAAATTACAAAATTAAATGTATATTCGTTTCATACTACTGTCCAATATTATAAAACGGAAAAACAGAGTTAACGAAATAAAAAAAATGTGCATTAGCTTTATGAAAGTTTGGCCAATTAATCTGTATTACAAACTACAATTACAGTTAAATCTAGATTAATATATCTTTTTTTTTCGCCAAAATATTAATCGTAACATTACGAGTTAAAATAAAGCTTTGCGTTGGAAATTAATTGAATTCCTAATGGAAAATGCTGGGATTAAATGCAGTTTCAAAATAGAGTTTACGGATTAGTAATGTTTCCGTTTGTCCGTTTACGTAAATACTTATAAAAATACAACTTTTTATGAGGACATTTTGAGGCAACAATTTTAATACAAGGTTTTTTAATGAAAGTAATTAAAAATCCTTATTCATCACTTTTAAACTAATTGACAAAACAATTTGTAACTTACATTAAACTTTTATTTTTTAGGTACATTTAACATTATGTGAAATTTATTACAACTGTATTCAATGTTAAAGTTTTAACGCTTAAACATAATGTATTTAATTTACCAATAATTGTTTATTACTGTAAATATTTTCTGAGAAAATTATTTTCACAAAAAAACAGTCTACGCTCCAGTACGGGGTTTGGGGCCAGTATAATTGTCGGTTTAAAACTCGTATTGTGCGTCTAAACTTTTGAATATTAATCATTTTTAATACTTATGAGAAAACTTTTTATGTTCTATAAATTGTATAACATAATCATAACACTTTTTCTCGTCTTTTATTATTTTTTTTTTAACTCGAGTTATTATTCTGAAACTATAATTAAAGGTAGGTGATATGATTAATTACTACTTTTTTTTATTAAAAAAAAAAATACAGTGGAAAAACTTTATTTCCAATTTAAGCAGTGCAGGATGTGTATAAGGAATCGGAGCAACGATCGCCACATCACCTTTATCTTTATTTACCTTTATTTGCATTGTGCAGTGTGTACCCTTAGAGGGGAGGGGTGGGGGTTGCACGAGAGTCACGACTATTTTCAGAAGAGTATACTAGTTAATTTTAAACTGTATACCAAGTGAGTGAACGATATTTAGAAGTCGACGTTAAGGAGAAGAACGATATGTATAACAAAATAAAACTTGGAATTAGCGCGACCAACAGACGTTATTATGCTATGAAAGAGTTGTTAGCATCCGAATTGTTTTAAGAAGAATGCATGTGAAACATAGGCTTGCTCAAAAGGGGACGATGCAGAACTTAATAATACTAAAAATGTATGAATCAGTGAACGACTTGAACTCGGAAATAATTGATTGACAAAAAAAAGAATGACTTATAAAGCGTTGACGACAAACCAAACGTTCGTAATTTTCTAAGAAGTAAAAGACTAGAAAGGACAGACTACGTGTGACGGACAGAAGAAAGGCCGTTAAGAAAACACTAATGGGAAAAGGGCATTAGGGAGATCGCGTTTAAGATGGTTTAACACTGGGAAAAGAGGAGATCACTTAGATCACACGTTTTATCGATTTTGTTCACTGCAAAAATAATGACTCTAATTTTTTGTGAATAAGTCATTATAATATATTTACGACAATGACAGGTAGTTTACAAAATTAAGTAACATTTAAAAATAGTCATTCTCCAACTCAAAAACAATATGTTTTTAGTGAATTTATGAAATACTTTTATAAATTAGGAAAATAAAAAAAATTAAATAACACTAATAATAATAATAATCATATAAGTAACCAGATTCATCAAGAGCCTATTTATGTAGAGTATCAGTCGGAAACCATTATTTCTTTGTTATCGAGTAATGCCGCTACTGCTTGCCTTACGCTCATTTCCCAAGAGTCGAGTATGTGTGAAACAGTAAAGTGAATCGGCATTAACATCATTCTTGATTCAAACACATCTTTGACGCACATAAGAAACGAAGTACCGCCGTAATCGTTTGATGAAATGACACATGCAGGATTGGCAGGTGGATAATTTTCGTAGACAATTATATTGATCGGTGGCACACACGGCAAGTTTTTATCGTCTAGTTGGCATAGTAAACGAATACAAGACGCTCCACTCGGACGTACAGGATCTAAAGATACCTACGATTAAAAAAACAACAAAACTAAATTGAATAAAAAGTTGATATGAAAGTATGTGTATTTTTGTACAATGATTATATTATACCTTGAAACGCTGATCGAGTCTAGCTATTTCTCCTTCTAACGCCTTAGGTATTATACTCTGAATTTCATTGAAGTTATCGGTTCCAGTGTAGGGAGGTGGCGAACTAAGTTTAAAAGATCAAAACCATGTTTTATTTATTTTGATAAGAGACAGGTTTGTATAACAAAATACGTACGCAGGTCGTCTTGGCCCAACCATAAATTCAATACATGGCGCAAAGGTGCGGTGTAAAGTATGATTGAAATTTGGAGATTGAATCATTGAGCTGATCACTTCTATAAGTGGATGAACTTCTCTCATAGCAGACGACGGCGGTGGCGGTACACTCCCACCTTCGCCCTAATGTAAATACTATTTTAATGTGAATTTATGAATTTACAATTTATTAAGTATTAATTACTCTGCTTAAGTCTAATTTTTCTAAAGCAATTTCACACTTTAACAATGTTTCCAAAGGCATCCGTTGGTTAGGCGATGAAAGAATTTCTAATAATTTCTTCATCTTAGCTAATTTTTCCACATCTAAAAATGAAAATTAAGTATCTAGAAAAACTTTAGGCAACTTATGCTTATAATATATAAATTATTATTTAATGTCAAGAGTTGCGCAAAAATTATTTGAATAATGAACATCGAATAACTGATTTTTCAGTGACTAATTCATAGATTTATAATTTTTTATTCATAAATAAATAAAATTATTCACAAATTAAAATAATTATTTATGAATAACGAAATAATAAATAATGAAAAAAATTAATAGAGAAAAGTATAAAACGCATGAATAAGTTACTTAAATAAAAATGTAATAAACAATACCCACTACCGTTTAAAATAATAAAAATATATTACCTTCATTTCCTATTCGAGCAATCATTTTTCGCAGTGGCTCAATATATTTACTAAGCTGTCTAACTTTTTCTCTGTAGGCGATATCTTCTTGGGCCAAAGGACTTGGACCAGCATTCGAAGGATTCAACGGAGTATTTAAAGACGGGACCGAACTACCAGGAGACGGAACTGGACCTAAACATATGATCTTACTTAAAAAGTTATAAGGAAGAGTATTTAACTTATTATATTTATTATAAGTATATTAACTTATTTCTAAAGATACACCATTCTTTACATAATTAAAAATTACCATTAATTTAACTATTTTTGTTACTTAATATTTATTGCCAAATTAAGGGTTCAACAAATGCAGTACACAGTCAGGTACTGCAGGTACTTTAGCCAAGTTTTGTATAGAACTGTACTGAATAATTCATAACCAAACCTTAACTATATCTGAGGTAGTATTTTGACAATTTTATTTAGTTTACAAAAAAGTTTAAAGTACAAATTTTAATTGACTTTAAAATACCCTGATTCTAAGAAAACTTATAAAACTTTATTTGATAATTAAAAAAAGGTTTTTTTAAATACTTTAAATATTTGAGAATATTGAAATTAAATGTTGTAATCGTCGGGTGGTCTAATTTGTATCTTCTATTAAAAATATTTTAAATAAGCAAGAGAGAAACTTAAAAAAGAATAAGGAATAATGAAGACACTTGACGACTGCAACATTAAATTTCAATACTATTTTTTAATAATTTAAAGAAATTTAAGTATTTCAAACAATTTGTTATAATTTTTGAGTTTTTTACAGTCGGATTTACTTAAATTACACAACATTTATATTGTTGTTAAAGATTTATTTATTTGTAGTTTGTGACTCATTGGTCTAGGACCTAGGTCAAAGTATTTTTTGAAACAATTTTCACTTTGAATTATCGAAACTCAACTGTAACTCTAAATTCTTACCAATTGACCTAATGGGTCCAGTCATTGAACCGCTTGGAGTTAACTGTGGACCACTAGGAGAGGCAATCATTTGGTTTCTAAAATCCAATATAAATTAATATATATCAATAAATAAACATACATATTTTAATGTTATAAGCAATTATTTAAAAAAATAATATTTGATTTACCCCGGAAGTACATTTACTGGAGACTGTTGCGGTGACGAAGGGCTATGACTGAGAAACTGGCTAGTTCCCACAGATCTAGGTGGACCGCCAGCATAGCCAACATTAGGTTGATTTGGAACCATCATTACATTGTCTGGGGCATTTGGCGTCTTAATATATATTAAATGTTTTGTGAATTTCAACTTTTGTATTATATAATCAAATTTTTAATAAAATAATTTAAAAAAATATTTCACAATACTTTTCTTTGTTGCATACGTCCCATCGGGCCCGGTTGCATATTATTAGGCATCCCAGGCATCTGACCCGGCATTTGTACAGGCATTCCTTGCATTGGAGGCCCGCCCATAACTGAATTCATCGGCATCGAAGGGACCTGACCCATCTGATTGTTCATAGGCCCGGGACCTGTATTCTGCATCATCGGTCCTTGACCCATTGTACCTTGGCCCATTGGACCTTGACCCATTGGACCTTGGCCCATTGGGCCTTGACCCATTGGACTTTGACTTATCGGTCCATTAGGTCTCAATGGTGGTCCCTGGTTCATAGGACCCGCACCCATTGTCATTTGGCCTGGCAATTTATTTTGGGTTTGCGGTCGATTGCTTAACGTTTGCAACACTATAAATATAATAAATGTTCAATGTAGTTATAAATTGTTTTTAACGGTTATTTTGACAATTTAATATATATTTTATATACTTATAACTATATTTTCTAGAGGGGTTTCTACTCAAACATTGACATATCTTAAATAAAAAAGTCGAGCTTTCCATCTATTCACTTTTCAAAAATATTGAAATGGTCGCAAGAACCGAAAATTCCAAACTATTTTTGTAAAATTATTTTTTATGGTAAAAAATGGTTTGATTTAATTGCAAATATTTTTATTGTTAAGTATGGGAAAAACACTAAGCAACTTGTTTTACTTCAATCCTAAGCGACCACTTTTTAGATGTGTAAAAACTAAAAGAAAAAGGGCGGACATGAAAAATGTTTAACTTTTGAATTTTTAGGTGGGAACAATTGGCAACTGGCGTGGAATGTCCTATATATTAATCATTAATTGTTTAGACAACCTAGTGTTCTATACTAAAATACCTACATGTGGTCGCATTTACGGTGCCTGGATTTTGATTTATATTCATCATTTGATTACCGGCTCCTAGAATAAATATAAATAAAATAATGATTAAAACTTACGGTATAAATGCACTTTACAGGACACCCTGTTTTTTTTTCGATTTCCCCCCCCCCCATATTATAGTGGTTTTTACGCTGATTGCAAATCTGAAGTCAGAATTAGGCGGACTCCGTTAGTTCAAAAGTTATAGCTAGTTGAAATTTGCATATTTCCCCTATGTAACTGTACCTTCGTAATCCTTTTTTTTTTATGCCGGACACGTGACATGGCTTCAAGAGCCATTTTAAACCGCCTTTCCTTAAAACCTATGATCTCCCTCCTAGACTGTAGCCTACAAACCTAAGATATTTTTAGTTAGCTGAGCGAAGCGACGGCGCCAACCAGCATAGCGAGCGAGTGCCAAAACACTCGGAGACCTGCCGTCCTTATCAGTTATCACCGCCGCACTGCTATGCTGCCGCCTCCCGACGGCGCTGCTGCGTACTGTTACATAGGGAGAATATGCAAATTTCAACTAGCTATAATTTTTGAACTGACTTCAGATTCGCAATCAGCGTATAAAAATATATTATAGAAAAAAAAAGGGTGTCTGGTAAAGTGTATTGGTTTTAAGCTAATAAACAAATTTAATAATCATAAGCTTACTCATGTCTCTTCCGCTAACGTGTAATAACAAACGGGCAACAAAACTCAAATACTCATCCTAAAAATAGTTTAGAATATGTTTATGGAACAGTTAAAACTTAAAATTATGTATAAGAAATTGTTGGCTTTTCACTTCTATACTTAATTTTGTAATAATAAAACATTTTATTGTAACAATTAAATATTAGAGAAATGTCAACATTGATACAACATTGATTGATACACAAACTAATACCTTAAACAAGTATGATATGTTTTAGACAATACTGTGCAACTAATACAAACATATTTTATGTTGTATTAGAATAACAGGAACTTACTTTGCTTTTGGCTTTCATGAATACATGATTTTCCATTTCCAAACTATTCTTTGTTGTAGGCATACCAGATTGAGAGATAGCTTCATCACTAAAATATATACAAGGATATTAAATATAACAATTTATTTTATTTACAACTACAAAATTTTACAGTAAATATCTTACATTTTGTTAACAACATTTTGCCGAAAATTTGGCGTGCGCCAAGTGTCATCGTCGCTCATGACAGCAACAGTCTGAAATGCAATATCACTCTTGAAACCTAAAATAACAATACAAAATCTCAATGAATTTTAAAAACAATAATAATATTAATATTTATATTATATACAGTATTATCTTCAGTCTTACTCACAGTCAAACACTTATGTCGAACAAAGTGAGCTCATATTAAAAGAAAACAAATTAGTTAAGGCAAGCGTTTAAAAAACAGTATAAGAATTTAATGTAATAACAGATAAACCGAATATTAATTTACTGCCAACAAAGTGGTACACTTTGTGTGACAATAGTCAATAATAGTGTACAAGTTCAGAATTTCAACAGCAGTTAACAGATTGTTGTAAACAGAAGTTTCAATTTGATTGAAATTGTAACGTGTATGAAGTTAGCCATAAACGAGCCAGCAATATTTGATAACAGAGAGTGTCATGGCGTTGGTGTATGTTGTGTTGCCAAACTCTAATTATTCTAAGGGGCAGTCCATATATCCCCCTATACCAACGATTATTTTTATACGAAATCAACTTAATTAATTAAAATATATACTAATTATCGACAAAACAGTAAGAGTATATTATTTAACTAAAAAAAAATGGCACTTGGGGTTTTGTGGCCACCAGGAGCCGCCAAACCTGTGCACAAAAATATAGCCAACCGACCGAAACCGGCGGCAGTTATGTCAATTTTTGACAATGTTCCGGAAGATGTCCCCTCAATTTGATTATACCAATCGAAAGCTTACTAAAATGTAAAATGTGAGACGTCGGGCGCGGCTACAACGATCTCTGGGATCCGTGAATCACCGCCTCTACCCGTTTCTTGTAAATATCAATTACAATTAAAATAATATGTTTCAAAAAGATTTCGTAAAGATTTTGGATCGAAATTTTGAAAAAGTTTTTCAGCCGAGTCTGCAACCACGAAAGAGCATTTTCATGCCTCGTTGAAGTACCGAATAAATTTAAAGTAGTGGTGGAATTATAGATAGTGATATAGTATATTAAGAAGCAGTAACAAGCTAGTATATTAAAACATCAAGTTTCTGGGTAATATTGTAGTGTTTAAAATCTGGCTTAAAACAATTCATAGAGAAATTGGGCCCTTAAACTATTTTGAATTTATTATTTAGTTCTAATTTGAACGTTGAACGTACAACATATCTCTTATCTCCTATATCTTTCTCTATCCCCTACCCACTAGCTCCCACTCCTATCTCATATCAATGGGTCGGCGGTCGGCCGCTTTTTTATTGCTGGGTTGGGTTCGGCAGCTCCTGGTGGCCGCAAGACCCCCGGTGCCAACTTTTTTCATAGAGACGAATTTTTAGACATTTTAGTAAGCTTTCGATTGGTATAATCAAACTGAGGGGACATCTTCCAGAACATTGTCAAAAATTGACATAACTGCCGCCGGTTTCGGTCGGTTGGCTATATTTTTGTGCACAGGTTTGGCGGCTCCTGGTGGCCACAAAACCCCAAGTGCCATTTTTTTTTAGTTAAATAATATACTCTTACTGTTTTGTCGATAATTAAAATATATTTTAATCAATTAAGTTGATTTCGTATAAAAATAATCGTCGGTGTACGTGGATATATGAACTGCCTCTTAGAATAATTAGAGTATTGGCAACACAACATACACCAACGCCATGACACATTTTGTTATCAAATATTGCTGGCTCGTTTATGCCTAACTTCATACTCGTCATAAAACATGCCAACTGCAAGACGTAAACAAAAAAATGATAACACAGCCGAAAGATGATAACGATAAGACATGGTTTTAACTGCATACCTGGTAGAATAATATTATCACATAATATTGCCTTATACCGTTTACCGCTATTTACAGACCATGTGAATAATATTACTACACTGATAAAATTCAAATTTATTAGATCGTAATATTCGACGAAATCTGTTCAGGAGTTTCAAGCTAGACGTTAGTAATTAGTATATTATTATAGGCACCTAGTGGCTAATAATAATATTGTAATTTGTGGTCTGGGTTATTAAGAAATGCCAAATGTAGTTAGTTATTAAATCATAATAATCATCGCATTTAAGTTAAAAAGATTTTTGTTTTAATCACTGATTGGGTATTACCAAAACAAAACGTTTTGTTGTTTTAAATTATAGTTTAAAATTTACAAATCTTACATTGGCTCGAGCTATGTTTTCCTATACAGATGTAATAGAATCTGATGTTTTTAAATCTATAACATTAATAAACACTGTTACTTGTGTGAAGTTTGTTGGTTGTTATCTCTTCGCTGGCAAGTTAAATGAATATTTTGTTAATAAAATAGTGTTGAAATTAATATTTGGTATTATTTCGTAGGTGTAGGAAATTGCTTACTTGTTTATGACACTCGTACAAAAAGTCTGAGTCTACGTAAGAAAATATTTGATAAAGCCTCCATACACGGTATTCAAAATAACAATGATACAACATTAATTGCTATACACGGAGAAAATTATGTAGCCATTCATAAATTAACTACTCATAATGGTTTTTTGTAAGTAATTTGTGTCTACATATTATGTAGGAAATATCTGTGAAATAATTGTTATGTGTATTATGTTTTTAGATTAACATTTGAGTGTATACTACAAACTGATGATTGGGTTTGTAATATTTTGTGGTTAAAAGACAATTTATTATTATCAGTATCGTCTCATAATATTGCTAAAGTATGGAATTTTAACCTAAATAAAGAATTAAATTCGTCAAAGTGTGATGAACAATGTATACTGTATCCCTTAATATTACTTTACATATTTTACTAAATTTGAATTATTTTTTAAAAGTAATCAATTTTATGAAATGCTGTTAAATATTCGCCTTATTAGATATTTCATTGTCAATATTGTGCTAAATCTTTTTTTTATGTATAATTATTGATTACTTTTAATAATACATTTATTTTGTATTGTTTTTTTTATGCTAACTATTATTCCTTAATACAAATTATGTAGATACTCGGCAACATCAGTGGGAGAAGACATAGATAATACTATAATATTTTCAGGGACAGTATTTAGAGAAATTGTAATTTGGAGTCCTTTTAGAAGGCACAATTGTACAAATATTTTACACAGGCTACAAAAACATGAGGTTGTTATATTTTATTAATTATGTATAAAGAAGTTTGTCAAATAATGATTAATAATATTTCAGGGTGTTATATTTTCAATATATGTCAATAAATCAAACACTCTTCTAAGTTCTACATCGGACGATAGAAGTATTGTAATCTGGAATGTTGAAACATCAATAAAATATAAAACATTGTACGAACACTGGAAGAATGCCACTATTGCACCAAAGTATTCGTTCTATGCACATAAAGCGAGAGTTTGGAAAAGCATTTTATTGACGTCTGGCAGTGTTCTAAGTGCTGGAGAAGTACTCTTTGAAATTTAAACTATTTTTTAATTTATACTTCGCTTTATCTAAAATTTAATTATGTAGGACGGCCAAATATGTTTAAATTCTTTATCTTCGATTTATCAATGGGAAGAAAGTCGAGGTTCTCAAGTTCGCAGTTTGGACTATTTAGAAAACGAGTATTTAATGGCCAGTGGATGTACAACTGGTAGTGTAGGACTTTGGTCGTTAGATTCTATACCGAAATGTAGTGTTCTTGACGATTATAAAATTTTAAACCGCTATCCAAAACACTTAGTTATTTTAAACAACATTTGCACCTTGGTACTTTATTCTGATGGACAAGTCGTTGAATACAAAACCACTATTAGCCGTGATGTCTACCAAAATGATATTTTGTGTTGCACATTAACAATGACTAAGTCTCCTTGTGAACGTTTAATACTTTTTACAACTAGTAGTGGACACATAGTAATTTTAAATAGTGAGTATGTTAACATTAACATAAATGATGTAGTCTTTACGACTGCATTACTGATTGCTATAATCCTTGTCATAATAACGTTTCTGTGTAAAAGCATAGAAATCCTATGCGATCGCCAACCATTTATGCTCACAGGCATGTTATTGTGATGTGGACAGTGGATACCATTTTATTATTTTTACTTTAAACTGGTTATATTAAAGATATTGGAGAAAAACATGTTCAATTTTTTTATGATCAAATTTCATCAACAAAAATTAACTGTTCTCTTTGGCTGAACAGTAAAAATGTAATTACTAGTTCGGTGGGAAATACGATTTGTTCATATAAAATTAATGAAGGTATGAACATATTAATTTTATAATGTATATTGAATAATACTAATTTTAATTAAAATGTTTTTTTTTAGATTTAAAGTTACATCATATAGGAACATATAATATAAGTTCGAAAGCAAATATTTGGATAACAGCGGCTGTGCAAATTGAATCTTTAATTCTTACTGGTAGTAATGAAGGATCTATTTTTGTTTTTCTTCAAAACCAAAAGGTTTCTTATTTGAATTTTCTTAGTTTAAATTTTATATTTTATTCAAAAAATATGTTTTAGGAACCAATACAAGTGTTTAACAAAGTTCATAGCTTTGCCGGTGTCACTGCAATGTGGTTTCATGGTCAGTTTTTAAATACTTTAATTGTTAGTTCAGTTGGCCGAGATGGTTGTCATAGATATTGGAGCATATCAGCCGAAACTAACCATATTTTTGAAACCCGTTGTGAAATATTGCCCACTAAATGGCCATTCCGAATTTACAATACTCGTACAAATGGTCTATTAATTTGTGGCTTTAAGGAAGTATGCATTTCATTCATTCAATTTTTTACATAAATACCAATATAGTTGTGCATTTAGAGTTTTCATTAATTATCACTAATATTTGTTTATTTTTTGTAGAACAATTTGATTATTTATAGTTCAGTTGAACAAAGAATTCTCGCGAGTGTCTTTTGTGGTGGCGGCCACAGAGCCTGGGATCTGACCTTTGCTAATAACTCTACTGACATTTACTTTGTGTGTAGTTCTGCAAGTGGTAAATTGGAAATGAAAAAAATACCGTTGAATGGCCAGCATACGCTCTTGGTAACTTTTTTGTTTAAATATTTTTTATGTAATAAAACTAAATCAAATGCTGACATTTAGTTGTACCGTATGATTAATTTTAGAAAGGTTTCCATTCAATGATTATTAATTCAATGTCTCAAATTGATAATAATCTTATGGTAACAGGCAGCGATGATACGACTGTTCGATTAACACGGTTTGGACAAGAGTTGAACAATATATTAACACTTCGAAGTCATATATCATCTGTTCGCTCAGTTTCCTCTCTCCAGTTGGAACCTGATGTGTATGTTATTGTAACAGCTGGTGGCAGGGCTCAGTTAAAAGTATGGATCCTAAAAACCGCAGACAATGGTAATTATTATCGGCTAACTAAATATTGACGCTTTAGTAATTTGATTTCATTATTGTAGACGTTTATTGTGAAGAATCTGTTTCTTATTTACTGAAAACAAAGCATGAAAAAAAACCATGGAAATCTAAACCTTCAAATGAAGGAGAAACTCGATTTATGGATGTATGCTTGCAACTCACTAAATCAAAATCAGTATTAATTTCTGTCGGATGTTCTGATGCGATTTTAAGGTATTTTTTATATATTTTAAGAAATGATCCAGAACTAATGCCTATTTGTGACCCCTTAGTATGCATAACAGAAGAAATAAAATCTATTTTTTCCCTTCTATTATTCGTTTTGGAGGAATTAATATTTTATTATTTATTTGCTCCAAAATAATAACTTGAGTAATGTAGAAATTTATATTTATTTCGGAACTAATAACATAGGAAACTAATACATGTAATTTTCTCCGGAACATTATTGCAGAAAGGAGTCAAGTAGGCATTAAAACATAATTTTTACTCTTTAACCCTTTAAAACTAAATACTAGTCCAGATTATGATTTTTACTATAGACTATAATAATGTGAAATATTTTTTATTTATTACAGGCTGTATAATTTTAATGTAGATAGCAAAATACTGTGCCCAATTATAGAAAGTGCAGATTGCAATAATTGTATTTTAAAAGTTCTAAAAGCTCAGATACACATGACCCACTATATACTATCAATGGATACTCGAGGATATGTTTTGTTTTGGGACATTTCAGTTTGCATTAACAACAACAGTGAATCGCTGAGCAATATACTTCCTGTCTATAAAAATAGTTTCCATCAGTCAGGCATAAATTGTTGTGACTGGTTAAAATTAGAAAATGAATACAATTTACTCACTACTGGCGGCGATGACCAATGTATATGCTTGACAATATTCCGTTTAGAAAATGATACTGTGGTGTTAGGGTGCACTTCTTCTATAACTGTTCATAATTCTCAAGTAACTGGTATGTTAAAAATTGTTAAGTTAAAATGTTATCAAATTTATAATCGTCATTTGCCATCCTAGGTGTACGGATATTTGACACATTTGTCTTAAGCACTTCCGTAGACCAAAAAATCATATTTTCTTCGTGGCAATTCAACGCAACAACGAATAAAATAATAATTTCCTCACTAGCGACTTACTTCACTACAGTTGCTGATATTCATGGTTTTATTGCCCAAAAAGAAGGGTACGTAAAAAACCTATTGTTTTTGTATGTGATGTTTTATTGCATTTAAGATTTTTGTATGCATAAAAATCCCGAAAAACCTATATTTTTGAGTATATAGTATATACCAAATATTTGCTAGGCATGTAAAAATATAACTTTTTTTTTGGTTTTTTGCTAACTCCCAAAAATTGACGTTTTAAATGCTACTTGCAGTAAGCTATGTATTTCCTACTTTTCAGCAACCAAATTTTCATTTACATTTGATTGTGTGTACTTTACAAAACATAAACATTCATAATAGGTACATTGTAAAATAATTATACTGATAAATTTCTGTTATGAATCTATTGTGAATTCATATTACTGAGGGGGAAGGGGAACAAGGGGCACATGTCACCTTTGAAAAATATTTAAAACCTTGAAAATTGAGGCCAACCGACCCTTGCTTATGTACAGGGTGATCCAGCATGAAAAGTAAGTAATAGGTGATTGGACATCTGGAGAACCCCCAAATAAGCCTCCTGTTTTTGTTAAGTCAAAAATTAAAGGTTTCGACAGTTAAGTAAAAAAATAATGACTTTAAAAAAAAATTATTCTGTGTTATTCAGTGCAAAAAGCTCTCACTTTAAAAGAGGGGTCACATAATTTTCAGTCCTTTTTGGCCCCTTACCCCAGAAGTTTCCAACCTTTTTTTAATCACGGTAGCCTAAGGTAATTTCTAAAAACCTGGAGGCACCCTATAGTAGTATATCGTGTATTTAAAGTGCTATTTTTAGTTGAGAATCTTACACTGAGTTTCGTAAGCTTGTTTACTTTTAGTTTTTGGCAAATCAAATTAATTCTGTGTCTCTTTAGTTGACTTAAGCATTGTATAGTAATAGCGTTTTTAATAAGCTCAACATTTGTAGAAAAATCTAAAAACATTTACTAATTCTATGTCAACGATATGATTTTACTTGTGGGTAAGGGCTAAATCACATTTGTAAATATGCCATTTCAGTGTTATTTGAAAAAAAAAAATTTTAATTAAAACACATTATTCTAAAAACCATACCTTTTCTCAGCTCCGCATCGAAGCTAATATAGGTTTCAAAATCATTAATGTATGTTATGTATTATTTGAAAAAAAAATTTGTTTTGTAACACCAAAATATTTGAAGACCAAATAATGAGTAAAAAGATAAAAGTGTTAAAGTCACTTTTTAGGAGAAGCATTAAAAAAAATTCAAAACAAAAATATATACAATATTTACATGTTTTTATATTGTTTAAACTTTTAGAAGTTTTAACAATATTAGGTAAGTCTATTTTTTTTTCATAAGAAAAATTAAACTATAGTAAAAATGAGTGTTTGGAATAATATATTTATATGCACAAAATTGTTTATGCTCTTGTCATATTGGTGTTTGAATAGAATGCCAGGCTGACTTTTATTTCTTAACATTTTCTTCCTATTGATTTTATCAAATAAACGCTATTTCAAAGGATGAAAACTGAAGAATTACGCCACTGTTTATATTGGCTTCTATATTGTTGTTTGTTAGTCTGGTGTGTACACAATATTAGAACCGTTGAAATAGAACTTTCATTCTTTACAGTTCACTGCGTAGGTATATACTATAAATTATAATATGTATTTGCTATTTTTCAACGTCAACGGTCAATGGCGGTTAGCTGCGACATGCGTCATGCGCTTGCGCTATACGTACATAATAATATAATATTATTATCATCGGTAAACGTGTTATCTGGTGTTATCATTTTATTTTGTATGTAATATTATTATGTTTTTTCAATGGTATTACGATAACGTAATTTTTATTTTATTACACGATATCTTTGACCACTTGGAACTCGTAAAATATCACTAACTCGGGTAAGAATACTGTTTGACTTTAAAATTGTTATTGTGGTAATACTACTATTCTATCTAGCGTCAAAGTATTGTACCAGAGTGTCTGACAAAGATACTTTATACCTATATAATATCTGTACCACAGGTCAAGACATAACGCAAGTCCAAATTTAAAAAAAAATTAATTACGTTCATAATCAAAGTATTCATTTAATGTTCATTTCGGAGGTATATAAAGTTATATCCAATATTACATAAATGCACAGAATATAGCAAGTGGTAAACTAACATACGTCCTTAACAGTTAACTGTAGTTGGAGTATTGTAACGTATTTCCATTTTCCGTTATGATAGTTTTGTCCGAAGTCAGTAATGTAATACATAATAATATTATTGAAGTATATTAATGCAAGTCCATTTATGATAAAATAATCTAATATCTATTTATTTTTGTTTTGTCTCTGTAAAATTTGCTTTTTGTGACATACGTTATTCGACCACTGTGGTATAGATATTAATACGCTAACACAAGTTAAAAAGAAATATATTTATATTACAAGGTGAAAATAAGCATAAACTTAAAATAATGCCATACTGTAATACTTCCTCACGTCGCATTAAGAGGGCGTCGCACCGGTGATTTTCAGTGGTAAAAACATGTTTAAGCAGACTGAAAATAACTCGCTTAATTTTGGTTTTAGAGTAAAAGCACCCATTATAAAATTAAAAGAAAACAATATTCCGAAGGGCAAGACGGTGCGTTTTTAAAAAAAAAAAAATCATTTTTTGAAAAATTACAGTCGTTTAAAAATGTTAAAATAGTCGTTATTTCTAATCTATGTACTGAGCGTTATACTTGGAATACTGAAAAAAACGCACCGTCTTGCCCTCCGGAGTATTGTTCTCTTTTAATTTTATAATGGGTGCTTTTACTCTAAAACTAAAATTAAGCTAGTTATTTTCAGTCTGCTTAAACATGTTTTTACCACTGAAAATCACCGGTGCGACGCCCTCTTAACAATTTTTTATTTTATTAGTGCACAGCTGATATTATTTCTTCTGTGTATAGTCAATAGTGTATACATATTTCTGCGTTGAGCCACACGTCATCCCCACTGAACTATATACACTTATAACTATATACAGTTATAACCGTGTAACGGTCACATTTAGCCGCCCGTTACCACTCGCCTCCAAATAAGTATTATTAGAGCAGTTTACCCCGATTAACATGTAAGACATTATAGGTAGGGGAGACAACAGACACACGGGACCATGCCAGGGGCACCGATGCCCAGTTAGCTGAGATACTACCATCTTCGGATCGCGACCTAATTATTCTAAAGCCATTACTTATTATTTCACGTTACCTTACTATTTTATATTTCTTTTAACTATACCCGTATGTACTCGTGTGTCCGTTCAACTCCGCCATTACCTGGACTAACTACAGAGAACGCTTTAGGATCCAGGTAGAGGTAATATATATTATGTACGTAGCTTTACTTATTAATTATTAATAAACCTGTTTTCGTTTCGTTGCACACTTGAGAGTTAATTTATTTAGAGGTACGATCGCCTGTTAAGCTCCTCAGGCGATATAGCAAATATATAAAGGAGACTTTAGGGATATATAAGTGTAGATTCGGCCTAGACATCCGTCCCGTCTTCGGGTCCACTAATTTAACCCTATCGACTGTCGTTTCGGCCTAGCCAAGCAGACACGTTACAATTTGGCGGAGCCGCCGATTTTCGTTAGTCTTACTTCAGGGAGGGGCCCTAACATTTTTTATGGGAATAGACTGCGGACACGACCCCTTAAAATTGTACCTGCTATTTTTAATGAACTTTCAGGTTGTAGAAAAGTAAATTTTTTTTAGTAAGTATCAAATTGCATTTAATATTAAAATTTATTAATTTCTTTTATAATATTTGGTTTAGATTTTTTTTTAAATTATTATTATATTTTATTGAATATTACCAAGAATTCATTATGACAACCCCTATGATAGCGAACTTATCACCTTTGCCCTAGACACTTTTCACGGTACAAGCGACGAATCTGTCAATGATTTCACTACCAAATTTGATAGGATAAAAAAAAATTAAATAATTGGACGGATGAACAAACCTCATTGTACTTTCCATTTTATTTGAAGGGCACTGCAGAATCTTTAATTTTTTTTATTCGAAAAAAAAAATACTAATTTAACTTGGGCCAATATTAAAGATGAATTTAAATGTGACCGTTACAACTGTATACGGTTCAGTGATCATCCTTAATGATACTATCTGTTTTGGTTAACTGCAATTTTGATGGTAAATTTAGTGGCGCGTATGGCTTTTAGCTTCGATGTGAACTGGAAAGTATTAGTTTTATAAAGATGTGTTATTTTTTTCCTGTCTAAAGAGACGATAACTTTTTTCGACATCGCATACAATTGGTACTTTGTGAATCAAAATTTTAAAAAGTTCCCAAAACCAGGAAAACCCGAAAAAATTGCTCCGCGTAAAACGGTCAAATCGAGTGGAAATAGAACATTTATTAGGCATGCCCCTATCCACACGGCACATATTTTGAAAATATCCCTCTCTCCTCCACGGGAGATGGAAGTTTTTTAAGTTTTTTAGACCTACTTTTAGAATTTAAAAGTTGAAAATTAGGCTGAAGGTAGATCTAACTTTTGATCATAACATAAAAAAAAATATGTCGGAAATTTTTGCCCCTCGCCTCCTTTGTCAAAATCGCCCCTGTTAATAAAATCGATAGAATGTCTCAAAAATGCACTTCTTTTAAAAATAACTTTTCACTTTTAAGTAAACTATATATCATATTATATTTAATTAAATATAAACTTAGGAATGACGTTTTTATATTATTTATATTAAACATCATTGAGTAATAATTCAAAGAAATAAAACCCATAAATTGTTAATTTCTGTGTCAATTGTTCGCAAGAGGGAAATATATACATATTTTTTTTATTATTTATTATCCAAATAGAACTCTATAACATTATGTACGCCCTATACTTTATGATATTGCTCATTAGTAACTTAAACTATAACCGTAAAGGCATACCATTTTTTTAAAGTTAAATATTCAGGCTGTTTATTTAGGTGTATGTATTTCTTAAAAAGAATTAAAATATAAATTAATTATTTTTTTTAATTTAATAGTTAATTAAAATATATTTTTAATTAACCTTTAAACCCCTTTGAGACGCAATTTTCGAATTTTCATTAAGTAAACATTCGAAAATAATATTTTAAAATATAAAATGATAACTGCAAAGTAAAATTATAAAATTGAATTTCTCTTCGTTAAAATGGAAAACAAAACATGCTTGCCTAGCAATTATGGTAAATATTAAAAATAAATGGTGTAATTAACTGAAATCCATCTGTCGAAACTTGCGTATATATTATTTGTCGTTGTAATATAAATAAAATAAAACATAAACAACGTATGAATACACGCTTATATATTTACAAAAATTAGTTAGGTTTTTACCACCTGTTAATTGTAAATAATATCTTGCTTGTTATTCCTAATAAATAAATACATTTTACAATATACTATGACAAATTAACTTTCGTCGTCTATAGTTTTTACGAGCATAAATAATATAGTTCAACCATCTGTAATTACATTAATTGTAAATGTCAAAGAAGTAAATAAGAATATCGAATTTTTATTAACTTGTATCATTTGATTAAAATTTCTACAAGCACACGCATTATTGCTATATTAATCCAATGTCACGGTCGTGAATAAAAAAAGCGTAACGAACGCGCGACCCTGTACAATATATTACTTGAAACTACTTCCCATTTAAACTGTGTTAATATTACTGTTTCCTTTAGACCTCTGTAACTAACGATCCGCAAAATCGATAAACATCTAATTTGTCATGAAGTTGTTAGGCATTGGATGATCTGGCCTAGTAAACATACTATTTAAGGATCGATCATTAAAAAATTTTAATTTTCTACATTCTCGTCTAAGTGTTCCGAAACCATGTGAAATATCTAATAAAAAAAAAGGTCTGACAAAAACAATTTCCTATTTGGACACCTATTGTTTTAAATTAATTGACATGCCTATTTACGATTTCTGAAATACTAAACAAATGTGTTTTAGCAAATTGAGAATAATTTAGTATTAGGAAAAAGGACAACACATTTTTAGGGTTTTAAAGGCTAGTACAAAATGTAAAAATTAAGTAAATGTTTCTCATGCACTAATTCACATTTGGAGGGCTCAAATATCGTAAAACATATTATATATAATTGCGAATTCCATAAGTACGTTCTCCATAATAATGTTATGGTATTCTCAAACGATGATATTAAGCCATAATCAGTTTTGTTCATAATAATAATTATAATTACAGTATTCGATAATATTATTCAATATTTTCTATCAATTTGTTACACATGTTAACTACGACCATGTCGTTTTAGCTTTTTTTTTTATACACTATATTATTATTACTGAACTTGTGTGTTCCAGTAACGTGGTCCGAACAATTGTTTACGGCCAAGGAGTGGAAATGTTTTGCGCAGATATGGATCAATTGACTGATGTACGTATACGGATTAAAAAATATATTATTTTAGTATGCGTTTTTATTTTATCAATGACGTTTTTTATTACGTTAAATATGATGCGGAGCGATGACTCCTCCTTGAGAGGCCCTCCCTATAAATACAGAGAAAAACTGCTCATTAATGTAAAAACTGTATCGACAGCCGTCGCTGTGTGTGTATTGGTGCTCGCGCAATACTTGTATTATTATTATTATTATTATTATTTTTTTTTTTTTAATGTCTGACTTAAACCGGCATAATAATATCATGGTAAAGTTTTTGTACGTCGTTTGCTTATGTAGTCTGGTGGATCGTTTGTATGCAGGCAAAGTGAAAGACACCGTTGGCTTAAAGGCTCGTTTCAATAGGGGAAAACTACCATAACGGTAGTAATAACAAGTTTTTTTAATTTCAGGAGCCGACGGTTGAGCGGTGTACCGAACCTCTTGAACTCGGTGAAGGACCTCACTGGCAACAATCCACGCAGAGCTTGTATTTCGTGGACTTGCACAAAGGATCTATTCATCGATATCATCCCGAGACCAAGAGTCATTACAAAGCGGTCATAGGTATCTAAATACACATTAGAAAATATTTTTACCCCACTGTGAAAGAAGAGGAGGGTAATGAGATTAGATATAATCTATAAATATGTTTGTTTGTTCACATTTTCCGCTTAAACTACTGAACATCTTTTAATGAAATAAAAACTAAAAATGTAATCTGTGAATTCCCAGAAGAGTTCTAATTTAGATATAATTATCATAAGATTAAGTATAGTTCCGCTAATCCGAAAAAATGCCATCTCTAAATCTAAGGACTTACGTGTATCACAATGGCTAATTTCAGCATTTAAATGCTCAATTTCTTTCTGTTATTATCGAATTTATCCTGAACCATTCAACATCAAATAAGACCTAAAATATTGTATTTTTTATGTTTTTCGTTAATTTTTCAATAAGGTTTTTAATAAAACCGGACTAAGTACAAAAATTACATTTTTTAATTAGACATACAATTAATTTAATATAAATTAGTATTTCACAAAACTAGTGAGGACAACAATACTATGTATGGTAGGAAGGAAACGTCATCTTTAGTGACGATAAATTAACAATAACTTTATTGTATTTTTTAACATTTTACAAATTAATGTTGACCATTGGACAAGATGGATGAGAAGGAAATTAAAGTAACCAAACGAGTATTTTACGTCTAAAATCTATACGGATGTACTGGTTGAGTATAATTAGAAAAATATTATAATTAACAGATGTAGTTTACGAGTGATGCCATTGAAAGAAAACAAATTCTTTGAGATCTTTTGGTAAAAGAAGAAAGACGAAAAAAGCTGTAAAAAAGTTAAGACTAGAGAACAAGAAGTAGAACCGGTGTAGAAATAAAAAATGCCGGATTCGATTAACAGAGACTTATTAATGAAAATGCATTTTGAAAATTTCTTTTGCTTGACATTAATTTGGATATCTTATTAATGATTACATTCTTTTTTTTTTAGAGGGTTACCAGGATGTGACGCTCGTTATACCTGTCGACGAGAAACCTAACACGTTCGTGGTTGGATTAGGCCCTTCGATAGGAGTTGTGGAATGGGACGGTGTGGCCAACAAAACGAGCGCACCATCGTACTTAAAGTTGGTGGACACTAAACCTGGAAATCGTCTTAACGACGGGAAAGCTGACGCCACAGGCAGGCTGTGGGTCGGTAAGGAAACATAACACTTCTTTAATCGTATATTAAGTAATAAGGAGGGTGTATATTAAGTACATTGTGCTATTGCCTAATGTATTTTTTATATATTCTGTCAGTGCTTATCTGGGTATTGCTCTACGTATTGCATGTTGTTTTTTTTTAAAACAAATTTAAATAAAACTTTTTTTTTTGATAAATTTACATTCGTGAGGTCAAGTGGAGTAATGGTAAGAAACATAGGCAAATGTTAATGCAATTATTTGTATAGCATAAATAGTCGGGACATTGAACCTGAATTAAAGCCATACCATTATTAAACCAGAAAAATTCCAAAACACAGAACTAAGTACCTAAAATAAAACAAATTCTCAGTAAAACCATGACATCAAAAATCTAATTGTAAAATAGAAAACTATCGTTTTAAAGTTTAAAACCGTTTTTCAGGGCTATAACATCCTACGTACAATTTAAAATTAAAAAACTTAAAAATTAATGTTTTTAATAAAATTGTTTTTAAATTATTATTCATAAATACAACTTTATCCGTATAAACTAAAAAGATAAATTTATATGAAATGCCTGTTATTATTTCTGAATGGAGTCTTAAAATACACTAATACAATGTAAAGCTACAATTTTTAATTAACTGTTCTATTGACTTTAAATTTGTTAAATCATTTTTGGTTATTGTCGGTTAACGTGACTACTGAAAAAGAACAGAGGCAGGTAGGTTGGTGAATTATGTATTAAATAATTTTAAACTTAGTGTACCTACCTAAAAATAGGGGCTTATACAGTTATAGTAACCTGTAACAGCCTAACGACGTATTAATAGTAGTTCTAGTATTTTACTAAATGATGTTTCGGAAAATAATTGGATAAAAATTACATACAAGATGATTTGCAAAAAGCCGATTTCCAAATTATAATAAGAGTAATTGATTAATGGGGTACTAGGAACCTAAAATAATAATACAATTTTGAAACCAGGTATTCATTATCACAATCAAACGTTTCATACCCAAAATCCCTACACTAAATAATATAACTTCCATACGATTAATGCTAATGTTTTCAAACTTTTTGAAAACGTCTACCGAAATTCTTTGAGTTTTTTTTCAATTTAATTTCTTAATACTCAAAGCTATTTTATGACTTGGTCCAATATTTTTACTAACTAACACATTTGCCGTTTAATTGCGTGTCTTTTGACAATAAATCGTTGAGTCGTTTTCTTGATATGTTTGTTTCCTGTCCGCCGTACTTATTCCCGGTTTGTTCAGGATCTATGGGTCCGGAGATGGAAGACCTACCCGGACACTATCACAAGTCAAGGGGCACGCTGTTTTCGGTGGAGCTGGACGGGTCGATCGTAGTCAGAGTGCCGAATGTCAGCATTTCCAACGGACTTGCGTGGAGTTCGAACAACAAAGAGTTTTTTTATATCGACACGTACAAATGGGCAGTGGTCGGTTTTGACTTTGACATCACTTCCGGCGAACTAGGTGAGTGCCCTATTGCGTTAATCGACGACCTCCTATTTGGTTATCATTAATGGCCGTTATTGTTGGATGTTTAACCGTTTGTCTGTCTACCGCCGCAGCCAATCCCAGAGTGATTTTCGACTTGAAAACCAAAAACGTTTCTGGCGACCCCGACGGTATGACTATCGACTCCGACGGAAACTTGTGGGTCGCTTGTTTCAACAGCAATCACGTAAGTGCTCGTCTTGAGTGTGTCAACATTTTGTATACTTCCTTCGACGTGGATCAAAGAAGGTATCAGTTTTACAATAATGTGCGGACCCACGATAACCCGTTAGCCACCGGATCGATTTATTTGTGTAGCAAATCTATAGGTTGGAAATCGTACCCGAAAGATATAATGTCAAAAACAAAAAAGTTTATCCCTTTCTATTAAATAGCGAGAAAAATACCCTAAAACTGTACTTATATTTTGGAAAATAGTCGAATTAGTTTGGGATAGTCTTTAGATTAGATCTGGTATAACTTCTTAGCTTGTAAACATTTGTCAAAAATCTGTATTCAAACTTTATTTTTTTAGAAAAAAAAACACAATATTTCTTTTTTTAAATTTTGGTGATTAATTAAACGTAATGCTCCGTTTTTCAAAAATTATAGATATTTATTTATTTATATATTATTAAAAATATACATACTAATTTTTACAATATTTTGAATTTCTTGATCGATCAGTCTAAATTTGTAGTAGATTCTTTACTAAAAAATGTGTAAAATAGTAACCGTTTTTTAGGGGCGGCTATTATTTAAAGTCGTGGTGTCGTGGCCGAGAGGGTTACCGCGACAGTGTTTTTTCTACGCACTAGCCGTAGTTCGAATCTTGGTCGCTGGCCGTTTCTCTATCTGGGCTGGCAATGGGAAACCACCGCACCATAACCATTTCCCCGGAATGGCAACTCTTGTCTCTATTGGAGCAAAGAGTTATCTAAACCAACCTGTTAGGTTGTAGACTAGAAAAAAAAACTGTTTAAAATAAAATTGAAAAACTATATCCTCCGTCTGCACCGTGGTGGATTTTTTCTCAGGCCTCTTGTCTTTGTTTAGATATTGAAAATCAATCCGTCCACCGGTAAGCTCTTGCAGTCCGTCAAGCTTCCGGCGTATCAGATCACCTCGGCCGCATTCGGTGGACCCAACATGGACGAGCTGTACGTGACTACCGCCGGTTACCAGTTGACTGACGAGCAGTACACAAGGCGCCCGGATTCTGGTTCGTTGTTTAGAATTCTGAAAACTGGCTCGACGGGTTTCCCAGGCGTTTCCGCCAAAATCCACCAGTGCCCCGAAAACCACTTGCATACTGTTTAACGACTGTTTTACTACACTTTACTGTTATTGTAAATACTAAATATTTATAACATAAATATATTATTTAATATAAATTTGTTGTTACGTTGAAGTGAAAATAGTGGATGTTACTTAAATTTAAATATTGAACAATTTTAAGTAAAAAAATGTATTGCACTTGATTTATTTTGTATTAATAAATTAATGATAAACACTTTTATAGAAAATAAGATGCTTCATATTAAATATGTTTGGCTAACCATGAACGAATACGGGAATTATTACAATGAATTGAAAGCAGAAATAGATAATATAATTGGTATATTATTCTAACATTATAAAATTATAATAAGACAAATAAAATTACAGAAAACAGTCATAATGAATTATTTTATTTAAATTATAATTATTTATTTTTAATCTCAGCAGAAATGTTACATTTTGCCGTTGTGTACCTATTGAATGTTTTAACACTGAAAGTAATCTCGGGGTCATACCTACAGGAATTTAGTTTGACCGGAGCTCGTGATATTCGATAAACCATTCCCGAATAACTGACAATCGGAATGGCGTTTAAAGGTAAACAACAGTATTTATGTACGAAATAAGTAGATTATTTCTAGCGAATATCTTACTTTCCATTAAAATCTGAAATGATATGCGCGCCGTGGAACAATAACAATAACCATTATCACGGAAAATACGTCCGCTTATTAAGGTGGTCCTTATTTTAACTTTTTTTTTTAACCCCCCATCTATCTATTTTTTTAATAATCTTTTCTATTTTTAACAGAATTTACATTACTGCTAAGACTTTGCATTTGTCTAGGGTTTTAACATAAATTACTTGAGAATGCAAAATTACATTCAAATTCCGGCGAAAACACCTTAAAAAAAATTTAAGGATGAATATACTAAAGTATTTTGGTCCGATTGAGAATTACTTAATTATTATTTTTATTTAAAATAAAAGTGATTATCATAAAAATATATTTGACATTTCTTAAGACAAAAATCGTTCTTCTTACAATTTTTTTAGGTTCCAAAAAAATGAAATCTAACAAAATTTTAATTTTATATGAAAGGTATTTGAGTGGGTTAGAGCACTCGTTCTCAACGTCCAATTCTGTTAAAATTTAGCATACGCGCTTTTAAAACATACCTAATAAAGAAATCCCTTTATGATATAAATACAAATTGACCTACCTACTACCTATAAATTATTTACTAACATTTATGCAAATGTACTTTATCTAACTGCCAAAATGTGCAAATATTTAAAACTACGTATTTAACATTGTAGTTTTTCACGAGTCATGCGATAAGATTACATTGTTATATTTTATTATAATTTTACCAGATTATATTATAATTATAGATTCGTTAAACATTATTCACTATTATTGTAAACTATTATAAATAATATGTGGGTAATAAAAAATAAAACAACGTATAGAATTCGAGTCTAAGGAAAAATGAAACAATTACTGTATAATTGTTTGATACATTTATTTAAATTAATTTATAAAATATCTATTCATGAAATTCTTTAAAAGTATAAGACTAATTTTATTCGGAAAACGATGAGGTTAAATGTCAATAACATTTTTTCGTTTTATCAGTACTCATACAATGCATGACGTGAGCGGCGAAAGCATAATGAGGGCTGCGAGTTGTTCTTTCGGTAGTGCTAATATTTATTTATTAATGATTTGAATAACTGAAATTGAATTAGCCTATGTAGTCGAAATTTTGTCTGGCTTTTGGTCTAAAATAAACCAAAATGGCTTTTACTCAAACAAACAATTATTTAAATTAAAAATATAACCTTGAAGGTCATATATTTCCTATCCTTTGTTCTTTAATAAATAACGCTTTCTGTTCTTCTTAAGGTAAAATTTAAGCTTTCTAAAAAAGCCGACGAGGAACCTTGATAAAGTTCTCCTATTCTTAACTATATTTTTTTTTATGACCATTTCGCTTTGACCTATACGCTTTTCCATAAACTCGTTTTTACGATTATTTTTAAAGGGTATGACGTCCTCTAATAGTATACATATAAGGAGTTGTAAATATGTACAACATTGTATGATCTGTATGTCTTATTGCCTATACTATTTTGACATAACTTTTTTTTATTCGAATTATAAAATAGTTAATAAATAATAATAATTCTGAATTTTTTTCTGCAACTCCAACTAGTCTTAGCTTTAACTTCTTCAACCAACAAATAAAGTAGCCAAAGTTAAAATTAGGGGTTTGATTTCAGAAAAAAAAATGTTATGATAAACATTTTTTTATATTCCCCATTTTTTGTTCTGATAATTATATATTAAATTTGTTCCAACTAATAACTATAAAAGTATAACAAAATAATTAAAATCGCTTAAGTTATTGAATGGGTAGTTAACCAATCATCCGGTAGACCATTCGCATCACGCGCCTAAAAATTCCGTTTTCTATGGCAATTAAATTGCCAGCTACTCAAAGGCAGATAAATTATACATGGTTGAAACTATAACCTACAATAGCGGACTTAAAGGCGAAATTGGGCAATTTTCATTTTGAAGTCACGAGATCAACGATTATTACATTGTATAACTATACAATGTGCGAATCGGACACACCAGACTAACCCATGGTTATCTAATGGCTAAGGAAGAAACTCCTATATGTGTAGCTTGCGGTGTAAGACTGACCGTGAAACACATATTAACCGAATGCCTCAAGTACGAACAAGACAGACAAAGGATTGGAATCGACGCGACACTTGACACTTCACTAGGACCAGAACCCGAGAACAATGCCAAGATGATCGACTTCCTAAAATCAACCGACTTATATAACTTAATTTAAAAATTACACATTCTCTTTCTTGGCTCTTAACTATTAGAATACGCAAACTTAATGTATACCCATTGTAAATAACTTTTTTCCACCACATCTGTAACTAATGGCCATAGTTGTAAAAAAAATGATCAATAAAAAAAAAAAAAAAACTATACAATGACATTGCAAATAAATAAAGAGCGTAAAATTTGAAATTTTAATAAATTACCTTTATATTCCATTTCCATATTAAATTAATATTTAATTTTGAAAACTAAAAAAAGACAAAAATGCTTTATTTGTCGCCGTTTACGCGATAAATGAACAACGTACATGCATTTGCTGACGAAAATACATTTCTTATCGGTAATCGTTTCAATATAGGTAGGTACGCAAAATATTATATTTGATATCAGTATGTTATAGACGGCCAATTTGTCAACAGAATATTAAAATGAGAAAACTTTTATTTTCTTAATTTTTGACGCGCTAAATATGCATTCCGGACCACTGTGCGGTGTATTCGTGCAAATATTCGGTGTTCGTCCTCTTGCCGCCGATTGTCAGTAAATGCGATACGAGTCAAAGGGATGCCAAATATTGCGTGCCACACATTCGGCGAACAGAAGACCCGTGTGAACCCTAAAAAACAGCCGAGCCAAAACGTACTGTAGGTTTATTTTTCGCTTGACACAAATTCTTCCGGGTTGGAATCCTGACCCTCGAGTTAGCTTTTTTATTACATCTAATACATAATGTTTTATTACACGCTAAATCAGTGTGGGAACGGCGTAGACTTTTTTTTGACAGAAAACGTGTTGTCCGTGACTCGCGGTGCATTTTTGTTTTGGGTCATTGTCGTTATTAAAAACGACCGGATATTCGACGACTGACGGCGGGTCGACGTGCTCGTGTATGAAAACGGTCGACTTGAACTAACGTTAAACAAGCACATAGGCAATAGATCTAAGCGGCGACATCAACCGGTGTACACACATATTATTACTATCATTTGTTGACTGTATTAAGACGTTCGCGGTTCGTTTATGCGCTAGAAACGTCACTGGTAAGTGGCCACGTCAAATAACATAATATTCTATATCTAGAAATAGCCGCGCTATTTGTTATTTTAAAAGTTGTTTGGTTTATAATGAAGAGAGAGAAAGACTAGCATTGCGCGAATAACGGAAGAATTTAGTTACCTACTCGATAACATTTTTAGTGATTTGTTTAATATGATTTGTTTTACTATTTGAGAACTAATAGATCGAAAGCCTTCAGTCTGGAAACACCGACGTAATCTAATCTATATAATACTTTAACATTATTAAGCAATTTGTTATATTATCACATACAGCAAACCCATATTTTTAATATTGCCAAGTAAATTTGACAGCAAATCGTTTAGCAAGTATGAATAATTCGAATTATCCGTTTCGGTATGTTTTATGAGTGTGTTTAAATTAGTTTATATTAGGATTAAAGGGTATATTAATTTGTAGCAAATCTCATTATTTTTGTTATTTTGGTGAATTTAAAACATGTATTACTATCATTTGTAGACTGTATTAAGACTGTATACTGACTCGTGTATTCTTAGATGTTTATCAATCTTACAGTTCCCTCTACTTTGGTACATTCGATGCTTCACGACCTAGGGGTGTATCCATGTGAAATGCCTTTGATATATCAAGACAAATTAAATAAATGACATCGTTTTAGAACAATCGTACAATTGTTTTTCAACCGTTGCCACTTAACAAATTGAGTCGCAAATGAAAAAACGTCGCAATTGGTCATACGCCACAGCAACAACAATAAATATGGAGTCAACGTATATCACTTCTGTCATTTAAGTGGTCTCATACCTTTAAGTGAATTTTGTTTAAAAGGGATGAATAGTTGGTACAGTGAAATACAATTTTGGGATTTTGACTTATTAGAGTACACGTATGTAAAAAAGTGTGTTAATTTTGTCGATTAAAAAATATGTTTGCACGGTTGTTTTCTTATAACTTCTTTTATGTTCTGTAAAATAATCCATCTGAAATTAACGTTAAAAAAATGAATAATAAGGCTGAGTATCGTAACAACGAATGTATTTTGGAGAGGTTAGAACGCCGATTATAACAGATAAGATTGTTTTTTTGGAAACGTTCAATTTCGTTTACGCATACTTTTTTCTGATAAAATGTTGGGTGTAGAACTTTTCTATTTTAGTCACCAGTCTTGATATTTATTCCATTAAGACAGAGTTGAGCAAAATACAAATAATGTGACAAGTAATAAATAATTTGTTATTCATGAAAAACTATTTTAAGTCACTTTAATTGTATGTGTTTATGTTAATGACGGCTAACGCGATTGATTAGTATGCTGTGTCGACCGGCAATACAAAATTTGTGCAGCTCACTTTATATTTATTATTTTTTTAAAAATAAAATTGTTTATATAGATAACGTGCTAAAAAAAAATAAAACAAGTTATTTAAGATAATATATGTGTATAAAATATTGAATATTATATACTTGCATATTATCTATAACACTAAATCTTTATTGTTTACGGACAAAAAAAAAAAATTTTTTATTTTTATTTTGCAATATATTCAATCCAGTCCAGGTCTATTTGTAGATTTACAAAACCTCTGTATACTTATGAAGTGTGATATGACTCGTGCATATCATACTTCAACAGCCAATTATTCCGATTTAGTATTTTTGATGTCGAAAATTAACGTTGTTGACTTTCTTCTTATTGTAATTTCCTATAATTCACTATTTCTAAAACTTATTTTCTCAAATAGAGTATAAATCGAATGTGTTATTGAAAACTGGTGGCAAATTAGTTTTAAACTTATGGCCGTGATTGCCTTTGCAAAGAAAACGGAAATATAAAACCGTCTTGAGCGACGAAGGAAAAATGACAGTTGCCGTCCGTTGACCGAGTGGTCTAGTGGCCGACCAACGGTATAATAATATATAACCACAGACGGCAGGTAATGCCATTTTCAGTCACTGTCATTCGAAGTAGGTACACATTTAATTATTTGACCCCACACATACCGCTTGTAATTGCGTTATTCTTTTTTCTAATCTCCTATCCACCTTGTTTGTTGTGGGCTTATTAAATTTTACCATCATTTGATTTCCGTAAAAGGAAACAATATATTACGACCACCTTCGCACCTTGGCCACAATGTAGATATCACTACTTTGATAGGCTGGCTTTTTTTGGGAGGGGGTCTAGAACATGGACCTTTTTCACTGTTACGTTTTTGTTGGAGTCTATATTTTATTTTCAAATTCAGAACTGGTATCAGAATAATAATTGTGGAATTCGTAGTTTTTCTTATACAAAAATGAAAAAGTATTAGGTGTTCACAACTTTGGAAGCGATTTAAAAAATAAATGACGTGTCGGAGAAAATATGAGGCTAGATTCGGATTAAGAAAAAAAAATCCCAAGTATACTTGTATTTTGGTTTTTAGCTTCGATGTTGTTTAATCGTGTTGTACAGTGAGGACAATTATTATGATTTTGATATTGCACAGCACAACTCGACGGGGACGAAAGAGGCCTTTTATGGAATTTCAATATAGATTTATAAATTATAGTCTTTGAATAATAATTATTCAAATACTAGCAATGTTAGTTATTATTATTAATTATATATGTTTTTTACGCTCGAATCTAATTTATTTTTGTCAAATGTTTTCATGATACATAAACGAAATGTCATCAAAAATTAGGTATTATTCTAATTTTAGTGTCGACCTACATATCAGTATAATAACTAGTATGATTTGTAAGCAGTTTTTTAATCTATTTTTAGTTAAATACACGTACATATGTTTTAGCTATTAGAAATTAAGCAGACGCCCTCGTTAAACTTGTTTTAAAAAAATGTACTCATTAATTAAGTATACAGTTACGACGGCATACGATATCAGCTCGGTAATTACATTAGAATTTACGTTTATTGCCTATTTCTAGGTAGATATATATTTATCTTACTAGTAATTTAAGTCCAGCGATTACTAGGAAAGAAATGTAATTGCAATAATGATGTTTAGACGGGGGGTGAAAATGTTGTGAAAGAAGCATAGTAACAGTAAACCTGAGATGTTTGTGTAATTTGCTCATTTTAGATGTTTTTATTTAAATATTTATTTTTAAACTATACATCCCCAATTAATTCGGAGAACTATAAATTATCTTCGTAATTCTCTCATTATCTGTTTAATGACCATAGCTAACACCGAAAAATGTTTCACTCAGTTAAGTTGAGTTACATTTTAATGTCAATATTTTTACTTGCATTGTATACTTATTGTAGACCCGAAAGTTTTTTAGGTAATATATTATATAAAATTCATTTATTTCAACTAATTACCGTTTGATTATAGATGTTAAGTTCGTCTCGCTTTTCTAATAATTTAATATATCGCCGCCCCGGTAAAACAATGACTCAACTGCAAAAATCGAAATTTTGCATGAGAACAAAAAAACCAAATTATTTTCACTGAAGTGTTATGGGATGTAACTTAAATGAAATGGGAAATTATATGTTTTCTTTGTATCTGACAAATTTGAATAACTTTCAGATATTAAGTGTTTAACTATACGATTTTGACAGCTTTAGCCATTAGACAGAGACAAAGGTGTATTACAGTTTATATTCTCGAAAGTGTAGCAGGGCCAGGCCGGTTGTTAAGCCATGCAACCTAATTTGCAAACGGTCTACTTAAAGAATACAAATTAACGAGTATATAAAAGATAAAGGAGAAAATGAATTGTACTTGTTATCGTCGGAATTAATATTCTGCGCGGTAACTGTTGGTTATTCCTTGGAGTTAAGCATTGTAGTCTTTCAACGCGATTTCCGAGTTTTTTTTTTTGACAGACTATGGTTTTTGTATTTTCATTTGTCACGCCCGGAGCACTGGACAAAAAAAAATTCACTACAATATATTATTTTATTTTTTTTTTGCAATATTTGTTGAAAAGAATTTCATCAACATTATCCTAAAAGCTGTTCATTTCTGTTGTGTACGCGACAAAAAAACACACTAATGTAGATAAACACAATATTATAATAATTTGAATAAACATTGTAAAGAAAAATGTCCAATCAGTCGGAATAGTTAGAAGAAATAGCGACATTAGTATTGTTAATGTACTGGCACATTATATTATTATAGTAGCTTCATATTATAATATAATATAATAGGATTTTTAACGATGTACCGTTCGTTAGGCTTGTAGTTAAAATAATTGTTTTTTACCTACCCATAAAAAATGTTCTCCTCCCGTCCGTGTTCCGCTAAAGGTCGTGGCCGAGATAACGCAGGTAGGCTGTTGGAAGTGGTGTTAGGGCAAGACCTGCGGAAACCGGTATATTATGACTCGGATCGCTCACTATAATGCCGGCTTTAAACATCAGCTTGACAACCAATCTCGTGTCAGTCAATCGGTTAGTCGGTTAAAACAACAGCGGCCGCCGGTAGACGTTTCATTTTTTTGTATTTTTGCTTATGTCCCAAAACGTCTTACAATTTTCGATATTGTTATCTATTCGAAAGCCCGCGCCGAATTCGGTTTCCATAGAATTTTGTTGAAATGTCTTCGCCGCCTTTTATCGCGGTCGTGGTTTTGTTGACACTGTATTTGACTCGTGCTACAGCGAGACCGAAAGCAGCTGATGGACCGTCATTCACAGGACAGTGCGGTTACGAAGTAAGATTGTAAAGTTAATCGGCTAGGAAACATTTTTATTTAAATTATAAATATTCCCCCCACCCCCTCAAATTTGACATACCAAATCAAATCAAGAAAATGTGTTAACGTATTATGAGATTGCCTTTTAATTTGAAATAAAATATTTTATTAATGGCAGCTTATAATTAAAAAAAAAAAACATAGTATATATTAATCTTGCAAAAATTACACAGTTATCGCAATTAACAAAAAACAATTACAAATTTTATAATTATATTTTTGTCAGAAATGTAATGGCATAAAACATTTTGTTTATTAATATTGTAAGAATATTTACATTTTTCTGGCAACTGGAATATACGACCAAAAACCGTTATTCGTTTTTATAATTCTGGGCTAAAACAAATTAATATAATAACATTTTGATAACTAGATTGTAAAATAATTAAAATTATAACATACATTTATTCATTTCGGTTTACCACTTGTAACGACAAGATCGAAAATATAATAATGATTATCTTTCAATCACTGGTTTTCATCTCATTATCCGACCTAAGATCTCCACTTTAATTTTTTCACTCATGTGCTTGAAAATATTTTGATTCATTCGCTCCAAACCTTCAGATTTTTAGTGTCATCCGTCGTCTTAACAAATCTAATCAATAACATATTTTTTAATTAAAAAATTAAAACAATCAATCACAAAAATTACTGTAAATTAAAAAAAAATATAGTACGTTTACATTTGTGTTTAACAACATTTTTAATAAACATTTTACGTTTATCTTCTTTTTTTTGGTCACGGCTGTTGTGCCCATTCCGACAATATTATATCCTCTTTCAATCCTTTCAAATCTTCGCTACCTCTCTTCTATACCAATTTTTTTACTCGATTCTGAAAAATATGAAAATCTGTATACATATTCATAAAAATATATAATCAATAATAAATGATAAACAAATGTTGTTTTACATTATCCTCTTTGTGTAGATTTAAGTGTCAGATCCAGTCGAGTTTAAGAGGTAACCAAGCTGAATAATTTTATAATGTCTTTCGGTAATGAGTTTTTATCCTGTGGATACGAAAAATGTTATTGCTCAACTCACAGCATCTGAAATTAGTTATTATATTGCATATGACAGATATAATTATCCTGATATGCGTATAGTATTTATTTACAAAATGTTGATATAGTGGACTCCTCGGTTAATTTGATTCGTTCATTTTAATAAAATCATAAAACAGCTATTAGACAAAAATGTAGTTAACGAGTTTTTAGATAATCTATAACACAAAATATGTGAATTTGCTTAAACTGTCATATTTTAATTAAGCTTTTACATGATCAGTAAACAAATAAAATTGTTTTTAAATATAAAATAATCATTTAAAACAATTCTTGCAATGAAAAATGCATTTTTATTTGAATAACTTATTGAATCAGCTATACAAATACCATATCAAGGTATGGTATAACACCGACCCAATAGCGTTTTTACGAATTTTAAATACTTAAATAGTAAAAAAAAGTATTATTATATATTTTTTGAATATATTTGGTATTTATTTATTTAGCGTATAAACATTGCTACATAGATTAATAATTAAAATAATCATTTAAATAACAAAAAACAAATGGTATAAATTAATGAATAATATGTTTGGATATTCTTGTTTTCTAAAACATTGAACTATGCAAAAAAAAAAAACGGAAATTAATATTAAACTATAAAAAAAAACCTAATCTTGTCCATACGATTTAATTTTTAATTTTTAAGTTATAAAATGTATAAAAACTAATATGTTTAAATTTTTTTATTCATGTATTTTTAAATATGCAGTAATCATAATAATACTATTGGATTGTATTATATTATTTATTTAGTTAAAACACAATGTTGCGAGAACGTTGCTTGTACAATAGCAAAAAATAATAAACTATAATTTATACTATTGTTACAACTATGATTTAAAATGAACAATAACACTTAACCAATTGTTTCCTCTTACTCTCTTCGTAAATAATTTTAAAGACTCAGGGGTGACTATCATAACTATCATAAAAAATTAAATTGTAATAAACATATTATATATTTCAAAAAATAATACTTTTGACAATTTTGTTATGCTTGAAATTATTATAAAATTAGACAAATCTATACTAATATATATAATATTAGTCAAACTGTTGTACTTTATATTATAATAATTACAAAAGTGTTCAGTAAAATAAATCCATTTAGTGAGTATATTATTTGTGTTGTTAGGATTATTATATTATACGATTGATATAATAAACATTAAATTAGGTCATAATTATACGTTTCCCGAGGTGTATATATATATATATAGTTGTATATACGCATAATATGTATATGGGGCTTATTTAAACATTTATACCTATATTGTTTTATTATCTTTTGACAAAAAAAAACCTTTAGCAGTCATGTTTGTCATTGACATGTAGAAGTGATTGGACACTCTATGATTATTGCATTATGTGATGTAGGTTCATTACAGTCAAATAAAAAACCAGGGATTGAAACAGTTATTTTTTTTTTACAAATGAGTTCAACTATAACTATTTGAAAAAACTCTCATTTATAAAAATTATTTTAAAACTTTAAAATTAAAGTCCTAGTTTAAAAAAGTTTTAGTTAAACTTTTACCTTTTCCCTCTAAAATAAAAGTTATATGTACAAAAAAATACTAATGAATTCCAGCGACACAGGAAATTATTTTAACGTTAAGTGTAGAGAAACATAATGCAAAATGTTATTTGCTATAGTCGTTGCCAAATGAATATAAAAATGTTTTCTCATTATGGTTATACATATGATTGTTGTTAAATATTTGGTTGCTTTTTCATAAAATTGATTGTGTTTAAAATATTAAACTGTCACTTATACTATGAAATTTTGATTACATTTATATTACATTGATATAAACCTAACATAAAAAGTAAATATTAGGAAATTGTAAAATACAATTAAACGCGTCATACTCTTTAATTTTATCAGTGATCATCAATACTTTCGCTGTGTTTTGATATGAACGAAATACATGTCAAAGGTTTGCGACCTCAGGAAACAAATCGATATGACCTAATTTAATGTTTATTATATCAGTTGTAAATAACAATCCTAACAACACAAACAATATACTCACCAAATGGATTTTTTTTCTGAATACTTTTGTAATTATTACGCTACAAACCGTGCAAACAGTAAAACTAATATTTGACACAAATATCGTTTTTACAAGAAATAAAAACAATTATGTTGTACTTTTAGCTATCGAAAAGAGTATTTATAAAGATACAAGTAGGAAAACATGTTTTTTTTACACTTTTACGCATGTGCTTTAACGACATAAAGAATTTAATTTGTTGATGGATAATGCCTTAACAATAATTTAATCTTATTAATAATATTACAAAATAGTATATTATATATTGATTTCATAACATCATAGTTATTGTAAGTTCTTATTATTTATCAATAGTACTGTATATACACTTATGAGTTATAAAATTACCTATTTTTAATTTTTCATGATAAATTTAACTAATTGTAAGTTAGGTACAAAAAGTTATAATATATAATGTTTAATTCTAATGTTTTTTCAATATAGTTTTTGTAGCATTTCAGCTGTACTACTGATGTACTCTTCCTGGCGTGATTCGTTATTTAATAAATTAACTACTGATTGAGTGCAAATATTAGGAACGTATTTGCTAACATTTGTGTCAGTGTATAACAAAAGTTAATACTCAATTGTATTATATGATGAGAGGCGGGCTGGCTCAATGAGACCGGCCATAGTGCTGTATTATTAATAAAGAGCCCTAGTAGATATACACATTTTTATTAATTCTTTGATGTGGTTTATCATTATTATTATTTAGTTTTTAAAATAGTATTTGAATATCGAAATATTTCACAACACTGCTTATTGCCCAAAGCTTATAAAAACCGTATGCTTTATTTTAAGGGGCTTTTGACCAAGCATCTATTAAGGAGTTATATAATAGTTTATGCAACATCTTTATCACATGTGAAAATAAGTAAATCCCTTGTATAAATTAATAATTATTGAGAACTCGTGTTGATAGATTCGAACTTAAGCGGTAAGAACGCATTGTAGAGTTCTATTGTAATTAAAATTAGTCGTTTTAATAGTACCTACACATCTTCAAATCTATAAGATTCATGTTATACTGACGAATAATCAACAGTCAACGCTTACTTTCATAAAAACAAACGTTAAATTATTGTTTATAATTAATAAAATAAAAAACGCAGAAAGAATACGGGCTACGATCGTGTGACGGAACTACAATCCGCGGTAGTCGGCTACAATCGTTATCGGTTATTCTAAAATAAATAGGTATTTTAAAATAAATAATAACCAATTTTAATTTTAAATTATCGATATTAATCATAAAATGTTAATGTAGTATATTTAATTGCAACAAAATACTGTTCTCTATAAGAAAAAATACTTTTATAATCGCCCATTTCGATTACATTATTCCTTTTGACCCTAATAACATAATCGAATGATTTAGCTAAATGTGGTTTTATTTAATTCGAATTAAAGAAACTAATTCTTATAGTCATGCTGTAGATAATTATTATTTTTCGTCATCACTCTAATACGATATTTAATAAAATCAATTCTCTCTTTAATAATAAACGTTAGTTTCATTCCTTAATTTGAATAATTAATTTTTGGGTTTGTGAAATATATTTAGTTTTAAAATAATTGAGTGTCTTTTTTTAGTTTTTTTTTTACTTGTATTTTTATATAAATAAATATAATTAAATTAAATATATTTAAAAAAAAAATTCTTATAAAAATGAAGTCGTTTTTTTTAGTAATGACAGTGACTCATGTTTTTAGCGATGCAATTAAAAAATTAATGATGATTTAAATTGGATTATTATGTATTGTAGTTAACAGGGATACAATTAATATACCATTTTTTTTTTAATTTAGTAAAAGTGTGAACGGATTTTGCAAACTAAAGTGATTCGAAATTATTTGAAATGGCGTTTTTTTTAAACACCACACTTGCAAAATATGTAGCATAATAGGTTTTTATAATTAAATTATTTTAAATTTTATATGAATAAGCAATAAACGAATGCTTAAAAATATCATATATTAAATTTTAATTTAACACTTAAATATACATTTTAAGATTTCCTAATGTATTTTCTGAGATTGTAATATATTTTAACAGTTTTAAACTCTATTGTTATCTTATAGTTGACACACGCGTGTGAAAGAAGTCTAGTATTATAATCAAGAGTTCAAATATGTTTGTATAATTGTTAGCTCGCATTCGACTATATCATACGTTAGATCGAGATACTTGTAATAATGTTTTTTTTTAAAACGAACGTGAGTACCAGGAACTTGTTGCAATTGTGTAAAACATAATTATAAACATTATCCTAGAAACCTATTTTAGGTGAAATTCGTAAATGTAAAGGGAAGTAGTGAAGTGTGATTTGAAGTATAAAACGGCCTTTCAAATTTTGTCCCAAAAGACAAGGAATACGTTTAAAAGTAATCATGCACTGACGACTAGGTAAAACGACCACGTACCTACTTGTACATAGAGTTAAATAATAATAATATGTAGGAACATGTAATAATCGATATTTTACCCTATTAATAACGATTAACTTTGTAGAAATACTTTCACCTACGCAATTTATCTATTATAGCATCGTTTTAATAGTCTGTGGTTTTTGTATATTTTTTTAGTCGTGTCCGGCAGTCAAAGATGGATATCTTAACGTACACTTCGTGCCTCATTCTCATGATGACGTCGGCTGGCTGAAGACCGTTGACCAATACTACTTTGGCAGTAATTGAAAATATTTCATATACGTTTTTTTCTTGTATTTACTTAAATGCAATACATCTAAAATAAATTCAATAATAATCAGTATGTATAATGTACAAAATTTGCATGATTTATTTTTTACTTATACGCTGTTAACAGGCTCAGACTAACTAATGGCGTTCGGTCCCAAAAAATAAATAAATATATAAGACCTTTATGCTTAGTCATTTAATTACAATTTTGAATTAATACATATTAACTCCTTATTATTTTTTAGTTTTTATTATTAAGCCATAGAATAAATTGCGCTTACAACTTGTCATTATTAAACATATTCATACGAAAAAAAATGATATTAAAGCAATATATTTTTAATAATTTTAGAACGTTAAAATAATTATCAACGTAATTTTCAATTTGTATGCCTGAAATAACAAGTTCTTATTGATTTAAATTAATAAGCAAAATAAACGTATTATTATTGTACAGTAAGTATAATTTGGTAAAGGGTTGATGTACGAATGACGTCCTCATATTATGTTCATTATTAAATATTTATCTTTAATGCTAAGCTGAGATGTACTGATCATAAAATTCCTTTTTTTTCTAATCGTGTAGGACAGATTGCGATTTATTATAATAATTAATACAAAAAATTTATATAAACTTAAATTTGTTTAATTTTGTGGATTTGAGAAGACGAAGATGAATTTTACTACTCTATAACTTTTGCCTGTCCCAAATATAAAAAATATATTAAAACATATTACTATTATAAAAACATATAAAAAATGAAGTTACAATTTGTGTATTTCTACATTTTAAACAAAATCGACTTTTATTATTAAATTCTGTTTTTCAACTAAAACACATAATTATTGTTTAATATAATTAAAATTGCAAAATAACAAAAGTGTAAGCTTAAGATTTTTCCGCATTTGAACAGATTAACAAAATCATTTCCTCGACCGAAAAACTGAACATAGTAATTTAACCAAATACGGTATTTAATAATATTTGTATTTCATTAAACGTCTACGAAATTGTACTCCTTTTATTTGTAAAATTTACTTGTATACTTACCTAATCTATAGTAGCTCATACTTTTATGTATTTTCATATATTTTCAATTAATTATACTTGTTTTTTATTTTTAGCCAATACTTCCATACAAATGGCTGGTGTTCAGTTTATTTTAGATTCTGTAGTCGAGGCGCTTTCAAAAGATCCTAACAAAAGGTGATGTTATAAGTTTCATAAATTGGAATTTAACTAATATTTACAAATACCGTTTGGGTTGCGTTGTAATAGTACTTATTTATAATTTTAGGTTTATTTACGTGGAGACTGCGTTCTTTTGGAAGTGGTGGATTGATCAAAACGAAGATACTCAAACGTTAGTCAAAAATTTAGTATCGTCCGGTCGATTAGAGTTTATTGGAGGAGCTTGGAGTATGAATGACGAAGCAAATGCAAATTATATTTCAATTATTGACCAGTTTACATGGGGTTTGAGGTATGATATTATTTTCTTTAACTGTATTAACTATTAAGTTCGAATCTTATTTTATTTTATAGTAAACATTCATATTAATATATTACTTCCATACAATTTCGCATAAAATAGTTGTGAAATGTAGTTTAACTGAATATTTTTAGTAAGAAAAAAAACCCTCATAGAGGATATTTAATGCAAATTTTGACTTTCAGTGGGGAGTTAAAAGAAACTCAATATTTTACTTAGCTATGAATGAAACCTTTATTTACGTGAAGCTGCGATTAAAAGTATTTCCCGCTGTTTCCATAAATGTTTTCATGGACGGCGGTCACTAGCGGAACAAACTTTATTTAAACACAATTATTTTAGATCTTACATTTTTGTTCAGATTGTTCAGATTTTTTAAATTGTGTTGCAGGTGATTTTACATTGTAATAATACCTTAACTGTTAGGTACGGAATTTATAAACTAAGCATATAAATTAGCACGAACGTAAAAGGCTATTTTTCTTGAATAAATTTTGATATAGGACTTTTAAAGTAGACTAAGAGGAGTTTATACGTCTGTAGCTATTAATATAGTATTTGACATACATTGTTAAAAATGTACGTGACCACTGAATTTAAATATACGTTCGACAATGCCCTAATATCAAAATACAAATGAAAACTTCCCAGAAAAAGTACTTCCATTTATGAATTTATACAAAACAAAATATGTACTTCATAAGAGCACATACAGACATAATATACATTTTGCCCCAAGGGTTTTAAAGAAATTAGACGGTAGGTAAGAGCGAAAAAAAGGGCAGAAAAAATATAGACTTTGTCAACTGTAGTATATGTCTCATAATAACAAAAAGCTCTCCTTATGTTTTTTTCTTGTTTGTACGGTTCTAGTACATTATTTTTTCTCCCTTCTGAGAGGTACCTAGCTATTTTTGTAATAAGTCATTAATTTTTCACGAGATACAATAATAACAAGTTATATCATCATTTTCTGTAGACTGTATAAACTACACCATTCCGCGAAGGGGTTTCGATTTCAAAAGAAAAACGGTCAAGATAAATAGCTTAAGATAAACATTATACTTTTCGCTACAGGTTTCACGACAATGTTATTTTGATCTCTTTAGCACAAAAAAAGTACCACTTGTTCTGGTTGGCGTTGGTATACAAAAAATTGACACATTTCAGGAAGCTAAACGACACGTTCGGCGAGTGTGGTAGACCTCATATCGGCTGGCAAATTGATCCGTTTGGCCATTCCAGACAAATGGCTACTTTGTTCTCGCAATTTGGTTACGATGGACTATTTTTCGCTCGCCTCGATTACGAGGACAAGATGCAACGTTTGTCCAAGAAGTCAGCTGAGATGATATGGCAGTCCAGTCCCAACCTCGGTAAGTTAATATAATAGTTTTTAGCACTGACTCACCGCAACAAAAGTGAAATTGCAGTATGTACCGGATGTAAACTTTAAGCAATTAATAAAAAAAAAATATTTAAAAATGTAAAAGATTAATTTATGAAATGGATGAAATAATAAAACTATGGAACTGCCGTATATTCCAAACACAACACGTACTCACACAGTTTAAAGTATTTAACCCTTACGCAGTTCGAACACCGGCACTCAATTGTGTCGTTTGAGGCCTACGCAAGTACTAACACCAGCGTGTCCGAAATCCTTAACCTACCCAAAAAGATTCGGTCTAGCCCAGAACACTTAAATTTCTCGAGAGACTTTAAATTGTAAATGATGGTTTAGGGAAAACGGTAACACTTTTCGAAATCAAATGCAGACACAAAGCTTAAGACACACTAAGAATAATATAATTTACATAAAATACACAAGTTTAAAAAGAACATGAAAGGGTCACACAATAATAGTCTCCTAGTGTCGAAGGGGTGAGTGCACCATAATAAACCACTCAAAAATAATATTATCCCTGAGTTGAAGCAAATATATCACAATATTCTCGTCTTGTATTGTCTAAGAGAGTCATCCCGACATAACAATTTCGGCGGTCATAAATACTTGACAAATAATAATTTTTGCTGTGTTAGTACTGCTTACCTCCATGATAAGTGTTTACTTGACCTCCATTAAGAACTTATGATGTTTTTAAATATAATTTTATCGGTCATAGTACATAAAAGACTGTTGTACGAGGTTCTAATTTTTAAGAAGATATTTTATTTAATTAATTATTTATTTAATTAATTATAATAGAAAATATATGAGACCCGATAGGGTTAGTAAATATTGTGATAGGTTAAGTACATAAAGGTATTAAGTTATTAAGCTTATTTTTTAGAGAATTTTTATGTATAGTTAAAAAACAGCGTATACAATAGGAAACGACTTTTTTTTTAGATCTATATACAAGTTATTTTTCTTGGTTTAACCTTTTGTTGAACAAATTCACAAATAATTTCTATTGTAATATTGGGCACTTGCAGTTTTATTATAATTTATAACAAATACTAAATAAAAATATTTTTATTTAAACAGAAAGCAATTCAATTATTAAAATTGTTTCTTATAAACAAAACTTATTTATGAGAATATAGTATTTTATTTACTAGTTTACACGAATTTATGAGAAAGTAGCTAATTTAAAAACTTGATTGTAAACAGTTGAGCTAAAATACGTTTTTATTATTATTACAGAATATATTATGATGTTTATTTCTGAATACTATTGTGTACTCTCCGGATAAATGATTTTCCTCGGTAATAATACGATTTTTCGTTTTAATATCACATTAATGTTTGTTTGAGTTTTTTTTTTATAAATGATTTAAGCTTGTTGTTTACTTTTATCAAAAAATTATAACTGTTAATTACAATTAAAAATAAATGTTTTACTTTTCTTTATAGGTTCATCAGCGAATCTTTTCACTCACGTTCTGTACAACTTCTATTCTCCCCCAGATGGATTTTGTTTCGATGTAGTGTGCGGTATAGATCCTATTGTGGACGATATCAAGAGCCCGGCTTATAACGTAGAAGCGAAGGTGAAAATATAACTTTTCTAATATATATTTCCTAACTTTTAATGTTACCGATTTGTTGTATTTTTCCATTTATTGTTTGCCCAGCGCTTGCAGAAGTTGTGAAAACGTTTAGAAATTTAATCATGGCCCATAATGTGTTAAATAAAAATTACTAAAGTCAATACAAATGTGTTTTATTTTATAAAAGGAGACGCTTTTTTTTTTTACTATTATTAACAAATATCAGTAATAATATTAGGATATATTAAAACCTATTGTGTTCTTGGGATTTTACAGACCGCAGACTTGTTAGCATTTTTGGATAGTCAAGCCAAAGGTTACCAGGATCATGGTAATGTTATTCTGACCATGGGCGGTGACTTCACGTACCAAGACGCCAGTTACTATTACAAATCTCTGGACAAACTCATCAAGTAAATATTGAACGATTTATTTACATTCAAATGGATATGTTTTCATCGCTACTAGGGAGTTTGCACTGGTTTTCGAGTAGGGTTGTAAACGCACGTCGAAAATCCAATGGAGTCCAACGACGACGTGTCACATGCATTTTAAAAGTCTGATACGTTACACTCGGATTGCGTTATGTTTTGTTATTACCGTTTACCTCCGACTGTGCACTGCTCACAATCATTACCATACAGTAATCGCCCTTTTCCGTGTGCAGCTGACAACTCGTGTGAATATAACATTGTTTAGCTATATTATAAGCAAAACGATATTATAGTTATTTTTTACATTAATAATAATATTGTTATATGTACTTTGAAAGTGTGTATGACCCCTAACGAGTACATAATATTATATAAGGTAATAAATAGAGCTTATAGACACGCAAAACGTATTACCGAGTGCTTGAAATTTGTATTCACCATGCGCTCCCGGCGTAGTATAATTTATTCAAACATAATCTCTTCTCAGTTCATTAAAAAACAAATCTTACTTGACATTTATATATATATATATATATAAGTTTTTTTTTTGTTCTCCTTTAATGGATGTACTTTGTTAAGTCGCCATCAAGCTCAAGTATTTCTACAGCTATAAAAACGAATATATTATACCCAAACACTGTTATACAACACTACTTAACAACTATTATAATATTAATAAACGTTTATTATTAACGTTTACTCGACAAACATTACTTTGTATGTTTGATCGAAATTTCTCACGATTAATGAGTTTTCAGTTAACAATATATTTATCATAAGTAAACACAGTACAGTGTATATAAAAACACACAACAAAGAGCTAACATTGCGACAGGAAACATCTTTAGTGCCTATATAATAATAAAATAATGAGATTCTTGTAACCATTATTTTGACAAATAAAATGTAAGTGCGTGCAACGGAATGATTTAAAGTACTTACTTTAATGCATTCTATATATATTTATATATTGATGCAAGATATTTATAACAATCTTCAAGTCAACAAAATTGTATTTCAGCTCTGATGCGTAGCGCAGGAGATATTTCGTTTTTCCTAAGATATTGTAATAGTTTAAACTATTTTCTCGTATTTTTAAAAATGTTTTATTATTTCAACAGACATATAAATTCAAAACAATCGGCTGGTAGCAAAATCAATGCCATATACTCCACTCCGTCGTGCTACTTAAAAGCGGTCAACGATAAAAACTTGACATTTCCCACAAAAGATGATGATTTTTTCCCGTACAAAAGTGACAAACATGCTTATTGGACAGGATACTTTACTTCGAGACCTACGCAAAAGTATTATGAGCGAAGGGGTAACAATATTCTGCAGGCGAGTACTGTAAAATCAGTGTATACTAACATGATTACTAATATCATCGATTTATGTATCAATGTAATTATAATATATTTTGCTCTATGACTAGCGTTTAGACTTTAGAAAGGATTTTGTTAAACCGATAGTTACGCCTACATAATGATAGTAAAAAAAAAAAATTGGAAACAATGAGGGAGGATAGAAATTTGTATTAATTTTGTTTGTAACTACCTGACTGTGAATACAAACTGCTAATGGCCAAGAGCCTAACCGGTGTCCGTCTGTAAGAAATATAGTACGACCGTTACTTATAAAATGGGAAAAATCAAAATATTATTTTACTAAATTCGCAAATATTTTATAATATTCCAAAAGCATGTAAATAGTTAAATGTCATTTTTAATTTTTTTGATTCGTCTGAAAATGAAATCGATCGTTATAACCCTTTTAAATCCATAATAAAATACTCGACCCAATAAGTATAATATAATGTTTTAACGCAGCTAACTGTTACTTAATGAAATTGTAAATGCAATTTCCTATTGATGTCAGTGGCGATGCAAATCTAAATTAATCATCGACTCTAATTTTAGGCTTGTAAGCAACTTGCGGTCCAAAGTTTAGCTGGACCTCAGTATGAACCGAAAATTACACCCCTACGTGAAGCAATGGGAGTGATGCAACATCACGATGCCATCACCGGAACAGAAAAGCAGCACGTGGCCAACGATTATGCAAGAATTTTGAGCGAGGCAATTGGAGAATGCGAAGAAGTTTCGTTTAACGTCTTATCGTAAATACTGTTTTCGCTTCATAACGTTTACATTTATTTAATAACGACCGTGTATTTTTAGCGGACTTTCTGGGGATAGAACATCGAAATTCGAAACATGTGATCTGTTGAATATCAGCGTATGCGCCATTTCAGAGCAAAGCGAACAGTTCGTCCTTACCTTGTACAATCCGCTGAGTAGACCTGTTACCGAGTTTGCACGGTTGCCCGTACTCGACAATACAGAGTACGATGTAGTAGACCCACAGGGTAATAATCTTACAACACAAATCATACCACTACCAAAATCTGTTATCACTATACCTGGTCGGACGTCACCGACGACGGCAGAATTGATATTCAAAGCGACGGACTTGCCCCCACTGGGTTATAAATCCTATCTTATTACTAAAAATAGAAACGGCAAACAGTCTACTCGATCAAACGCGGTTCACGAGTCATCGACGTCGAAAACCAATGCCATACACATCGGCGATGAAGTACGTTATACCGATTCATTCGCTGTTTAGGACACCTAATTTTTTTATATGGTTACTATTGGTGTTTCTTCAGAAATTAGGTTTAACTGTCGATTTTCAAGACTCTAGGAATTTTACCATTCACTTAAACGGCGAAGACAGATCTTTGCTCCATGAATTTATGTATTACAAGAGCATGGTTGGCGATAATACGAAAGATTACAAAAGAGCATCAGGAGCATACATTTTTAGACCTAATGGAACGGCTGTGTCTTTTTGTGACAAGCAAAATAAGCCCGTCGTTTTTAAAGGTACATCGTGTTTAGATAATATTGTATAATTAAATCACTTGGGAATTCCACCTTTGTCGACATTTGACTAATTAACTAACTACTATAGGACCGTTAGTCGATGAAGCCCATATAGTATGCAACGACTGGGCCAGTCATGTAATAAGAAAATACCAAGGTGATGATCATTTTGAATTCGAATGGCTAGTAGGACCGATTCCATATGGGTATTTAATGTTTTCTGGAATTTGTGGTTAGCATTTGGATTAGTTAAAAATGTTCGTATGTTTTACAGAGACAGGATAGGAAAAGAAATAATATCTCGCTATAAACTGCCACAGTATCGGAAAAACAAAACTTTCTATACGGATTCGAATGGCAGAGAAATGTTGCAACGAGTATTAAATTATAGAAGTTCGTTCGATTTAAAACAAAACGCAGAAAACATATCAGGAAATTATTACCCGATCACTTCAAGGATTATGTTTACTAATGGTCAAACCCTATTTGCTGTACTTAACGATAGAGCTCAAGGCGGCTCAAGTCTCGACGTTGGAGAGATTGAGCTTATGGTATAAACGATTTATCAAACTCAGCTAATAGTAAGCTTATTGAATATAATTATTATTAACTGTACATTTACTTAGGTGCACAGAAGAATGTTTTATGATGATGCATTTGGCGTCGAAGAACCTCTCAACGAGCACGCATTTGGTACTGGCTTAGTTGCCAGAGGTCAGCATTATATTGCGTATGGCTCAGTCGACGAACAGAACGCAGTGCAAAGACTATTAGCTCAAAAAAAACTCATTAGACCACAATACTTTTTCACTAAAAAACCGTCTACGATTTCGCACAAGGAGCTAAATGATACGACTAAATTACAAGTATACACGGGTTTTTATTTTTATCCATTCGACTTTTATTACAATACTGGTGTAACATGGTTTAAATTAGGTTAAAAAATAATATTTTACAGTTTTAACTAGGCACAATTATTTTCATGACTTTATTAGCCATCTTCTAAATTACATACGTTTTATCAGTTAAATGTAAATAAATTGTATTTTGGTATTTTTTTTATATTTAGTTTTATGGTATGAAAAACTTACTTCCGGTTAATGTCCAAGTATTAACTTTAGAACCCTGGAAAGAAGGGACTATTTTACTCAGATTGGAACATATTTTCGAGTACAATGAGGATACAAATTTATCAAAACCAGTCGTTGTAAATATTCAGGTTTGTATGTTTACATACAAAAACAAAATCGTTCACAATACTTAGTGTTTAGAATAGACAAGCACAGCAAAGTACTGTAAACATATATTGTATGTTTTTTAAAACATAACGAATTCTCGTAAGAGGACGCCACACCGGCCATTTATAAGGAGTAAAGTATAGGCAATTTTATACCAAATCTTAATTTAAAGGTTAAACTGTGATGTGTAATTATTAGTTTAGTAATTAAGACTCTTTTTTGGTAGTTAATTTATTTTTCAGACTATCACAGCATCCTTGCAGTGACTTAAAAAAAAATCATCTAAACATAGCTACGCAGAATGCGTTATACTCGGTCCATAGTGATTTTAGAGCAAAAACAAAAATGATAAAATCGAAAGATAACAGCATTTTGGAGACGATGATATACTAATTTTTTTTACGTTCAGTATTTAGTTAAAAAGGAACAACGCAAAAAACATTTTTTTTCCTTTTTTTAAATGCCTGTAACTTTTTTTCTAGATCAACTTTTAAAAAAGGCTATGTCATTAACTCAGAAAGCCGTAATATTGAAACCCCTGAAAATGTTCGCCGGTATGGCGTCCTCTTTAGTATATTTGTTATGTTGAACCGTTCACTTGCTTATTTTGCATAGTGTTTACATTGATTATTTTCAATCATTGTTAATTAATTTTTTTAGGACTTGTTTACGAAATTTCGCATAGTATCTCTAAGAGAAACCATTTTGGGTGGAAACCAATGGCTATCAGAAAATAACAAACTTTCTTGGAGAACGGATGATAATGATCTCGAAGTCGATGAATCGCCAACCAGAAGTTACAAAACAGTAGATCCAACACACATTTTGTTGACTCCAATGCAAATTAGAACTTTTGTGTCTGAAATTATTCCACTGTCCCAGTGATTAGTTACCAAATATTACGATTTTAACTAAATATGTAGATTTATCATTTGTAAACGTTAAGGAAAATTATATATAAGATATAAGTATAAAATGATACATAATATACTACATGACGAACTGTCACTAATGAAGTTTAGACTGTAGTAAATATATATAAGTAAATTGATTATTCAATCGTGATTGTTGCGTATAACTTTTACTTATACATTACATTAAATTACTTTTAAAAATAGTTGTTCTTTATGATAAGGTACTTATAATATTAAGTAGGTACTAAGAAGTGTGATAGAAATTTGATACAGGTTTGCCTGACGTTTTTATTTTTACGAATGAAATCAATTTCATATATACTTCAAATAAAGTAATACGATATTCAATCTTGAATAAAACAGTACGGTATTTTTTTCTTATTAAACATTTTAGGTTTTTATTATTTTAAAAAAAAATAGTAAATCAAGTAATAAAAATACTGCGCATGTCGGGAGTATTGGTACGCGAGGATGAAGTGGAACTTCTTACCGAGTTGTGTAGAGTTAATGGAATTTGAATCTTTTATGCAAAAAATACAAAATAAAAACATAAAACATATAATATTCCATGTTGGATAAAAATTAAAAACATTTATTTCCTTTTAAATATTTTTGTTTTTTAATAATTAACAAATAAATGCTGGCTTTTTTTTATTTCGAATTTAACTTGATTTTGTATGCATAATATTACACTGGCTAGTAAATTCTCAAAATTCACCTTTGAATTCGGATCTAACAAAATCGCATTAAGTCATTCTGTAAATGCAAAATCAAATAAAATTTCTTGTACAGAATTACCTATGGAACGACGGCCATGGTTGACGATTTTATCTTTTAGGTCACCTGCGCTCTATCAGGGCCCAAGTGAGCCATTCATTTGTCCAAAACCCCCGGACTCTAATTTTCGTAGAGATTAATCTAAAACTCACTGCACACACAAAAAAATTTAATTAAATTTATCTCTTTTTTAAAACCATAGTATAGGGGTGTTACTACAGTTAAATTAACCAGGGCGGAAAAATTGGCTTGTGCTGTGATGAATACGAATGCATAAAAAAACCAACTCACATGGGGCGATTGCGCCGCTGATGTGAAAACACACAGTTATCATATTCCAAAAATATCACAATATTACACTAATATACATTTATTTATTTCTAAATGTCGTTAATATTTTATTTGAATTTATAAGTATTGACCACTAGGCTACTATTATCTAACCTTCTCCTTGGTCTTATTCCTTCTAAAACATGAGGTCGACCAAGCAGGTCTTACTACATAAATGCGTTTATTCTTGGCCATTTGTGTAATGACTTCTCAATGACAGCTGATTGTTTTGTACGATTTTCACTTGTAGACTTCACACACAAAAATAATATATCATTATAAAATTAATACCTGTTCAGCTATCGCATCAAAGATAAAATTGTGAAGTTTTGTTTATTTATTTTTAATTTTAAAAAGTAAATAAGAAAATAATCATGTTAAGGGGATTGCATGTGAAATTTATTTTTAAATTTCAATAGGTAATTAAGGAAATATCATTGTTAATTAGAATAATAAGTTCCACGACTGACGTGGATAATCAAGCTATAAAAAGTAACATGCATGAATATGCAAACAAGTTCAGGCAATTTATTAGTTAGTATGCATTACTTAACATTAAAAAAACAAATAGATATTGTCTATATTTTGCGCAATTGGGTTCTTTTTTTTAGAATTAATTAAATTGACATCTATAATATTTCTAATCATTATAAAAAGAAACTTTAATACTAATTGTAAATACATGAAGATAAAAATTGTAAAATATATAATTATAGCTAAATGTTTAAACTTTAAGATGTTCCAAGAATATTTTACTTATTTAAATTATTTTTAACATGCTTTGTTTTAGCTGCGTTTAGTAGATACGTAAATTATACTTTGAATAATTAAACACGAAAATGGTCTTTGTTGGAACGATGTGTCTTTAAAATAAAACACAGGACCAATTTGAAAATATAGTATCACAACAATAGAAATGAAAAACTAACTTGGATGTGTAGGTGTAAGCCCCTGAACGGTCCTAGATACTTAACTGAGCGGTGTGGCTAAGAGGAATGTCCTGAACTTTTTTTGAAGAAGTCGTAAAGTTCACGAAATTCAAAAACCGTTTGGTTTGACACCACGAATATGTAGTGAACCAAAGGTGCAAAACATATACTACTTTGTACAGTAGGAAGGTAAATTATCCTTTGAACAATTAAACACTAAAAATGTCTAATATTAAACGCAAACTGCACTAGTTAGATTTGGTTCAATAGTAAAGACAATAATAGAAAATAGTTACACGCACAAGATAAGAGCTATCTTGTGCATCTAATAGAATAGAACAATTCATAGTGTCGCTAAAGAGTTATATAGCGATATGTAAAGTAGTTAAAAGAAAACAATCTACATATTTTCCTTATTGTTGTTACATATTGACGTCAACAAAAAAAGGAAAACTTAAGTACTAACTAATGTTAGTAAGACCGGGTTTAAACAAGTTGCATAAATTATAAGATTTGTAATAATTTGATACCCTACACGTGTCACGATCATTACATCCCCATCATAAGATAAGTGAAACAAAGTAAACAACGTTTTTCGTAACAATATAAAGTAAAATTGTGTAATAACTAATAAACACCACTTCTACTCTAGCCTATGATTTGAAGGATGATGTTGAATAAATCCATATCTGTGGACTGTATCCATATCATAATCTGTAATTTTTCACATCACTAGTGTATACTTCTTTTTGAAAATATTAATATAAATTCAATTTTACAAAATAGTCGGTCGACTGAATTTATTGTATAATCTATCATGTAAAATATGGTTTTTATTATATTCCAGTTTATCGGTGGACCTATTCTATCGTGTTTTATTCATATTTTACTATTATATATTTTAAAGTAATCTCGAGCTCAGGAATGATTTAATAGAAATATATATATTTGAATAGTACGTAAATTCCAGCTTCAATAACAAAAGAAAAACCAGTGTGTGTGTGTTACAAAACGTACGCATATCGAACGTGAAACTCTTTTCTGTATTTTTTAAATTTTTTATGAAAAACAAGTAGATAGAACCACTCAATAGGTATTATTTTTTTTATTTTATTAAGGAAAACAAAATTAAAATTCGATTTGTAAGAACAATTTAATATTATCATTTATCATTATTTTTATATATTTTTCTATAATTATTAATTATATTTCCTTAATTTTCATTAATTGGTTTTTAGTCGGCCCAATCGGTTCTATCGTTATATCGGCTTATGGTTACTAAAAATGGCTAAGTTTTTTGATTGGACATTAATGAGATTTCAATAAGTTATTATTGAGAGTACAGATTTTCGTATTGGACTGCATTAATCGTTGTACAGTTCATGAATAATATTATTATAGGTACATATTAATATAAATAATAAAGTTGAGTATAAAAGTAAAGACATCCAGACAGCATAGGGGTGCTCGCATTATTAAATAATGTGTAATACATATCTATAGTCCATATCTATATCATCATTGCGAGTGACAGAATAAAATTATTATTACAGTATCTACATAATATTATAATATATATTATTAATTAGTTGTATATTAAATATATAATAATTATATAAATTAAGTTTTTTGTTCAAATGTCTTTGGGTATTCCGCTTTTCACTCGTTAACTACCACACTTGTACATATAATCTATACATAGTATATAGACAAGTAAGCTAATTACCGTGTGAAAAGCTGAATACTCACAAAAAAAAGGCATTATAACGAATTGCCGATAGTGGCATTTTTATTGAAAACAAGAAGGGAAACAATATATTGTATAGATGGTAAAACTATTATTTTCGGAGTGATGACTGTATATTTCAGTTCATTAGTATTTAGTAGGCATGTGGTCATGATAACGTCATGACCTTAGCTCTAAATAATATAGTCAAATAGTTTTTAAAGGTATATTATTAGTTATATTATAACATCGGTATTGGTCGGTACATAGGTACTCTATTTTATGTTGTGCATAACCGAGTAAAGTAATCGGTCGTGTTACCTATCATATTTTATTACACTTACTAGCAATGCAGTTATTGATTTTATTTACGCTTTTCCTTGTCGGAACTTTTGCCGGACCTTGCGGAAATCGAAACACAGGAAAATGCGGATACGAGGTAGATATTCTAAGAAAAACATATAAAATATTTAATATTTAAATTAAATCATCACAAAATAAGTACATACTTATTTTTATTCAAACATGAATTTGATTAAAATCGTAATAATATGTTAGTAAACACGATAAAAAGGTTAATTTTCAAGTTAGTTAAAACAAATATAATAATATAAATTATACTGTGCAGTTTAATGTTCCTGTTAAACTTCGTTGTAACATTAGTTTTCTTAGACTACAGAATATATATTATTTTAAAAGTACATTCTGAAAAATAAATATTCTTGAACAATATTATTCTTTGTTATATCCAAATGTATACACTATTCTAAATTTAAAATATAATTTTTAAACAAAAGTAAACGTACAACAAAGTTTAATAATTTAATATATATATTTTTACTTTTCATTATTACGTTGATAAACTAAGACAATTTTATCATACTGTGATGTAAAACAAATATTTTTTAGAAAGATAAAAACGAATATTATTTAAAAAAATATATAGATTTATTATTGAACTTATCGAGAGTTTTGAAATGTTTTTTTTAATTAATAGATATTGAGATATTTGTACTTTGTAATTCAGTAATTACAAAAATTAGTAAATATCAGTTGTTAACAATTTTATATTAGATTGCCAACGAATAACAATTGGGTGTAAACATAATGATTCATAACGATTCCTGTAGTTAATTCGATTTCATTTTCTTAATTTTTTAATACATTTTATAAGAGTAATTTTAGTGATAAAATAATGTTGTTACTTTAACAATAAGACAATATAATTGTTTTAAATGTTAATAAAATCAAGAGTATTGAAAGGATTAAATTTAAAAAAAATTAAAAATGAGGAATTTAAGTATAATTTCATTCATTACGTTGAACAGAACTCTTAAGAAATCACAAATTGAAGCAAACCCATATTATATAAATAACATTATATTAATGTAATTTTTTAAAAATGTTTTATAGTCTTGTCACCCAATCAAAGACGGCTATATAAATGTGCATTTTGTGCCTCATTCTCATGACGACGTCGGTTGGCTGAAGACAGTTGATCAATACTATTATGGCAGTAATAATAAATTCTTAGTCATTTAATCTGAAATGAAGTATTGATAAAATAAAATGGCCGTATTAAAAGAAACATTACACGTAGGACTTTTATTAGAACTTACAATTTGTGGAACATTTACAGTTTTAAAAAATAATGTTTTTGTTACGCCAGTTAGAAATTATAAATTATTGATTAATATGACCTAGTTTTTATCAGTACTTGAGAAAATAAATATTAATACATTTAAATATTACTCCCATTATTTTACCTTATAAAATAGAGTGCATTATTAAAATAATTACAAAAAATTAATATTTAGAAAATAATTACTGATCGTATCTATATGTATTTGTAATATTTAAATAATTGTAGTGTGTAATTATAACATGAATAAGAACATATTAATAAATGATAATCATCCGGTTTCAGTAGATGCAGTGTGAGTTAAAGTAATGGCTATGGAAAAGTAGCTCGTGGTCAAAAAGGTCACACAATTACACACAATTGCAGCTCGCTAATATAATTTAAAAAATATAGACTTATGATTCAATAAACATTGGAGAAAAAGGATATAGGCATAGCATTTGAACATAAATAACATAATACGATCATTATTTAAAGGTTATCAAAACAGAGTATACCCTATAAAGCGTTTAAAATTAAACAAGTGAGAAAAAATGAATGTATTTTTTTTTATATCTATACACAATCCGTTTGTTTGAACACATTTAGGTTCCCATGCCTATGGCTACAGATGTTTATATTATTTAGTACAGCATGCAACGTAACACTAAATTTATTAACAAATAAATATATCGTTTAATAATTGCAATAATAACAATTTTATTTATGTTATTTTAAAAATAAGAAATATTGTATTTTGTGTTCTCCAGAGGGCTACACATTTTTTAATTTAAATTCACCCATAACAAAAGAATACTGCACTCCGCTCTTCCGCCCTAAGCTTCATGCTTAAATAACTTTAAAATAAATTATTCAAAACAAGTTCATCAACCAGTTAAAAGTCATTAGTAAAATATTCTTGACAAAAAAAGGTAATAGGTTGAATATTATAAAATATTTTTAAATTACATCAACTAAAATTTCTCCAAATAGAAAGCGGAAATGGACGTTAAATTGACCACCCTTTTTAAATTAAACTGATTCTTGTCTAAGTCCATAAATAAAACTATAATAATATGTTTAGTAAAACAGAAATTCTCTATTAGAGTGAACAAAACACGATGTACAATTTAAAACGGTTATAATTATTTTTAGCTAATAATACTATACAATTGGCGGCCGTGCAATTTATTTTTGACTCTGTTCTCGAAGCTCTGTCTAAAAATCCAGATCGAAGGTACAGTTTTAAATGGCTATGCTCAAAAATGAAATAATTCAATATAATTTTTAGATTTATTTATGTGGAAACCGCATTCTTTTGGAAATGGTGGGAAAAACAAAACGAAGAAACCCAAGCAGCGGTTAAAGATCTAGTATCGTCTGGTCGTTTAGAATTCATCGGTGGAGCTTGGAGCATGAATGATGAGGCAAATGCTAACTACATTTCCATCATAGACCAATTCACCTGGGGTTTGAGGTTAGTCTACGGACCGTATCTGCTTTTTTTTTACAATGCTTGTTATCAAAAAATAAAAACCGTGGTGTTAAGGTAGTTAAGTAACAGTAGTAACAGTAGTCAAGTAACCCATTGAAATACGACGGTTCAATTAACGGTTTATTCACACAGTAAAACCCGCACCGCTGATATCAGCGGTCAACCGCTAAAATTGTCCCTTGCGCGATTTTCGGCTCGACGACCGCGTCCGCCCATCATAATTAAACTGCATATTTTCAATAGACGTATTCATACATAGCGGTTTGACCGCAGCGATTTGTGAGCGGATCCTAGATTATCATATTATTATTGATATTATATTTATTATTTATACGCCAGTGCCTCAATAACCGCAGGGGCAGTAGTTGCAATGCCCCGGTAAAGGGGCCTCTTGGAGTTGGGCTAGGGGCCCCCCTTCATCTGGGTCATTGCATTATATTCTCACATTTAAATCAAATAAATATTGTATTAAAATTATTGAATACTTTTATTTAGTGTCAGATATTGACTTAATGAAAACATTTTAATTTCTATTAATTTCTATGTAACTAAATTTTAATATAATATTAATTATATACTTTAATTAATTATGTCTTTTGACACTGAAAAATTGTATAATACTGAAAGTATTTTATAAATTATAAAAACCGCATTAATAAACCGCGTTTGATCCGCTCCGTGTGTAAGTACATAGCGGTTGCGGTCGCGGATAAAAACCGCGACCGCGCGCGGCTAAACCGCTCCGTGTGTGACAGCAGGGTTTTAAATAAATGATGTTGTGTTATTTTTATTTATAAAACAAAGCATTAAAATCACAAGTCTAAAATATAAGAAATGGCTGACAAATAGTTGACATTTACCACGGACTTAATTTTTAAAAATGTATATCTTTTTTTACGGGGACTAAATATCCGCTCACCAATAGTAACAACGTCAGTAGTAAATTATGAAAACGCCTTGTCTATTGGAGGAAAATCTAAAAAAACTTTTAAAATTGATAAATGGCAAACGGTTGAGTAGCAGGGATGAAAGCGAAATGAAAATACCTGAAATTTGACTATTAAAATGAATGTGGGAAGTTTTTAGATTTCATACAATTAGAAGTAGGCGAATAATGAAAATAAAAAAAAATATTAGAAGTGATATAATAGCGTATATGGGAGACGGGTTTAAACAAGCTGGACTAACAGAGTTACTAAGTATTTAATAAAGATGAGATACTTGAGATAAAATACTCAATCAGGCATAAAGAATTGAGGATGTGAATTGAATCCACAAATGAAAAATAATGTTTATTTAAACAAAAACCATTTATAAAAAACAGCATTTTTAATTAATACTCCGGATGTTAGTTTTAATATAAGTAAGTTAAATACGAAACTTTTTTGCATTTTTTGGTTACACATTTTAAAAACACATATTTTCGTATGAAAAAATCTTACATATAGCTTAATATATCATAATCAGCATAAAGCGAACTTTAACTTTGTTGTAAATTGTTTTTGCTAAAAGGAACCCATAGTAAAAAAGATAATAAAACACCTGGTTAGATTACTTTTCAGAATTTCAATTTATGATAAAAGTATGAAAGAAAAAAGTTTCAGCTTTTTTGATTTTTTAATAATAAAATGCTAAGGAGTATTTTGTTTTCAGAAAACTTAACGACACTTTTGGAGCGTGTGGGAGGCCTCATATCGGTTGGCAAATCGATCCTTTTGGTCATACGAGACAAATGGCAGCGCTGTTCACGTTATTTGGTTACGATGGTCTTTTCTTTGGTCGTTTAGACTACGAAGAAAAATCGCAAAGACTAAGAAATAAAACAGCTGAAATGATATGGCAGTCAAGCCCTAACTTAGGTATATAACTCAAACGAAATTTATGTGTAACGTAGATACACATTAATACACACTATAGGTAGATTACCTATATTACAAACTATTACTGTAAATTTAAACTTAATATTTACATTATAGACTTTTAAGCATAGGCGCAATTTCAATTTTTAACTTGGGGGGGCTGGAATTTTTTTTTAAATATATATAAAAGTAAATATATTTTTGTATTTCAAAATTGTATGCATAACCTAATTTTTTGGGGGGGGGCTAAGCCCACCCTAGCCCCCCCTGTATTTGTTCCTATGCTTTTAAGGAACTAAAAATTGTGTATAGCAATTAAATTATTATCATTATGAAACATTTTAAAAAACTATACGTCGTTATTGTAGATTTAAAACCGAAATTTGATATATTTTCATGTTAACTAATTATATATGAATTTTGTAAACTTTAGGTCGGTCGGCTGATCTTTTTACTCACGCTCTGTACAACATATACGTTTCGCCTAAAGGGTATTGTTTCGACATAAAATGCGCAGAAGATCCTATCGTTGACGACAAAGAGAGTCCCCTATACAATGTGGAATGGAAGGTAAACTTTGAAGTATAGCATATAATATGAACTTTGTTCTTTACGCATACGTTTTTATTATTTCACTTTACTAATATGTTAAAGAATAAAAAAATGTGGGTATAAAATACACACAAAAGAAAAAAACCACTACAGTGAGTTCTTTATACCTAGTCACAGGACTGTAGGAATTAGAGTGATAAAATGCTTCGATGCACATCAATATGTAACACATTCACATATTATATTGGATATTAATAAAAAACATTGTAAAGACAATAATGTGCTTAAAATTGTATTTTTAGTTTTAGGGTGGATACGATTAGAGTTGACCGTCTCATCTGTCTAAAATAATTTGATGTTGTTGTAAAGTATCATAAAGTATTTCTCAGGTCGGGATACTTGTTAACTGTAGATTAATTCACAATTAGTAACCTGGAAATTTAATACAATAAAATTTGTTTTTCTTATTTTCTCTTTAAAAACATAATTTTGAGAAAATTGTATATATTATAGCCCTACTTATGATCGTCCTTAGACTACCTTCAGCCTAATTTTCAGACCTAGGGTTCTAAAATACGCTCGGAAAAAGTGCAATAAAGAATAAGTTTCGACACCTTCTGAGGGAAAGGTTCATTTGGTTTGTCAATGTATATTGATAGTATCACATCTAAAGAATATTCTATACAAATCTGGAAATTATTTTTTTATTTTCCAAAAAAGTTATAGCTCGCCATAGATTAAAGTTGGAAAATAAGTAAACTTTTTAGATGTTTTCTCTTAAGTTTTGAAGAGGAAGGGGTGAACTCTTTTAATTGTTGGCCCGACAGACTTGCTACTTAAACGAATCGATTCAGTGATTTGGAAGATAACTTAAGTCCAGGCATAAAAAACCCTATAGATATTATAAAACAAATTCCTTTACCGCGTATGTTCATGATTTTCTCAGTAACTACTGAAGGGATTTTATTTAGATTTTTACTAATGGATAAAGTGTTTCACGAGAAAGGTTTAGATGTATAATTTGTGGGTGCTTTGTTGTAATTGTATTTATTAACCTGGACAAGGGCATTTAGTAAATAATAAAAACATATAATTGTAAAAAACATAACCTCATCATAGCAAAAATACATTAAAATTTCAATTGAAAATTACATGAAAGAAAACATAATATATGCGTAATATATTATAGTAAACGAGTATATAGTAAGTAATAAAAAAAAATAACTTTACTCTCATTGATATAGATTATATTGTAGATGCAATATAGAATGTACTAGATAGAAATATAAAAGTGTAATGGGTAGGTATGTCATTAAGAGAAAGAATATTAAAAAATAAATCGAATTGTCCGTTTCTTAGGATATGTTATATTAGCTTTTTGATTTTTCACTGTGTATAAAAAACAACAGATAAGGACGAATGTTCTATTTGGTTTTGCGGTGACAACGCTCAATGTCACCGGTTAGACAAGGTCAGGCGGTTCTATTTGCTAGGCCGGAAACCGTCTAATGAAAAGGAGCCGCTAAACCTTTTCACGGCGACGATCTGGCGAAAGCGTATTCGTCAAGAAACCATCTCAATGATGGCAGCATAAGGCCTTCAATGCCTTTAATGTTAACTTAACTGTTGATAAAGAACAATAATGTGAGGAACGTTATAAAAAGAAAAACCCTATTTTGTTTTAAATTATTGTAATCCTACAAAGTATTTCAAACAAATAATATGAATTATTAAAATTACATTGCTTCTTTTCGTGTAAATAGGGTGAGGGACTTATTGACTGGATTAATAACCAATCTAGCCAATATAAAACCAACAATATTATACTAACTATGGGTGACGATTTTCAATATACCGCTGCTGGAATAAATTTTTATAGTATGGACAAAATTATTAAGTAAGTATATTCTTATTGTACATTTTACAGTTTTTTCAGCTGGCGTATTCATAAATATTTTTTAACCATTGTGTAAATTTCATATATTCTGTATTATTTATATTAATTTGAAACTGAAATACTTAAAATCTACCTAAACAATAGTATTTTATCATCATTCAAATATATTATTTCAACATAACGTAACTGTTGCTTACATAAACGAATTTTATACAAAAGAAATAATGGTTATTTGTTTGTATACTTTTTAATACACGCAAATTAACTTCGTGAAAAAAATATTTTAAATAATGCGGTCCTGGACAAATTATACATATTTTTGTATTGGCCTAATTCTAATTTGTACTATTAACAGATACATAAATTCGAAACAATCGTCCGGAAGTAAAATTAACGCTATATATTCTACGCCGTCCTGTTACTTAAAAGCTGTTAACGATCGCAACGAAACTTTTCCTACGAAATCTGACGATTTTATACCATACAAAAGTGATAAACACTCTTATTGGACGGGCTTTTTCACCTCGCGGCCAACCCAAAAGTATTACGAACGAAGAGGTAACAATATTCTACAGGTAAGTATTTTAATTTTTATCGATTTTCCATATAATTAAATATTTTTACTTATTAAATAAAATCATGTTGTATGATTTGTAAAGATATAATTTCTACTCGATATTTCTGTATAGTTTGCTCTTAATTTATCAACCAATCAATAACGACATATTTCCTACAATTGTTATGTACATATTAGACGTGTAAGCAACTCGCTGTGCAAAGTATGGAGGGATTTAAATACGAATCAAAAATCACACCTCTTCGCGAAGCAATGGGCATAATGCAGCACCACGACGCCATAACTGGTACGGCTAAACAGCATGTGGCGAACGATTATGCCAGAATACTGAGTAACGGCATACATGAATGCGTTGAAGCTACATCAACTATACTATCGTAAAGGCTATAAAAAAAAAATCATAAAATTAAAAAAAATAATTCACTTAGCTGGACCTTTGTGTATATTATTTCCAGGAGAATTTCCGGTTTTACGAAATCGAACTACACAACTTGTCCTTTGATGAACATCAGCGCGTGTGCCGTTTCTGAACAAAGTGACCAATTTTTGGTGACTATATACAATCCACTAAGCAGACCGATAACTGAATTTGCACGTCTGCCCATTTCCGATAATGACTCGTACGACGTAATAGATCCTCAGAAAAAAAAACTCATTACACAAATAGTGCCTTTACCGAAATCAGTTATTGACATACCTGGCCGAGTGTCATCCGCAGTAGCTGAACTCATATTTGAAGCTACTAATTTACCTCCGTTAGGCTATAAATCATTTATTGTCAGAAAAGATCCCACCAAAAAAACTACAAATGGTACGTTTACAAGATCAGCACAACTAGAAAATAATTCAGTAGATATTGGCGATAAGGTATAATAGAACATTTACCTAAAAATTAATAACTTTAACAGCTCGAGCCATTAAATTTAATTAAATATAATTAATAGATTATTACTAATTTTTTTAGTGGTTTGGCTTAAAAATCAACGCCCAAGACTCAAGACGTTACACAATGTACGTGGATGGACAAGAGATACCATTAACCCAAGAATTTATGTACTATAAGAGCATGGCCGGAAATAATTCAGAAGACGTCCACAGAGCCTCCGGAGCGTATATATTCAGACCAAATGGGTCGGCTTCGTCTATTTGCGACCACTTGAATGAGTCTAAAATATTTAAAGGTTAAATAATTTACAAAACCCGTCAAATTTTAGTATTCATTTTTACAGAACACTAGTTGTTAAGAGCTAAAGCATAGTATCTATATATTTTACAACATGCGGCAATTTGAGTGCACATAACCAATGTATAAATATTAGATATGAAAAAACAAATTTAGGGGAGAGGGTACGTGTGTGTTAGGTGCCCCCTGACTCGGTACTAAATTTATATTTCTTTAATTTTTCATTTTATTTCATCTTTTTGTATGAACAGGGACACACTTAAGTTCTCATAACTTCATATATATTTTTTTAAACAATTCTAATTGTTTATGCTGTAGTCTCTAAAAAAAAAACAGTTTATTATTAATAATAGTACATATTTTGTATTACCAATAAATTATAATACATTTTATTGCAGGACCTTTAGTACAAGAAATTCATACTACATGTAATAATTGGACGAGTCAAGTAGTTAGAAAGTACAAAGGAGATGATCATTTCGAATTCGAATGGCTCGTGGGGCCAATTCCGGACAAGTCAATATTTTATTATTATTATTATTATGATAGTTTTTGTTAAATTAAAAATTGCCTATTTATTAATTGGAATAAACGTTTAGTGACAATATTGGAAAAGAAGTTATATCTCGTTTCAAACTGTCGAATTATCATAATGACAAAACATTCTATACGGATTCAAACGGCCGGGAAATGTTGAAACGAGTTTTAAACTATAGAAGTTCGTTCGATTTAAAAGAAAACGTAGAAAACATATCCGGGAATTATTATCCAATTAATTCACAAATAATGCTAACAGATGGTCGGACTCGGTTTGCCGTTCTTAACGATAGAGCTCAGGGTGGATCAAGTCTCGACGATGGGGAACTTGAACTTATGGTGCGTGTAAGATGCTAGTGTACAATTACACAAAACTCGTTATAATACCGAAGGAAACTCATTATAAATTTAATTAGGTTCATAGGAGAATGTTTTTCGACGACGATTTTGGCGTTGGTGAAGCACTAAACGAGCCGGCGTATGGAACGGGGTTGGTAGTTAGAGGCCAACATTACTTGACTTTTGGTTCGGCCGATAACCAGTTTGCAGTACAAAGACTGTTAGCTCAAAAAAAACTTATTAGGCCACAATATTTGTTTTCAAAAATATCGCCGGCGGTCTCATATGAAGAAATAAAAAGCACTACTACATTGGAGGTATACTTTTTTGTCACTTATATTTGTATACTTTATTTTCCACCCAAACCTTAAGATTCTATTTAATATAACTTAAAATAATTGAGTTAAATAACATTCTTTGCAATGAAAAAAACCCAACTCAAAAATAATCTTTGTGCAAGTTAAAATGTTTAATTTATGACAAAAAAAAAATGAATTTAATTTTATGACAGCCATGTTGAACATATTATGAATTAACTTATCGGTTCTAAATATTGATTCCCAGATTAAAACGTATTCCCTTGTTTCAGCTTCTTGTCTTACGTTTCATATCTTTGATTTTAGTTTTCTGGTATGAAAAATGCTCTTCCGGATAATGTTCAGTTGTTAACTTTAGAACCCTGGAAAGAAGGGACTGTTTTACTCAGATTGGAACATATTTTCGAGTACAATGAAGATAAAAATTTATCAAAACCAGTCGTTATAAATGTTCAGGTTAGTATAGTTACAAAACAAATAACATCCTTTACAATACTTCATACTATTAAGATTAGTCAAGCGCATCACAGAATTGCCAAAATATACTGTATGCTTAAAAACTTAACAAATCTGATGTTCCATCTAATCTGATCCATGTCTGTAACTTATTTTGCATACGTATTTGTCATATAAAAGCAGTTTATAATAATTTATGGTTGAATCGATTGACTATTTGTAGGACTTATTTACAAAGTTCCGCATAGTATCGCTAAGAGAAACTATTCTTGGTGGAAATCAATGGTTGTCACAACACACTAAGCTGTCATGGAGGACCGAAGACAATACTATTGTAAAAGAAGAAATACCAATCAGCAATAACGGCGAGACAACTGACCCAAAACACATTTCGTTGACACCAATGCAAATAAGAACACTTGTTGCTGAAATTGTCCCAGCGTACTAATGTGCACTATGTAAAATTTATAGTTAAAGTTTATTTTTTTTTTTACATATTTTAGTCATAGATATCTAGTAAATTTGTATCCATAACTTTAAGTAAAATTTAATAGTTTTAATTACCGGTTTCAACATTTTTTTCAAATTTTATATAGTTAAGACTATTTTTTGTACTTATAAAAATAAAATGAGAACTACCTATCAGATATTTCTTATTTGTTGTTGTTCATATGAATACTTGTTTGTTTGTTCAACTGGATATAGTATCTTTGGTCACGTTTACAGTATATTATATTTATTTGACTTATAGAAATGAACAAATTAAAAATTTAGCCTAATTTAATTTTTGATACTCAACATATGTGTTATACTTTATAAAATGTTTGGGTCTCTAAAACTGCTTACTAGTTATTAGTGATTGCAGTTGACCTCGTCGAGAGTTTTATGCGCCATGTAATGTCGGTAATCTAATTTCAAAAATGGTTCTCTTATGTTTTTCTTAAGAAAGAATAAAGATAAAATGTAAAATATAAAAATATACCCAATTAATTTCAACATATTGTCCTAAATCGTACGTTTAAATACCTACACATGCGAAGATCAGCGTTAACTTAATCAAAGTTACAAGCAAACTAAGTTTAAAATCTACAAAAATTGGTTAAAACCAAAAACACCTATTTTACATTATTACTATTATCAATTTTTCCAAGAACCTTAACTCAGACGATATAGTACTGTGTGTACATAACCACAATGCAGTAAATTAAGTTCTTTTTTTAATAAGTAATTATTATCTTTGAGTTCGAAAAAATATTTTAGGTTAGATAAATGGATTTTATGTATTTAATATAAAATTATAATATCATTATATAATTATAAATAAATAATATGTAACTAAAAGTAATATAAATAACAATCAAACAAAAGCAGGCTACTGACTTGTTTTAAGTTGTTGAAGCTTAATAATAAAAACATGATAATCATAGTCTCAATAATAAATGTAATAATAAAAAATAGGTTTATTGTTTATATTATTTTTAATTACACATTAAAACTTTTCATTTAACGATAACGCAGTTCAGTTCAATGTCTTCTGTAATACTTTAACTATAGGCTGGAGTACCATTAGTGTTATTGTAAAATATAATTTATTTAATATGTCATTTAAAATGTTTTAGTGTTATAGGAAAATACAGTCTTCGTAGTACCTTAAATCCCACTTTATCATATTCAGCATAAACAAGAAAAGACCTTAAAATTGAATAATAAAAAAAAAATTGGTTATGTGGCCTACATGCAAATTAATAATTCAAAATGTCATTTGCACGCGTAAAAAACGCCTACTCGCGACCACTAAACATTAATTTTTATTCACAAAAATATAATATAGAATATACAAAGTTCAATTTTTTTGGGCCAGTCTAATATAAATATAACACAAAGTTGTACAAAAATAATAATTTACTTACTATAAAATACTTAAACACGATAATTTATTCTTACGAGCAATATTCGCAATTATGTACCCCACATTTCGCATAATTTTATTTATTTCTTACTAGCAATAGTACAGGTGTATTATAACTAATAATATATGTATACTAATATATATAATGTGTGAAAATAAATCTTTTTTCGTATAAATTAACAGCATATAAATTACATTTTTACCTTTAATCGTAAACAATTAAACGATAACAAAAATAAACCTTACACTGGTGGTAGAGATAACATTCACAAAACGCAGCGATGCTATCAAATCAATTTATATAAGTTGATTAGTTATAATAAAACGTTCATTAGTGTTGGTCGGTTTAGTATTTTCCTTCAAAACCTATTTTAATGATATAGTACCGAAATAATATATTTATTCTATATTATCATTTGTTGGACCTTAATATTTAAAATAGTTTAAGTTAGTGACAACAAACTTAGGCTATTTAAGCCTACTCTATAATGAAGGTATTGATTTTACTTTCGGTGCTTTTCGTTGGAGTTTGTGCTGGACCTTGTGGAAATAAAGTTACAGGAAAATGTGGTTACGAGGTAAAATTTTAGAAAATAAATTATTATAATTACTTTTTATTTACCTAAAAAGGCTTATAAAAAACATAATATTTTTTATTTAAACGCATCTTCACTAATATTTAAGTAATCAAATATAAAAAAAGAAAATTAATATGAGATAATTTGTAATTAGTTTCGTTAAACAACACAAAAAAAATGTTTAATTATAAAATGATTTACATTAATTTAATTACTAATTAGTTTGTAAATTATGTATTTTTATGGTATTATTTGCGATACACAAACACAACTGTTTTTATAGTTATTTAATTCAAAGTGGTATGATCGATAAATATGAAGTTATCTTATACTCTAAGTAAATGTTGCTATAAGCAATTATTAACTATTTGTATTATGATAAAATATGTGACATAGGTCATGACATTATAATTTATATGCCTAATGATTCAAAAAATTATACTAAAATTATAGCAAACAAAATAATATGTACATTACGCCAACCTCTTCCATTAGGATATTTTAATATTTGTATATGCCAAAAACTTAGCATGAAATTCGAATAACTCTCAAGACAATTTAAAATATTTGCGTGACAATTGCTTCACAAAAAAATAAGTTAACAAAAACAAGTTGAAAAATTAGTACTAATTAGTTGATATTAGTAAACAAATGTTTAAGTTAGTCATGAGAGTTACAATAATACAGGAATGCTATTCAAATTTTAATTAAAATTCAGGACATACATTTATTGTTGTAATCAACAGCTACATACTGTTTTAAATTAAAAATGTAATGTGTATTATTTTTAGTCTTGTCATCCAGTCAAAGATGGGTATCTAAACGTCCATTTTGTTCCTCATTCTCACGATGATGTCGGTTGGCTGAAAACTGTAGACCAATACTATTATGGAAGTAATGAAATGTTTTTATATACTAACCGTGATTTAGTTTTATTTAAAAACCTCTAAAACGCATTAGATTTTGTTCATTAATTTTAGATTCCTTCTTTGCAATCATATACCTATAAAAATTAAAAATGTATGGTTGACTTAACTAATGATTACAGAAATTGTTTTTAAATCCACAAACTGGCAACAGTATTAACCTAACAGTAAATAATTTGTTTTCAGGCGAGGATTCTATACAAACGGCGGCCGTGCAATTTATATTAGACTCAGTTGTTGAAGCTCTGTCAAAAAATCCAGATCGAAGGTATGATATAATACATGATATTCACCAGCATTAATTTAAAATATCGTATTTTTTTTAGATTTATTTATGTGGAAACCGCATTTTTTTGGAAATGGTGGGAAAAACAAAACGAAGAAACCCAAGCGACGGTTAAAGATTTAGTATCGTCTGGCCGCTTAGAGTTTATCGGTGGAGCTTGGAGCATGAACGATGAGGCAAATGCTAACTACATTTCCATTATAGACCAATTCACCTGGGGTTTGAGGTTAGTTTATGCATCATTTTGTATCTATTTTCTTATTATAGTACTTATTTTTTTCATTACGCTGACGAACCAAAAAATGTTCATAAACCCTTTACCTAGAATGGATGGAAACTTTTAATTTCACATTTTCCTGCAAACATGTATGACTATTAAGATCTAAAAATTAAACCGAAGGTTATCTAGAATGAGGCTATAACATTTACGATTTCCTTAAAAATCTTTAGTCAAGCTTTTTTTTTGTTGATCGTAGTCAATTTCTAGGTTGCTCTGTGTGGGTGAAACAAGTCAACAGGTATTTGAAAATATTTTTATTATATTGTTAATTATGATATATGGGTAATTATGGTAATACATCATTATAGACAATTCAATGCTTTTATCGATATTTGTATTTCTATCATTGCAGATTCGCTTTAAAGTGTTTATTTAAAAGTGATTTTATCACTTTCAGTTTTAATAAGTCATATATACCTGTGACTTCCTCCGCTCCATTATTATGCTTCGTTCCCACTATATTTTATTTCATTACGTTTAAATTTTAAATGCTATTTTGTTTAGTATCAATAAACAAAGTCATTTAAGACAGTTAAATAACAAGTATTTAAGGGTTTCCAATAAAAAATCGTATGTTATTTTTACTATAGTACAACATTTTAAAATCATAAAAATATAGTTCATGTAATATGGCTTTAGGTTGATATTTACTGCGGATCTAATATCTAAAAAAGTAATTTTTACGGGGTCTTAATATCCGCTCACCAACAGTTACAATTTACATCGTCAGCACTCTGCAGTAAACTATAAAAACATCTTGACCATTGGAGACCACTAAAAACCTAGTTATTTTCTCCACTCCACCGAAAAAAAATTGAATCATGGATATGTTTTTGTGGGTCCTAGTAGTGCATATTCGTTATTAATCTTCTAATAGTGTTACTATAGGTAATATAACATTATGTTAAAACGCGCTCCGCTACCGTCGTCGATCACCAGGGACTCAATGTAAAGTTTGCTATACGATAATTATATAAAACGCAATGTACACGTGTGTTTTATAGTACCACATATTTATTGTTTAATAAATAAATCTTTATCTTTATGTCAGTGACACGAAATTTAACACGCAAATTTCAGAATGACCCCCAAAATAATAACATATCCATAATAATAGTTTATTAAATTTATAATTGATAAATGGTAGAACGGTTGAACAGCACCGGTGTGAATTGTATCTGCAAATGAACAGTAAAAACGATGAAAATAAAAGAGCAACTCTCAAAAGAGTTGATAGATAATTTTCTCCTTCATCATTTTTCATACTTTACTTTTAAAGTAAACAAAATTTACATTGTATTTAATCAATTTCTTGTAAATAACGGGAATAACAGCAAAATTATGTACGAGTATATATATTATAAATATACATACATAAATTTATGAAGTATTTATTGAGTATTTCCAAATAGATAGATAAACTGGTTTATTTAAACGCCAAATTTCTAAAATATAACGATAAAGCAAGTCCACTACGTCTAGGCACTTATCAATAGTTTGGAAAGTTGAAAAGCTAATTTCGTAATATTGACATTTAGATTATAAAAAACATGGTATTTGAACAAAATAAAATTGTTATTTGATACTATACGTAGATTTTTACGTGTGTTGTGTTATACAATCATAGCTAATATTATTGTGTATTATTGATCAGTTTAGTACAAAAATTAATTATTTTTCAATTTCTTCTTGGCGGTTTATTTTTTAACGTTAGTTGTTCTAATGTACAATACTGGTAAACCTTTAATCCTTAAAATTAAATAGCGATCTACAATATTAAATAAATTTGACTCGTGCTATGAAATTAGTTAGAAAGAGATTGAGTTATTTTTTTAAAAAATCCAGGTAAGTGCAAATTGTTGGCTATAAACAAGAGAGAGTGAAGATAGGTGAATGCAAACATTTTGTTAACTTGTATGGGACAGAAAGTTATTGTTAATAGAGTAAAACAAGTAAATTAAATAACACACATTATAAAACTTGCAAAAGCAAATTTAAAAAACAGTTACCTTGAAATAAACCCGACCTGACTTGAATAAAAACCTCGATCCAGCTCATAAAATACAACTGAGCAAATAAAAAAAATTAAAATAAAAAATATGTATAAGATGAACGAGGAGTACTGAAAAAAACAATTTTTAGGTTAGGATAAGTTAGATCTTTATGAGAAGAGAAATGGAATAAAGAACCCCACTGGAGTGAATTAAGATTTAAGATTTTTATTCAAATTAGGAATTAAATCAAACTAAATTTTTTTTTTTGCTTTAATGGTATTGAATTAAAAATATTATTTATTCTGCTTTTAATAATAATTATTGTTATGTAATTATTTTTAAAGTATAAACAACCAATGCTGAATTTACTTAGTTTCTTGTTTGTATTTCTAAGAAGTACGTAAAAAAACACAAAAACAATGACGCTAATGGTTTATATATATATATATTATATTATTTTATTATTATATTATATTATATATTGTTTTATAAATATATATATATATATAAAACAACACTATAATACAATACTTTTATTATCTTTACTCTTATGAAAGACTGTGTGAAATGTGAATGCGTTATTTACTTTAACCGAATCAACAAACCCAAAGAATAATATTATATATTATGGCAAAAATAATGATTAAGTGATTAATATTTTTTAATACTTATAAAAATGTTTCATAGAAAATGATCAATAAGCGTTTAATAAATTGAACGAGGAAAATAATATTTATTAAGAATAAAAAAAACATGTGAACTTTGATAGACATACATTTAACACTCAGCCGAAATCAAAGATATCAAATTCTCAACTTTTAAAAGACGATATCAACATGTTTTGTATTTTCAGAAAACTAAACGATACGTTTGGCGAGTGTGGTAGGCCGCATATCGGATGGCAAATTGATCCGTTTGGTCATACCAGACAAATGGCTACGATTTTCTCTCAGCTTGGCTATGATGGTCTTTTCTTTGGTCGTCTTGACAATGAAGAAAAAACACAAAGGCTAGAAAATAAAACCGCTGAAATGATTTGGCAATCAAGCCCAAATCTAGGTAGGTACAACTTATATCGCACGAAGAGTGTGAATATTAATTAGATACACATTAATTTCTGTACTATTATAACACGAACTATAAAAAAATGTCTATTTTACAACTAATAAACCTTTAAACAAGTTAAATTTAGTCAATAAAAGTAATAAATAAGTAGCAGTATCTGTTTTCTAAATTCAGAAGTGAATCTATTCAAATTATAAAATTGTGTAAAAATCAATTCGATTATTTTTCAATACTTAGTAAATGTTTACCTCCATATCCTAAAAGTAGTATGAACTATGTTTTTAATTCCACAAATATGCAGACAAATTTTTTTTTTAAATGTTACAGTTTGAGCTTTTAATTTTTATCAATCTGTTAATTTGTTCATGACGTTGTAAAGATGAAATTTAAAATTCAAACACTAACATTTTTAAGAAAAAGTTTTCTACAAATTTATGGAATTAAAAGCATGTTACCATTTGAAAAAACAAGGTCCATAATTCTTTTCGTACAAGGGAAAAAAATGAAGAAAAACAATTTTATAATATATATTTTATATTTTACTTTTTTTTCATATAGTAAAATATGTGCTTAAAAGAATAGGAAACAAATTATTTTCAAAATATTATTTTACGAGAAAAAGAGTGTATTACGTCTGATAGATCACCTGTAAATATATTAAGTAGTCATTAAAGACTTGGATTTTTCGTTTATTTAATATAGTTTTTTTATAATTAATAATAATAAACGTTACTGAAATTTTAGTTATTAAACTCACTTTGATTTAAATGAGGTTTTTTTATTATTTTCAGGCAGGTCAGCTGATCTTTTCACACACGTTCTGTACAACCAATATAGTGCACCAAAGGGTTATTGTTTCGACATCTTATGTGGCATGGACCCAATAGTTGACGATGAAATGAGTCCTCAGTACAACGTAGATTGGAAGGTAACAAATTAGTAATCTAATTAAATTACATTTAAAACTCAAATTATAATATTGTACCTATCTACTAAAAGTATACCTATATAAATATATATTAACTTTAGGCTAAAGGACTGATTGATTTCATTCAAAACCAATCTAGACATTACAAAACCGATAATATCATATTGACTATGGGCGAAGATTTTCACTACACTGCTGCCGGAATAAATTTCTATAGTATGGATAAAATAATTAAGTTAGTATTTAAAAAAAAACATATTATCTATAACACATTTATTCCAATGATTTGGTAGTAAGATGTTTATAATGTGTTATATTATAGTGAACCACAAAATTACTATGTTTCTTAAAAACGTTTGGGAAAGACGTAGACATTTGAGTGATTTCATATTATAAAGGGTTTTTACTACAGTTGAAACCTTAAAAAAAATCATAACCATTGATAAAGTACATTATAATATATATTATTATATTAAATAATTCCAAGTAGCTTTTGTAAAAAAAACTCATCACATGTGTTATAATTACAATTTATATATTAGCATGTTAATCACATAGTATATTATTATGTTGAATAGTTTTATAAATTCAAAACAATCTTAATAAACGAATTTTATACATAAAAATAATGTTTTTTTTTGTGTATATTTTTTAATACACGCAAATTAACTTCGTGAAAAAAATATTTTAAATAATGCGGTCCTGGACAAATTATACATTTTTTTGTATTGGCCTAATTCTAATTTGTACTATTAACAGATACATAAATTCGAAACAATCGTCCGGAAGTAAAATTAACGCTATCTATTCAACGCCGTCGTGTTACCTAAAAGCTGTAAACGACCGTAAAGAAACGTTTTCTACTAAAAGTGATGATTTCTTGCCTTACAAAAGTGACAAACATTCGTACTGGACCGGATACTTTACCTCAAGGCCAACACAAAAGTATTACGAACGAAAGGGTAACAATATTCTACAGGTAGTTACAACTTAAAGTGTAATAACATACGTAGTACCATTAATAATTTAAAGTCTCTATAATTCATAAAGCATTAGCTTTTCCATTTTAATTTATATTACCATCACAAAAAGATGTGTTGTCAAAACATATTTTGTCCCAACTTTCTCGATGAATAGGTATACTTGATAAAATTCTTAAATTAATATATTTAAGGTATTTATAACCATAATTTTATTTGTTTAATAAAATCATCGTGTATACTACGAAATCATCATAAACCAATCAATATCGATACATTTAATAACATTGTTTTGTACATTAGACGTGTAAGCAACTCGCAGTGCAAAGTATGGAGGGATTAAAATACGAATCAAAAATCACACCTCTTCGCGAAGCAATGGGCGTAATGCAGCACCACGACGCCATAACTGGCACGGCTAAACAGCATGTGGCGAACGATTATGCCAGAATACTAACCGAGGCGATATCAAAATGTGAAGAAGCATCGTCTGCTGTTTTATTGTAAAGATTAAACGATCAACATTAACAAACGAAAATAATTAAACATTCGTGTTTGTTCTATTCAGGGAAATTAGCGGTTTTATAAAATCGAATTACACAACTTGTCCATTGATGAACATCAGCGCGTGTGCCGTTTCTGAACAAAGTGACCAATTTGTGGTGACTATATACAATCCACTTAGCAGACCGATAACTGAATTTGCACGTCTGCCCATTTCCGATAATGACTCGTACGACGTAATAGATCCTCAGAAAAAAAAACTCATTACACAAATAGTGCCTATACCGGAATCGGTTATTAACTTACCTGGTAGAAATTCATCCGCCACAGCCGAACTCATATTTGAAGCCACTGATTTGCCTCCGCTGGGTTACAAAGCTTTTATCGTCCGTAAAGACCATACCAAACAAAATCAAAATAGAATACACACTCAACAGACTCAACCAGAGATTGATTCTGTAGACATAGGTGATAAGGTAAGATAAGGTTCGAAATTCTAGAGTGAACTTTGAAAAATGTAAGTAGTGAGAACCCGAATTGTATAGGTAACTTTTTCAAATGTTTACAGTCAAGCAAAATGCAAATCATATGTTTAGTTTTCTACAATATCACTTTCGAAAATATAACAAACGCAGATTGAAAAAGGTTTCACTTTTCAATACTGTATAATAAAAACCTTGTACTAGAAAAAAAGTTATTTGAACCCTTCCTTTTTGGTTCTTACTTTTTGGTTCACTTCAATTATAAATAAATCAGCCCAGTAATTTCGTTTAATTTAATAAAATAAATATGCTTTAAGCGTTTCGGTTTAAAAATCAACACCAAAGATTCGAGTCGATATGAAATGTATGTAGACGGTGTAGCAGTTCCATTACTTCAAAACTTCCTGTACTACAAGAGCATGGCAGGAGATAACAGAAAAGCTATCAATAGAGCATCTGGAGCATATATATTCAGACCGAACGGAACGGCATTGCCTATTTGCGACCACAGCAACGAGTCTAAAATATTCAAAGGTTAATTTTATAAAGCACAATATAAACTTTAAAAATATTTTATAGCTATATATTGACAATCATCAATAAATAAAAAACATTTCATTATAGGGCCTTTAGTAGAAGAAATACATACAACTTGTAATAATTGGACGAGTCAAGTAATTAGAAAGTATAAAGGAGAAGATCATTTCGAATTTGAATGGCTCGTTGGACCTATACCGAACAAGTTAGTTAATTTCTGAAACACATTTTAAATTTTCAATTTTCAAATTAATTAAATAATAGCTAATCGAACATTTATAGTGATGGAATTGGAAAAGAAGTTGTATCCCGATTTAAAATTCCACAATATCATAACGACAACACATTCTATACGGATTCAAACGGCCGGGAAATGTTGAAACGAGTTTTGAACTATAGAAGTTCGTTCGATTTAAAAGAAAACGTAGAAAACATATCCGGCAATTATTATCCAATAAATTCGCAAATAATGCTAACAGATGGTCGAACTCAGTTAGCCGTTCTTAACGATAGAGCTCAAGGTGGGTCAAGTCTCGACGATGGGGAACTTGAACTTATGGTATGTATATATAATACTATATATTTATGTATAAATAATCATATTGTGTGCATTTACATATTATTATCCTTTATAAAGTCCCAGTTAATTTATTATCCGTTTATTTAGGTGCACAGGCGATTGTTTCACGACGATGCGTTTGGTGTCGATGAAGCGTTAAATGAGCGAGCCTTTGGAACGGGATTAATAGCGAGAGGCCAACATTATTTAACCTTTGGTTCAGTCGATAAACAATACGCTGTTCAAAGATTATTGGCACAAAGAAAACTTATCAAACCTCAGTACTTTATGTCAATAAATAATTCCGACATCACCTTCAACGAACTTATTGATAATACAGTTATGCAGGTAATACATATTATTATAAGACTGGCCATTCTCTCTAGTTTCACTTAATATTTAATTAGCGTTTAGCCCACAATTTTAATATTGTTTAACTATACTTAAATGTAAAAAGCAAACTGGTCACAAAAACTAAACTTAACATTGGTTTTGTCAAATTTCTTTTAGTATTCTGGTATGCGAAATCCACTGCCAAATAATGTAAAATTACTCACGTTAGAACCGTGGAAAGAAGGAACTATACTGCTCAGATTGGAGCACATATTTGAGTTTAACGAAGACAAAAATTTATCGAAATCAGTTGTTGTAAATATTCAGGTATGATTTACACTAATAACTTTGTCACAAAATGACAAATATTAATATAGAAACATGGCATAAATAAAAATAATATTACATGAACTTTACACTCGTTTTTTAAATCACAAAACTAATTAAATAATATAAAGCCACGCTTCTATATTGACTTTTAGTTACTGTTACTGTGACAAATGAAACATGTATTAACTTTATGATAATGCATAACGCATGTTTGCGTTAAGTCGACTATTTGAAAAATATTTAATGTTATTTTATGTAACTTGTAACTACAATATTTTTTCAGGATGTATTTCTGAATTTCCATATTATATCGCTTAAAGAAACTACTTTGGGAGCCAATCAGTGGCTTTCGGAAAATATTAGACTCTCTTGGAAATCTGATGATAAATCGACGCCAAGCAGTGACCAGATTGATAAAAACACTTTTACAGAAATCGATCCCAAACACATTTTATTAACTCCAATGCAAATAAGAACATTTGTGGCTGAAATAATAGCAACGCCTTAACACTAATGCCGCTGTTAAAATAAATAATATTTATAATCATATTATTGTTTTATATCAAATGAATTAAACACATTATTCTAGCTTAGTCTCTATAAAATAACGCTGTTTTTTCTTACAATATACTGTTTAATTTAACTAGAAATATATTTTATTTAATACATACTTAATACATACTTTAAAACCACATAAAACCCGACCAGATAAACCAAATATAATATTTTAAAAACTAAACTGGATTAGAAACGAATACAAAACACAAGCTGCACATGCTAGTTCAACAATCCATGTACTTTACCTTTTTAATATTTAAGAAGGTATTTAACTAGTAACAGGACAGCAAAAAGCCTCATATTAATCCTATAATTATATTGAACATTTTCATATATGTACTACATCGTCATTCATGAAATTAATATAATGTTTTATACTTTACATTATTCAAATGCAATTATGTACGTCAAACAAATATTAATTAAATTAAATATTTGCCATGTTGCATAAGACAATACCATGGCGTGTATCATAATCAGCAATGTACTCCTATTTCAGGAAGAGAATGCCCGGGTTCTGATCTTACACAGATGTGTGTTCATTGATTAGATATACTTAAATGTACACATATAATTAAATTATTATGTTGCGATTTTAGCTTATAGACATATGATTTATTTTGGAACAAAAATAATCGAAAAAATCAATATCGTATGTATTTTGTTTTTTGAAATCAAAGATATTGTTTTTTAAAAATCATTATAAATACATTTAAAAGAGAGTAAACACACATTCAAAGTAAATATCTATATACAACACGTGTGTGGGGCTCTGCTTCCAGTGAAGTAGCCTGATTCCTAAGGGGATAGGAAGCGGGCGGTTTTTAAGGGGTTTTATACAGACAATATTTAAGTAAAAAGTAGTTTTAATAAATTTCGATCATGTCAATTTATTTTCAGGATAATTTGTAATAAAAGCTCCAGGGTATACTTTTTAACGTATACAATTTCTGCTACTGGTAAAAGCCATTTTGTTCTTACAAGAAACTTATTTAGACCTATAAGCCTGACAAAATTACCCCTACTTAGAATAATCGGATTTTAGTTCTGTAAAAATATTTTATCTCATCGCCCTTTTAACCAGACTATTATGGAAGTTAATTTTGAATAACTGTTTTGTTTATATAAAAAAAAACAATAATGGGAATACTAAAAATTTGGAAAAATTAAGTAATTCAAACAGGATTTAAACATAATGTTGATTGAAATATCAAAAATGGATTTCCACAATAACCTAGAAAAAAGGCCGATAAACTCAAATATTTTTACAAAATTAAAATCAGACCATATTAAGTAGGCATCATTTTGCAGACTATTAGGTCTAAACGTCCAAAGTCCGACTGCTTTAAATACCCTTAATCTAATTATTAGCCAAGCTTTATTAGCCAGGCTTTAAAGTTCAAACGTTTGAACCGTTTGTCTAATATCTTGCAAGTTGTCGAGTTGTATAGCAGCTGTACTTGTGCTCAACTTCACCTAAACAGTTGAGAAGGTATTTTTTTTAAAACTATTGTTTTAAATTGTAAACGTATAAGCGGTGCTACACACAAGAACGACAACCGATTTAATGGGGAATTCCTGCCGTCAACAGAGGTACCCTTGTCGTAGTTTATGCTTTATACCATCCGCCCGTCCATAAACTATGTCGCATAAAATTGGTTGCCGTAGTTGTGGGGTGTATAGCATGTTTTAAAAACATGTTGAAACTGAATCACCGATAACATAAAAAAAGACAAAGTACTTTGGACGTTAAGTACACTAGTTTGATAATAACATATTTTTTTAATTTTGGTAGCATAATAACAGTGATAATACATCAATATCTTCAAGAAAAAATTCGACATTTTGTCCTGTGATACATTTTAATTTTCAACTATCGATTGCTCTGACAATTTGTATTAAACCTTTTATTATGACGCTGATTAAGACAGTTTGTGTCATAAGAAACAAGGGGTTAAAACAATATTATATAAATCCGTGGACTCAATACATTTATACTAATAAAAACAAAACATTTCACCAAAGTTCTGAACAGAGTTATACTGAATACCTTAATACTATCTATTTATTAATTTATTTTGGCGCCCGAGAGGCTTCCGCTTATGTACAAAGAAGTGAAAAATAAAAATACGTATTTTTATTCTTAATTATATTAGAATATAAATAATTGTGCAATAGTTTTACTGAAATCATAAACCTTAACAACAAATCATACTATTTACAGTTTGGAATCGGATCCTAAAGATTCCTCTCGTGACTTCCCGAATCTACTATTACCTAACCCTATTGTGGTGGTGTTAAAAAAAATAAACAAAAAAAGCTATACTTCAGAAAATATTTGTTCATGATTCACGAATAATTGTCGTTAAAACAAAAATGTCTACCTACTTTAGTTTATGTACTAAATGTAGTTTATTTTTACGCATTGTCATATTTTATATTTTAAGTACATTATTAATATTTGATATTAGAGTATTAAGGAAAAATTCAATATTTACTGAATTAGGTCATGGAACAATATGACGTACCCTCATGGAATAGAACAACCTGCACATGACGGACGTCCATTACTGTCACGTGTAGCATGTAGGTATATATAGGTACATATATATATGTATTATTATTAGTTATTACTACATGAACTTACAGCATACGCTTTACATTGGCTCGGTGAGTCAAAACGCGACAGCGGCCAAGGGTTGAAAAAATCGAATTACACTGAGGAACCGGATTTCATACACTACCCTTCGGTGCTGGTAACTGGCGCGGTCGGCAGCGACCGTACACAAAATGCAGGAAGTGGTCAAGGTCGGAAAAAATCACAGCTGCAGCGGCTTTTGAAGAGTGTAAATTGCAATTTGACGGAAAAGAAAAAGAGGTGAAGTGTTTCGAACAGAAGGCGACGAGCGAGGGTTAGGCGCGAAGCTGGGGGACGGTAGAATCATAAATATATATTCTCGGTGTCTGTGCGCCACCCGTGGCAAGCAAATACCCTTCATTCGCAACGGCGACAGTGTTCATTGTGCATTCCGGACAAACAGGTGCAATAAGCACTTTTTCGATTTGACAATCGGAACTCGATTGGTTGTTAAGTACGGTGTTTCTAATACAATTTATATACGTATTCGCATCCGGTTTGGGTAGTGTACGGTTTCTCCAAATGTTTTATTTTAGCTGTACTTGACGGTTATTTGTGTGCATCGTTTAACTGTAATAAGGCGTTAAAAATACATAATACATCGGATCCGGGTATACGCATCCAAATTACAAATTATTACATCGAATCCGGGCGAAAATAACTCCAAAGTACAAAAAACGAGAGCCAAAAATGCGTGCGAGAAAAAAGTGTTGATGAATATTACTTGTTTAATAGGTACGCAATCTTTGGTTTTGTAAAAATAATATATTTTAGTTACGATAGCTAATTAATTATTAGTCCACGACGTTGTTAATCTAAATAAAGTTCTATCTACAACAGGTTACAAATTACAATAATTACTATTAGTATCTTCATATCATATATTTTTAAATGCTTATAAAATGTGAATGTCTTCAACCTATCACTTTTTCGTTGAAATGCGGATAAAACTTTTGACGTTCAGGTTTTTATTTGATCGATTTACCAAATATAATACAGTTAATAATAACTCACAGAATGAAAAAAACAAAATATCTTAAATTTTATATTGAAGTGTGAAACTTGTAAAATATAAGGACTCTATACCAAGTTACTTAGCCACGCATACATGTTCAGTGCTCACAAATTTGGTAATAGTCACTCGGGCTTATACGAGAGTACACAAAAACAATTACATTCAGTTACATAGCTTGTCCGAAAATTGTAAAACCATAAGCTAGAAATTACCTACCTAGTAAGTACCACTAAAAATTAGTTAGTGAAGGAACTGAATTAGATGTAAAAGCTACAGAAAAATGAAAAAAATACATCAAAACTATTATCCCAATGCCTAATATTTAAATTGTTTTTTTTTTTAATGAATATAATATAGATAAGTCAAACCTTCTTGAAAATGTTTATACTATTGCTTTTATTACCTCTTACCCTACACTCTATACGCCAGTTAATTAAATACATAATTAATTTTCAATAACTATCAAGTCGAATTTTTATCTGTAACAATAATTCAATAGTGTCCTTATAATCGTTATCCTATAACTGCAGAAAATTATAGAATATAAAAATTACCTCTAATGACTCTAAGAAGTGTTCATAATTAGTAATTACTGAAGTTAGAGATCAATTAATTCAGCATAAAACAATTATTCTATACAAAAATCGTGTAGTTATGTGTAAGGCTACAGTTAACACCCTATTTAGTATCCACCCTATTTATTAGGTTGTCCATTATTTTAGCTTAGGTCAAAAAGTTATGCCTCCATGTTTTTGTTGCTTCTATCCGATGAAAAAAAAATATATGCAAATGTCATTACTGTAGTCAGTAGTTCCATACTTACAGTCAAAGTTTTGCATTTGAATAACATAGGGTTTTAATGACTTTTTGTTTGTTGATTTGTACAAGAGTGAAAAAAAATCGGACGGTAAAAAAACCTGTTGTCCCATTTATCACATTTATTGGTGGGAAAAAATGCGTTTTGTAGTATCTTTGTAGGTACTAGTCCGATTTTACTGTTTGTTCCACCAAAATATAGATCATTTATCAATTATCCATAAACATTTTCCCACGAAAAAACCGTTTTTGATCAAATGAACTTAACAGGTAGTTGCACAGGATCCTTTAATTAAAAAGACCGACAATGAGTAAAATAAATTGTAAATCATTACAATAAGTTATAGAATAAAGGTATTCGTTTTTTTATATGCTTTGCAATACTATTAAATTTAAGAATAATTGTATTGAATTGAATTATAAAGATTTAAATGAACCAACATTTTTTTGTAAGAGACAAACTACAAGAATATACACTTCAGTATTCACACTCCAGAAGTCATTAAGAAAAAACAATCATTTGAAAAAAAAACGTAATATTCTTTAAGGAAAATCGATACTACAAAGTTTCAAAAACAGTGTTCATGATTTAAATATAATGTAAACTTGCTGTTTTCAACACATCATATAATAACATAGTACATATAATTTAAAAAAGTCAGTACAATGAAGTTGGGGCATAATGGGACGGAGCATTTTGGGGAGGTGGGGTCACAGGTCTACAGAAATTATTATAACTGAAAGCGATAAAATCATCTTCAAATAAGCGCCTGGATGCTTATTTATATAATAAATACGGATGTTTAATTTTTACATGTAGGCTCAATCAGGTATACGATATACATAACTTTAGTTTTGGGTCCAGGTTTTATTAATAACCGATTCATATAAACCACTTTAGTATCGATGGAAGTTTTATCATACATATTATTTTAAAGCATAATTTTTTCAGACTCTTTAACTTTTAATATTTACTATGTCGAGGTTCTAAATTTCAAGGGGTATAAGTATAAAGAAAAAAATGTATGATGTATTACTTGGCTTATAAGCTTTTCATATATAAACTTGCTAACATAATAAATGTTCTATTCTAAAATCAAACATTTCTAAACAAAAAAAGCATTTTTAGTTATTTATGAAGTACCTTTAAAGATACCTATAAAAAAATGTTTTGTTGTTAAGTATATGACGGAATTTAAAGTACCTCATACTTTGAAAACGTACTCGTGTAAAACATCACAATATACTTTTTATAATACCAACAAATTACATTATTGCTTGTTGAGTTGAGATTTCAGTAACAATAATTATTAGTTTGTATTGTATTTCAGTTATTCGGATTCCACATAATGCATTGTATTTAATAGTGAACTCCGTCAACAACCGCTTCTACGCATGACATTTTTCCAATGTTAAGATTTGAAAAAAATATTAATATCGTATTATTTGTTTTACATAATAACTTGAAAATGTATAAAAGTAAACATGTGATGCGATGATATACAGTACAACTTACAGTTAAAAAAACTGTGCGAAAAATATAAAACGAGAACCCTGGCGATGAAAGACTTTCAAAATATTGACATTCCAATTAATATGGCCATTATATTATAGTTTTAATAAAACTCACGCACAAATGTACATAAATTAAATTTTTTAATTAAAATGTTTGTATTTGTCGTTATTTATTGAAAAAGTTAAAAATTTTATACTTATTAGATATTATTTTAGTATAAAAAGGTTACATAAAAAACATTTAGTGAAGACCTTATACGTTTTCGATATTTCAGGTCTGAATCGGTAACATATTATTAAAAGCTACTAAACAAATATGTTTCTTTTTCATTTGATCGTTTTATTTAATAACTGTATTTTTTTGATACAGTTCTTTTGGTATCTAAGAGAAAAAAGACAAAATATTAATCGCATACATTTTTTTCTAGAATGTCTATAACACCTATGATTCAATAAATAATAAATTACGTCTGGTTAAAATGTCAATTATATAAAAATCAAAATATTAAATATTATCTCAGTACCTTTACAACTTTTCATCGAAGTTGAATCCATGTGTGTAAGCTTAAGAACCAAAGGTCTAAAAACCTAGTTGTCACGAAAGTTTTATATTGGACTACATATTTTAATACAGGGTAAACTAATCTCCATAAATGTACATAGTGGTCTTGTTTTCAAAACTTAGCGGATGAATAGTTACGGGTTAAACGTTATTCCAGGTCATTGATCGTTAAAAAGACTTTAATTTCATTCGACAACTTTAGTAAAGGCTTATCAACAATATTATTTGGTCGGGGCTGATGTATTTATTATGTTAGTTTATAGAAAAGGTTTTAACTAGTGGCGTAGATAGGATTTTAGGGTTGTATGGAGGGGGTACAATGATCAATAAAAACTTTAATATTGAAAACATTTTCTTGTGACGTAACAATAGTTTGACTTACAAAATTGTGTAAATTACTGATTTTATAATAGTTACACTGAATAAGACGGAGTTCTCTTGTCCCCTGTAAATACACCACTAATTTTAATATAGGTACGTTTTATTACAGCATAGTTTTGAGGAAGAAATCCGGAACAACATTTGTAGTTACACAAAGGGTATTATGTTATTAAAAATAATTATACTGGTATTTAATTTTGTTTAGTGTTATGATAAAAGATGATGTAGCAGATAAAATGAGCTGGATAACCACAGAAAACGAAACGACACAATGTCAAGCAACATGTCAATATCATATAAGATTTGTATAAACGAAGTATGTACTGACTCTCAACTATTTAGTAAGTTAAGTTGTATGTATATGTACATACTATATGTAATGTAGTCACTAGTAAGTGTATTAAGTTTGGGGTATGTTAAATTTACACTATAAGATTTCATTTTTAAAAAAGCTAAATAACTGTCATCTTATAACGATTTGTAATGAAAGAAAAAATGTCCAGACCCGATCTAGGGTTTACAGTTAATTATGCAAGTCGTTTTCTTGCAAAACTGACTAGTGCACATTGGCAAATGGTCAAGCGTATAATTTATTATGTTAAACATGCATAAGATTATGTTTCTTTTTTTGATGTTTTGTTTGTTTTACAAATTTGATGATAAAAAACCATCTCCAACTCCATCCCCATATTTCATCGATAAAGTTCAGCGTGACGCACATATTTTCTTGTTGACCCCAAGCCAAAAGACACATCCATGACAAAATTATGTTTTTGAAAACATAATATTATTTTCCTTTTCTTTTTAAGAATAATTTTTTCACTGCGAAATCGATCGGATGCTGAGAAGAGCTGATAAGAATACACTTTTAAATAATGACAAAGTTTTTGTAAAAATTGTTTGAATTTCTTGAGGTTGTTACAAACTGCCTGTAGGCGTATAGGGTTCAACAGCTGTGGCATAAGAAAACATATCTAGAGGAATTGATCTAAATAAATCTCCACAGAAAACTAATATTGACGCAAACTGATAATTCAGTAATGGTGTTATTAATAAAGCCTAGACATTGTAGTTGTCAACTTCTCTAACTTTGTTATGAAATAATTTGATCCACTCAAGTCCTAAGGTCCAATTTTATAAATTATTTAAAGTTCTGCGAATAAACTATTATAGTATATACATTTATCCTATTGTTCGTATTTTTTAAAATTAATTTATTTTCATAATTTATTTTTACAAATACTAGTTAATTTCTTTGTTTGTTTGGGGCGGATTATTTTAAAATATTTATATACAAGTAAAAAACAATAACTCAACATTTTATGATATTTTGAAATGTTAATTTTACACCTTACTCTGCTGTCTGCATTGTAATGGAGGGGAAAACGTTGTTCCATGGAAAGAGCTTATGACCTAGACTAAAGGTAATATAAAACACATTACAGTTTTGACGTATGGATAATTATTTTTCACAGGATTTCAGAATAAATTAATACCATATTATATGATTTATAGTAATAAATTTATTATTTTCTGAGAAAGAAATGCTTTTTGCTATTTTTTTTGCGTATTACATGAAACTATTAAACGACTACAATACTTTCAAAGTCTAGTTAATGTAAAAAAAAGTCCAATGCTACTCCCGACCGCAGCTAAACGTGAATACAAATGTTTTACTTATAAGTTATAACACAGAAAATACAATATTGTCCACACAATGAGTGAATAAAAATATCAAAATAGTCTAAAATATCTGCTGTTGTATAATATATATGTTAAATATATATGTTTCAGAATAAAAGATGTTATGATGCAGACAACAATGAATTGGCTAGTCCGATGACATATTTCTCCTATGGAATTTTGTTAACTGTAATAGGAATTGTGGGATTACTTGGAAACGGTTTGGTACTATTCGTGTTTACCAGGTAATAACAATTTATCTCCTAACATAGCAATAAAATTGTATTATCTATTATATTATAATTTATTATAACCAATAATTAAAATAATCGTTTTGATAATTTTAGACCGACATATTGAGGCCACAATATATTACATTAGTTTTTTTTAATGGCAAAACCATCAAAAGTGACAGTATTGGTATGAATTTTTATATCAGCGATTTTTTGTACATCCCTCAGTCAAACTTTACTAGATTAGGCATGTTTTAAAGTTAATCTTTTTATTAGGTGTTAATATAAACTATTTTTTTTAAAAAAAGGACGATTATTATTATTGTTGGTTTTGTTTTACACAAAAATTACAAAAACTGTCACCCAATCTAATCTAACTAAAAACTACTTTTTAAATTTGCTACATATATTTTGAAAAATTGTTTTCTGTAATAAAATACCGATGTTTGATGTTTAATTATTAATTATTTTCAGGGTAAGACGATTAAGAGGTCCTTTTTCTTCATTTGTTTTAAATCTTGCGTCGGCCGACTTTGCAACTTCTATATTACATTTCATGCCCGCAGTGTCATCTTTTAAGCAAAAATGGGTTTTCGACGATTTTGGTAAGTATGATATTAGAAGTAAAATACGGAATTTAATTAAAAAAGTTACATAATATATCATAATTTTATAAAATATGTACACAATAAAATACAATTTTTGTAGTCACTCTATATGCAATATGCATATTAAATATTGTATAAATATTGTATTATTTATACAATATTTAATATGAATAAAAAAAAAAAAATCATTAATTTATAAAAACACAAAATATAAGTATTTACTACCTTTTCAAAAAGGCAAAAAATGCTAGAATTTTGTTCGTGCATTTCTAACTTCTAATTTGTTTTTCTTTCAAAATTCCAATTCACTCCATTATTTACGATAAAAGGGATATAAAATCAATACAAAAAAAATAAGCTTAAACTTGAATCTGAACATAAATAAACAATGTCATTGGCATACCTGCATAAAATAACTAGTTAAGAATTTTAAACAAATATTAGATTCTTATGGTACAATAATATATACTAGTTATATAATAATATGTACAAATTGGTTAAAATTAAATTCCTAAATGTTGAAACATTATCTATGCGGTCTATATTAGGGCGTTCCTTAGCCATATGAGAAAAAAAAATAATGATATATTTTTGGTCTCACTCCCTAAATCGATGTGTATACATATAAAAATGTATATAGACTCTATATAAATCATCAAAAAACAATAAAACTATTATTAATAATTGTTATTAAATAACTGGTATACTATATTTTAAGGGTGTAATATATACGCATTCGGAGTTGGTCAATTTGGCTTAGTGTCAATAGTTACTCTTTCTACTATTGCCGTTGAAAGATATATGGTGATAACAGCAAAACCAGTTTCAGGATCTTGGAAGCTGACTCGTCAAGGTGCGAACAAGGTACAAAAAAATACTTTTTAATTTATTTATTATTCTCGTGCAACGTTTTATTTATTTAACTGTGTTTACTGTTTTATTGTAAACCGATCGGCGGTCATATTTTTCTAACATATGATTATACATTATAATCATTTGCATGCAAGTTGCAAGTTACCTGTAGTACTATTTTAACTCAAATCCAACAATGTATAAAATGGTATATAGCTTTCCTGTCCCAGGCGCTGATATCGAAAACACAGTCTGACTATAGATTCTTGTTAAGTTACCTACTGGATAAAGGGTAAAAAGGGCAAGTTATTATTGGTTTACATAAAAGGATAAAGAAATCGATTTCTAGATAACGGTCTATTCAATAAACAGAAGCTAAATAATACTATAATTATACTGTTAAACTGCGTTATTGTTTATTAATTTAGTTGTGTGTTAAAAGCAATAAAAGAACAATAATTTGACTCTCTCTCCATTTTAAAAGTGATAAAAAACGTTACAACGACGGAGATAAAAATTATAATTATGACGTACAAATTAATTGTTGTTAATGGACTTTGCATCAAAATTAATGAGAAGCTTTAAAAGATCCATCCAATTTCGATTTAAAATGTAACACACAAGTATTTGTAAAAAGAAACTTTTAAAATAACTTAATCCAGGGTACGAAACAGTTACTATACTTTTTCAAATAGTTCTAGTTTAACTGTTTCACAAGAACATTTATTAAATTAACTTTTTGATAAAAGTCTAACAAAAACTTTTATTAAAATAACTTTTTGATAAAAGATCAAGAAGTGTCACTAAAGTTCACAAAAGTTCTGATAATAGAAGTTCTTACTAGAACATATAAAATATAAGTTCTCACATAAAAGTATTTACATGCAAGCTGATCAGTAGGTATCGCCAGTGCCGTATTTTGGACAACATTTTAGAGGGTACTTCATTTTTTTGTACAACCCAGTGTCTGTAATTTCTGTATTATACTGTTTTTCGTAGATTTTTTTTCACTCTCAACTAAGTGCCCCCCTTCTATTTCAATGCCGACCACTTACATCTTACTTATGGTAGTAAATATTTATAATATAATTTGAAATTAAAGATTTTTTTTACTCGCTATATTTGATTTAAAGAATGTTATCTATTCTGTGTTCAAAGTCTATAAACTCCCTGCAAAATACGTCTAGACGAGTGTGGTTAGTCCAATATCAGTCATTTTTATATTGTAGATATCCGTTTAATCAGTAAAAAAAAGCTTTGGTAAAATGTAAAGATGAACAATTTTGATTTAATAACACATTTAGATGGCCGACACAATAAACGCGGAGAGAAATTTTCAAATTTTCATCAATTTCAAATGAGTATAACTTTTAAATGTATGAATAAAAATGCAATTTTTGTTCACTAAATCTTTTTTAAAAACTATTCTAAATAAAATGGCTATCTTGAAAATAAAAACAAAAACGTAACAAAAAAAAAATTATTTAAAAAATTAAAACAGTGAAGTGCAATAAAAACCGTGGTGCTTATAGCGTAAATGAGTATAAATTATTAAAAAAAAAATCTTAAAAATATTCTATAGAACAAAAGATATTTCATTTGTCAAATCTTCGTGGACCACCCTGTATATTCTATGCATTTTTTTTTATGACAAAACGAAATTAAATTATAAAGTCAAGACGTCTTTTTTTTAAATTTAATTCTTACAGAACATGGTCGGTCTCGACAAAATATTGTTTTATAGTTGATACAATATTTCATTGTAAATAATTAATATTGTAAGCATAACATTACCTGAATACAAATATTTTGTTTTAAATATTTTATGATGATTATAGATAATTTGACAACTTTAATGATGAAAACGTTTATTATAAAAAACTAAAAAGTTATTGGAAGAACTTTTATTATAAATGTTCTTAAAATTGAGTTCTCATAAGAAAGTTCGTTTTGAGACTTTTATAAAAGTGCGCAGTTATTTTGGAACCCTGACTTAAACATTAATTATGAAAAACTATTGTAAACCATTTGTTCTATTTATAATTTTTAAGGTCTGTATGGTAGTTTGGATATACTGCCTAATGATAACGGTTCCTCCACTTTTCGGTTGGTCTGAGTACGTACTGGAAGGTTTTAATACATCATGCTCGTGGAACTACACTGACAAAACGCTTTGGAATCGTATTTTTTATATTTACATGTTAGTTCTCGGATTTATTATTCCAGTCTCTATCATTACGTATTGTTACATATTCATCATCGTATCTATTTTGGACCATAACAAAGAAATGGCAGATTGTAACAGCAACATTAGAGCAATGGGTACAGGTAAGATAACTAAAAATAAATAAATAAATCACTTAATTTTTTACTCAACAATTATTCATCTATAATAAATATACTTATTTTAAAAATGTAATAATTCATAATGTATGTGTAAAAGTTTTAATATTCATATTTAATTTATAAAGATATAATATATAAATATATATATATACAGATACAAAAAAGATAATATACAAAATCTGAAAACTGTATAAACTACAAAAAACTATTTCAGATAGCTTGGATTGTAGGCTGGCATTGAATGTTGCTAGACGAGATCAAGCAGTTCCAATTCGATCTGCTTTCAGAACGTCATACATCATTTTAGTCCTTATTGCGTTGTTTATGATCTCTTGGACGCCATACGCTGTTGTCACAGCAATAGGACAATTTGGTGATCAACAACTCATAACACCCTGGATTTCTGCGTTACCAGCATTATGCGCTAAGGTATGTCTAAATGTCTATACTATTTAGGTCTGTTATGTAATAACTCATTTAAATCGTTGTCTTATTTTATTCGATCAATAAGTACGGTATTATAAATTTAAGTACTAAATTATATAATTTAATGAATATAATAATAATAAAATTGAATAATAATTAGGTACCTAATACGTATTTAAGGAATGATAGCAATAATGTGTTTGGACGAGGAAATAAAATACAAATTATGTTGTTTTATTAATAAAAACTACTAAATAGCTCTGGATGGAAAAAAATATCATTTTTTAGTGAAATACATTGTTATATAAATCACATTACAAACTTTCTACAAAATTATGCTAATTTAATATTTAGTCTTCAATAAATGTCAAAGACTCGAATCGATGTCAAAAAGTAACTACATAGAGGTTACTTTTTGACATAAACATGTCTTTTGGCTAGGTTCTACAACAATTTGTGCAAGCCAAGAGACATGTTCATTATCTAATTTATTTTCCACTAGAAAGATATATTTTTTTTCTCATTATATCGGTATCAAATAAATTGCTTACCTATGTAAAAAACGTCAAGACTTTTTGAAATGACTAAAGAGAAAGCGGTTACATTCTTGATAAATATGGTTAAGAGTAGACAAAAGACAACATTTAACACCAAAGATATAAACACATTCCTTGACTTTTAAAGTTGTACAAATTCGTCACTAAACTTAGAGTAACGCTTATGCATGAAATCGTTTAACTTGAAACAAAGAAATGGGCCAAACGCTCAATAACTTCAAAAATAATTCCTAGATATTTGATAAAAAGAAAATAATAACAACTGGAAAGTAGTTGATTAAAAATCTTTTTCAACCATTTCAAGTTGTTATCATTCAATCTTTTAAATTTCAACTTATAATACTGAAGTCTAAAATATCACTCGCTACTCATTTTTTTGTAATAAATTTCCTTCTAATCAATTTTAATTGCGTTTTATACAGGGTGATTCTTTGGTCACAGACCAGTCAATATCACACTGGGTTTAAATAATAATTGAATTTTATAATGTAAAGTGCCATTTTTTTATAATTTTGGAAAAAAATTTTAATAATTACGAGTAACCGTGAGCATGTTATGCTAATTTATAACAATTTCAAATTTCAATTTCAAACGACTAGGCGTATACAGCTAAAAATTACATTACACGATGGAGGTGCTACGTCAAAAAGTGTACGGCTAAAATGATCACAACAAATAATAATTATAAACTCGTCAGTATTATAATTAGTAGGTATAAGATTAAGGGTAATCTTATAGCAGAATACAGTGCTGTCAAGAAACAAATTAATAATTATTAATTTAGCCTGTAATCAAAAAACAGTACATGATATTATAGATTTACTTTCAGAGGTTCTGAAAAAAAATTAAGGTATCAAATTTTGATTTATTTTGGCGGAAAACGGCTATGGTGATAACGGTCGAGGGTCGTTTGGGCGGAAAACGGAAACGGCCACAATGTTAAACAACTTTAATTATAGTTTTAGCTTCAACGCGGAGCTGAGAAAGTATTGATTTTTGACAATGGTATAGTCTTATTTTTTGTGTCTGGACCCACGATGTTTCCTACACCATTGAACCGATTTCTCCAAACAAATTATTTTACGTTTATGATCTTTGTTTAGTTTACAAACGAAAATAACGAAAATACCAAAAAAAGATAATCCCTAAACCCTTCTAATCTATCCCGTAATTTCTCAACTGAACGTGACATGTAATTTTTCTTTAGTCATACTTGCGAATTATTGGTAATTTAAGAATTTCTAATAATTTTTATATTACAAATATCATCTTTAATTAATGACCTTTTCTAAGCTTAAAATTAAATGGTTTTTCTAGGCGTCGGTTGTGTATAATCCGATCATATACGGTCTAACACACCCACATTTCCGGTCGTCGGTCCGACAGTTTATTTCCGGATGCACGACGATAGGCCAAAGCCATGCAGATTTATGTCCTCCTCCTGTACGCAACAACAGACTGACCGCCAATTGCCTAAACAAATTTGCTCTATTCTCAGATCCTCTGGACAACAAATCTAACGTTATCGAATTGAAGTGCGTGCGGCATCGTATAGCCAAACCAAACAAAGATTCTATATACTTGGACTACTATAGTGAGCCCGACTGCCGGTTAGTGCTAAGCAAAATTTCCGGTCAAAAAAGAAAATTATTTTTACAAGTTTTTATTAATTTAATATAATATATCTACTACAGTAGTTTAACGCTGACTATGGAACCCGATAAAGGATCGACGATCATACAAATCGATAAAGTTCCATTCAAAGTAGTCTCATCAACGGTCAGAAGTATAAGCATTAACGCAAAGATCAGCTCATGTGAGTAACATAAATATATTTTAAAATACCTATTTTGTACTTCTCTTTTACCTATTACATTCATTATTATTATTTTTTTTTTAAATACAGAACCAATGAGGGGGAACTGTTTTTCACATGACTTCCCCTTATTAGCCGTCATCGTTTATTCACATATGTATATATATATATAAATACTGTTTTTTTGTAAGAACCTTTACCCCTGCGAGCGGGGGGCTCACATTTACATTACTACATTCATTATTATCATTACATTTATGTCTCTTAAGTCCTATCCTCCTCGAAACATGCTCGAATCATCCAAATCTAGATTTGTTTTATTTTATTTGTTAATAAGATCTACTATATCCCTATTAAACTAATTTTTAAACTCATTTTCCTTAGACTCATACTCATTAAATATTACACTTCCATTTTATTTATTTTGGTGTCTAAATCCAAATATCGCTGGCCTAAAAACTGTTCTTTATTATTTACTCTCGAGTTATTTTTATTATTCAAAAATATAGTTTAAAAAAACTAAAAACACGCTTAAATAGTAAAAAAACTAAAAAGTAGAAAATAATTTTCAATATAGAAATCAATTAATAAAAATTTTCAATATAGAAATCAATTAATAAAAAATAAATAGTATTATTGTGAAAAAAGCGTGGGGTGCTACATATATTAGTTCTTGAAAAGCGCCCCACACTTTTTTCACAATAATACTATTTATTTTTTATTAATTGATTTCTATATTGAAAATTATTTTCTACTTTTTAGATTTTTTACTATTTAAGCGTGTTTTTAGTTTTCTTAAACTATATTTTTTTATTTTCCACTTTTTAGTTCGATGTGCTTTAAAATCGTGTTTTTTAATTCTAGTACATACGTGTCTCTATTACTTGAAAACTTCAGGTAAACAACAATGAATACACGCATGTACGTTCGGTTGCCTATCTCTTTTAGTTACATAGTTACATACAAACATACATACAAGTGAAGCTAATATAAGCGTGTTAAAAATCATTAAGGGTTTAACGTCAAAGAGACGTATCATTCCACTTATTCACCCATTTTTTTTTTTATGCTCTGTGTACTTTTTCAAAACTACACATTTATTGGCCTTTCCTTAATATCGTAATATATTTTTTTTTCATTCCACTATATAAATCTATCCACTATTTACGCTGTACTTTATTTTTGAAAAAAATACTAAGCTTTTAAAAACAATTTTTAGTAGAGTCGCAAGATAGCAGTAAAACTGTTGTTATGACTTCAGTCCCAGTTACACCGACCAATGACAACGAGTTGAATGAAAACCAAAAAGATTGAGAGACAAAAACATATCTGTCAGATCAATTATTGAAATTCGAATTTTAATTTATTAGTTTCATAACAAAGAATTAAACTCAATCAATAGCGTATAATTCTAAAAAAAAACTATTTAGTAGTTCATGCTCCAATATTTTTTTAACTATTTAGTAATTCCAAAAGGGAAAAATGAATTACATTGTATAATTATTATAAGTATTCAAATAACATACAATTGTTTATTGATATAGCTCGTTTATGTGGTAATAGTAAGTGGCAAAATTAAGTTACTCGTATGTATTTTTAAGGATCAAGCATAACGCACAAATGTCATAAGTGAATTTTTAACATTTTTACAAGCAAAAAGTTTGAAAATTCATAATACCATACCGTTATAATACATAGATAATTTCATACAACTTTTATTTTCCAAAAATATGCGCTTACGACATTTGTGCACTGCTACACCATCGATATTATTTATTTTATTTTTTAGCTATTACTCGCACTTACAATTATGTAATTATAATAGTATTATCGAATCATTTAAGATAACCCAGTGAACTGTTGTATAGGTTTTTATTTGTATTTAGCCAGTTTATAGGGAGTGCACAATTAAAAGTATAATGGTATATTATTTATTGACTATGAAATAAATTCTATTATATTTAAATTTGTTGAGTTATTAAAAAAAAAAAAAATTTCCTAAAATAATCGCTGGGAATAAACAAGTATAGTGCAATAAAAACTAAGTTATTAATTGGTAATAGCCTGTATAAGGTATATAGTTTTACGGTTACTCATATATTTACAAATTGGCTTTGCCTAATAGCTAATTTTTAAAAATAGGTGTAACAGTAAACCATGTAAATATTTCAAAATGTTTTCCAGTCGTACATAGACTGTACGTATTAACATAATATTACATAGAATTTTACATTTAACAAGTTTTTCTGCATCCATTTACATATTTTTGTATTTATTTTGCTATATTAAGTAGAATATTAAAATTTTGGAACATAGAATATAAATATTTTCGAAGAATGTTTGTGTTTTGCATTCTTTGGATTACTTTTACACATAATATTGTGATGTTAAATACCTATATATTAAATATATTTATAATAAATATTATAAATCATATTTTTAAAATATATAATTTTTCATGTTTTAATGTATGTTTGTTTTAGTTTAAACGTTAATTATTGTATATTTTTGTGTGTTTAAATAGTTTAAATAACTTCTTAGTTTATATTTTTCTGTAAAATCAAAACATCTTATAAAACTCTAATAGTGTTGATCGTTATTAACATATTTGATAATGTTTGAATAAAAAAGTGACTGTACCGGTTAAAATAAAGTCTATTTTATTTCTCCTTTTAGAATACCTATTAAATTTATATATCATATATACTTAAATCATAGGTCATTCTATATACTGACAAATAACATGAAAGTAAGTTTTTCTGTCATTGGTCAGTTGTCACATACATCTTATGATGCATGTAATTTCATGTAATCTCAGTTGTAACAGTTAAATGATGACATCAATGGTTCAATACCATTGCATTTCATTTGTTTTATTTGTTTAGGTACTATTTTCTGTTAGCACCATAAAACATTTTAGAGCAACACTTTTTTTCACAGGAAAGTATAAAAATACTTAAATTAGCATAGTGCCATAATATTAAAGAGCAAAATATATTTATCCGTGCAGAAACTCGAATAGAAGTATGTGTGTTGAATAATATATTACAGTATTGCTTTGCTGCAGTTCTCTTTTTAACTACCTACTTATCAAAATTATTCAGATGTATACAGAATGCATTAATTTTGCCGATATAGGCTGTATTGCTTAATTATACTTAAAATCTAAGTATACATTAATACATGTAATAAATACAAACATTTATTAAAATTAAAAATATACCTAAACATTTTTAAACTTCCCAATTTCCACACTCGCTTACACAAAACATAATTAGAGATTAATTAATTGTACTTATTTGCCTAAGACTTTTAAAGGTTAGAATGTGCTTAGCGCGTAATGAGATCAGTAGTCGTCGTGTTTTAGTCGAGAACATTTATTGAGGCCTTTTGTTAAGTTAACCTCACCAAAATACAATATCCGGGACCCGCATTTAAAACTTTAAGCGTTATCCATATAACCGTACATAGTAATTATACTGGGTGTTTAAACAGTTTGGAGCCCCTTGATTTTAAGACCCGCTTTTGATTTTCTTATATTTTGACTTGTATGACTTTTGAAAGTTATTAGGTGTAATTTTATGTCTAAATACAGAATTTTACTCTAAGTGATTTGCACATGAGTGATATCAACTTTTGAAAATTAAATGGAAACCCCATATTTTTCGAGATACTCTGTTAGATTTTTTTTGATGGTGGTCAAAATTTGAATTTCCACCCAGTAGTTTTTAATTATTATAATATTATTCCTCGAAAATGGTAAATTTCGAAAATTTGGAGCTTTTTGTGACTACGGTGGCAGAAAAGATTACACTTGCAACATGAATTTTTCATGTTATCCACCATAAATGATCGTTATGAGATGGCCGACAAGTGCTTTATAGGCATTGTTGATTTCATATCGGATATTATTCGATAGATTGTTCAGTTTAAAAACATTTTATTTTTTTTTTTTTTTTTTATAATAGATTTTATTTTAATACAAGACATTTTATGTATATTATAATTTTATAAAGCTATACCTATAATACACATTTAAATTTTATGAGCGTTGCTAATACTACACGTTGCTTTATATTACTGTGATTAAACTTTAAATTTTACTCTTTATTTAATATATATATATATATATAAATTAAGTTATGTATTATTTAGTTATAATTTTATGTGTTTAATAATAAACATTATCATTTGTTATTAATAAAATAAATAATTGTTCATTACGTTTAATTTATAATAGATAAAATATTTTTAAAATACAATTTAAAAAATCAATAAAACTGAATTAAAAAGATTTTGTAAAAAATGTTAGCAAAATTTTTCTTTCCCACTGCCAAGACAACTTGAGAGAAAAATAAATAGAAATCACCTTGGTAGCAGCGACTCGTGTTTGCTAGCACGCTGGGATTGGATCACTTTCATTGAACGCCCCCCTCGAACTCATGTCCCATCTCACACAATCCGTGAAAAACGTGCAAAAATTCAATAATTACTTCATCGCCTATTTTAGCTTGGATGCGGAGCTGAGGTATTGTATTTACAATGATGTTTTTATTTTTGTATCAGGACCCACGATATCTTTTAAACCACAGGCGTGACTAGACTTCATCCACAGCGACAGCCTAGCTTATGACCGACGCTACCTTCATAAACCGAAAAGAGGCCCTTAAACTCAAGGTCGTATTTTTAAGGGGGGGTAAGTCCCTCCAATCAAATTAAAAATAAACTGTTATAACAATTTATAATGCACAGTATTTTCAGTACCTACCTTTAAATTTAACTCCAGAAATATTATTTATCTATTAAACCACCTAGATACACATTAATATAGTTATCTTCATATTAAATAATCGTATAACCGTATCCCAATTATCTAAATTTAAACAAAAACTATTGTAATAGTTTTAAACATTTTTACGGATATAATGAATTACATAATTAACAAAATATATAATGTGTATGTCTATATCTATGAACCGTTCACTTCGATAATTATCTGCCGTCAATAGTTTTAAAAATAATTCATATAAATAGTAACAAAGACCCACAATCTACATACATATTACACACATACTTGTTGTTTTGTTCATTAGTTAATTTTTCTAAATTCTCGCAAGTGGCAAAATAATTGGTGTTATTTTGTTATTTTTTTTTTGTCTGGACTTATGACGATAAGTATTGCAGAATGTCATACCAATTTCTTCACCATACAGTCTACAGATCACGGCTCTTTATGTATGCAATTTAACTACACTAATGTATTTCTTTAATGTGTTAAATCTTTTTTTTTATGATTGATATTTTATTTTAAACAATATTGAAGTTAAAGATAATGTAGGGTGTTCCAGAAAGCAGCCACATTTTGAAAATTCTATACATTTTTAATATTTGTACAAAAAAAATAATAACACATAACATTGTGTTCAGGATGTCCTGAGGTTTATGTGTGGAACATCACATCGGGCATATGACCGCTTCTGCTTGCCCTACAGGCCGTCAATTCAACGTCCATGACATTTCGGATGACGGGTTTACAGATTTAAACTTCTAGGTCACCCATTACTCGCTTGATTTTTGTGGCCACTACGGTCTTGTGACCTGACCTTTGCGATTTTTTCACGAAATGTGCAAACCAGATTCTATCCCATCGTCATGGGATTTGTTTTTTAACACTAGAAAGATGGTGACAATTGACACAGTTAAAACTTGCTAACATTAGAATAATTAATTAATAAAAACAAAATTTATATACATCTTATACAATATTTATATTTTTTTCAAATTAAGTAATTGCTGAATACACATGAACACATGAACATTGATATGAGAGCTAAAAATATGATTATAATAAAAGAAAATATTCAGTAAAGCTGTTTCAAGTGTTATGCATTTATAACAAAAAAGTTAAAGTGATAAGACTAGACCTAAAGAGGAACCCTAATTAAGAATATTGCACTATGTTTGCTAAAATAAGATTTACGAATTATATCTCATTTGCAGGTTGATAAACATAATAAAACAAAACCTGCAAATAATTTATAGGTATATGTACAATATTATAATAATTTATAAATAAATTATTTATTGATTAAACACACTCTCTTAGTGTATAATTTTATTTGAGCCTCTGGGTGACGCTTGCTAATGCAACAGCAAACGCTTGGACGGCTGAAAAAGGATATTGAAAATCTAAAGCAAAATTGTTGCGGTCAATACGGCCAAATTGCATCACTTGTATGCCGTTATATTCAACTTGGAAGTTTTTTGCCGATTCCTGAGTGACACGGCCCCCAAAGTCCAACTGATACACTTGAGTCAAGTCGTTCCATATAGGAGCTTTGTTTTGCATAACAAATTGCTGTTTCTTATTACACATATCAATCTACAAAAAAAAAAAAGATAAAATTAGTAAACCTACTAGAAACTATTTAACCAATATAGCTTTTACTTTGTTTTTTATTTGAGACTTTTGCAATGTTTCCAAGTTCTGAAAATCTGGTTCAATTTGTGTTCTGAGTACTTTTCGAAAGAACAAAGGTGAGTTCATTATTCGCTTTCTATAAAATAAAATATATCAAACATTTTTTTTAACATCTTAATGTTTTTAGGCTGAGTGTCATTCCAAGAATCACATGCAGATTGCAGTGACAAATTATGCAAATGGGCCACAATTGGCCAAATTTCCCTTTTAATCTTATAGGCATCCTTTTGTCCATCTTTTTGTCACAAAAAACACCTGACGCTCCCCTCCATATCATCCATCCACAATTTATCCTACTTTTCACATCTTCCTCATACCCACCATTATTTTGTATTATCGATCCTAAGTACTTGAACCTATCAACCAAACACATTTCATCATTACCTATCTGCATTATCTATCTTCTCTATAACTTTCTCTAAAATCAAACACAATTGTCTCCTACCTAACAACCACTCTATGCCAGAGTTTCCCAATACCTGCCATACCTCCACTGGTACCCCATTCGGTCTTACCACTTTCTTCTTTTTCATCTCTCTAACTGCACGCTACACTTCTTTCACCCTAATTAAGTCCACCATACCTAAATTCCACGCTACCTGTTCTCTTTCCTCCTTCCTTGGAAATTCCTCATTCAATAGCTTTTCAAAGAACTCTTTTCATCTCTTTTTCACATCCTCATGACACATATCTTCCCCTATCATACACCACATATTCTGAAAATCCCTGGACCTCTTTTCACGAATCTTGGCCAATTAATACACTTCGTTTTACCCTTCTTTTGTTCTCAATCTCTCATACAAATGTACTGATAACTGATACAATTTAATGACAACATCATATTTTTAAAGCATTTTAAATGGTCATAAATTATAATTATAATTTAAAAAAAAATATACAGGGGAATGTTGGAACAGGTAAGTGGGTGAACTTTGGTCCAATTATTTTTAATAGTTGGGCACTGATCACGCGATACATGACGCTCTTTAAACTATTAAGAGTTGTTAGTTTTGTTAATTGTGATAACCAATTACCCACAACAATTGATTGATTATAGGTCATTATACCTGATTTGTGATGGAGATCCTGTTTTCTTCTTGGCTGCAACGGGACTAGCTGGTAAACTGTGTGCAAATGTTTCCGATACCTTTGCATCCTCCAATACTCTGGAAACAGACAATTTTGGATTTGACGATCCTACACTGCAACTACGTCGCCTTTGAAGCTGTTGAGGTGAAAGTGTTTCGTCCTCTAATGTCTGTCCATCGCCAACAATAGAAAGTGTCATTTGTCGTGGTTGCAAGTGTAAGATCGAAGTACGATATGACACACGACCCAATTTTTTGGTTAAATCATCACATAGACCGCGAATATGAAACTTTGTACCCCAAACATTAGCCGTTACTTCTGCTAGTCTATAGTCCTAAAAAACATTAACATAACACGAATATTTAGTAATTCTTAATAAATATGATTTATTTATTATGTACTTCTGGTAAAACATCAGTATAACAGTTTAGTTGTAGTTGACGACTATTACTGCCAGGGTATTTATGGTATTTATGGCGATTTTTGCGATGGAGTTTAGGACTTGAACAAATATTGGACTCAGAGTCTTCCCAGCCAAATTGACTGTATGTTATTTGGGCACTATTGTAGGTGGCATCTATAAAACAATATATACATATATTTAAAATATAGAAACCTACACTATTATTACATAATAATTGTACTCTTAAAAATAAATATATTTTTATATTTTGTACTGTGGCACTCACCATCAACTTGAGGATCAAATATAACAAATTCTGGTTTCAAAATACTGGTTCTTTTCCCTTTAAGTAATGGTACTAGACCTCCAAGATATTCCATATACAACACATAGCAAACTGTGCTCGGTGGAGTAGGTTCCGGGCCATTGACATGTTGTACAACAGTACAGTAAAGACGATTTTTGGGTGAACCACTCACAAAAAGTCTTAAATCTGACAACTTTGGCACTTCGCACTATAAAAAACAAACACAAGTATCCAGTTTTTGATACAAAATAATTTAGTGATAACTTACATAAATAGTTGATGAAGCTATAGCAGCTAATGTATCTTGGATACAAATAGGAAGTAATTCATTGGGTGGGAACATAGATTCATCATAAAGGCGTAATGCACATAGTATATGAAGCGGAAGGATTGATGCTGATACACAAGCAACATGAATTTCAGGTCCTGTTGCTATAAAAATTCTTCGATCGTTATGTGCCCATGTCACAGCTGTTACTTCCATCTAACAGTATTAAATTATACGAATTATACACTATATATTTTTAAAAAGATTACTCATATCTAATACCTATACTGAAAATAATATTTACCTGTGATGGAGGTATATTGATTGAATAAACAAGCTGACCAACTTCTGAGTAAATTTTCACAATATTATTACCAGGCTTTCCAGGTACTGAACCAGCGACACATAAGAGCTCTTTTGAGTTGGCCCACTCCATGTAAATTGGACATAAACCTGTACGTACGAGTATTGTAGCTGGATCATCATACCGTCGCATTAAATGAATGGAACCATTTTTACAACATATCGCCAGCATATGTTTAAAAAAATCTAAAAAAAATAAAAATTATTATTCACTAAAATACAATTTTAAGTCCACTATTTGTACTAACAATCTGATTTCCTTTGTCTCTCGTTCATGCAAAACTTTTCGCAGGACCACGCCATTGATGATATTCCAGAGTCATCGGCCAAATTTACTTGAGAAACAGGAATACCGTGAATATCTAAAACTTTCACTTGACCTTTACTTGTTCCAAAATAAACCTTGAACACAAAATAAAAAAAACAAAAATTAATTATTATACATAATTATATTAAAATAAATAATTTAATAATGAAAGATAAGCAGTGATGTAGTCATGGGAGTACCCTTTTGACTACACCACTGTAGTGACATATTATTCTTAGTCTTGACATAACATGTAAACAGCACTCATACCTGCTGGTCATCAGGAGACCAAGCTCCACAAGTAACTGTTCCTTCTGGATGTAACATAGATGACCAATATCTGTGTCCGGTGACTGAACCAACCAAAACAAAGCCATCCTAAAATGTAGTGTTAATATATTTTAATCGGAAAAAAAAATATTTTTTGTATTATATTATTATAATAATACTTACTTGATAACATATGAGTGCCAATCTACCATCATGGGACCAACTAAAATAAGTAACCCTTGTATTACGATCGTTAATTAATTCAACGTTCCAACGACAGTCAAATTTAGCCCAAACATTAATCACACCTGAGCTGTCACAGGATGCTAGCTTTTGGTAGGGTTCATTCCATTTCACAAGAACAACCTTAAAATGAATACCAAGTAGAACATAATAAATTTGAATTTCTTTTAATTTATACTTTAGTCTTTAAAAATAAATAATAAACAATTTTCTTGATCAGATTAAAATAATTAGTGAATTTAACTCAAATAAAATTCATGTTTTAATTAATATTAAGAGAACGCTTCCTATCAGTAATCAATCTAGGTATAAAAACTATATATTGTATATTTTACCTTATTAAGAAATAGCTACAATAACCCAAAACATTTAAATAAGGTAAACACCTTTAAGTCTCTGTAAAAAATATTATCTTGCAATAAAATATTGTTAGTGTATTAAAGTTAATGGTTACAACTAAAATTAGTTATAACCATTATCTCTAGTACTATTCACTAACTAAATATATTTCTTCGAATATAAAACATTATTCTCCAAATACATTTTTTTTAGCTTCAAATTGTTTTTACAATATGTTTTAATTTTATTATTTTTCTACTTTTGTATTTTAACCCAAAATATCCCGAAACTGCTGAAAGAGTTCAAATAAAATATTATTTATAACCTATAGCCTAAAATCTATAAAAAAAAAATGTATTAAAGAAAAACCAATAAAGGAAGAAATCGTTCCCGCTGTATTAAATTTCTAGATTGCTATGAGTGATTGAACCAACAGTCAACAAGTACCTTTTTTTTTTTACATGTACTCATAGAGCTCTGGGGGGGGGGACTAGCCTAGGTACTTAGTCAACAGGTACCTAAAAACAGATGTTTTCATTACATTGTTGATTAAAAAAATTGGATAACAACAGCAACAAACTTTTAGAATAGACGTCAATCTTAATCATATCCACCCTAATACTAAAACAATACAATTTTAACCACATTATTGTCTTACTCAACATGGCAGAAACCTAAAAGTTGCAAACTAAAAATTCTACCATCTCGTTTTTTTAACTATGCCCAAACAGAGTTCACTTACGGATATAAGCCCATACGAGTATTATATTTATTATTGTCTTCACAATTACTATTTTAATCGATATTTAACATTTGTGCCACCTACTGGCTACAGATCCACATAAAGCGTTTTATTAGCTCAATTAGTTATATTAATTGCTACTTTCTAGTGACTATTCCGACCTAACTGTTCCGTCCCACTATGCCCCAACCTAACTGTGCTGTCTTTTAATACATAAATTTCTATAATTGGTATTAATATTTGATTACCTAATTAAAGCATCAAATATAATAGCAACATAACATCAAAATTAGACAGGCTTCACAATTTTTCTTTTTAATTTAGAAATTAAATTCAACATTTTTATGAAATAAAATATTATACATAGTTGGCAAAGGAGATCCAGAAAATTGTTCAAATAATAATTTTAATAAATAAATAATGTAGGTAAAACAAAAACAAACTCACCAAAATTTAAGTCAAAAGGGAAAAAATGTGTATTTATCAATTGTAAAATAAAATATCTGTAAGAACTAAAAATAAATAAAAAATAAACAAAATAAAGTAAACAAATAAGCAAATCAACAAATCAACTGAATAAAAAAAAATTAACCAATAAACAATGTAAAAAAAATATACTTTATCTAATTGAAACAATAATTTTATTTTACCTTAGCATGGTGATTTCTTAAATTATAATTAGTCCGAAGAGGTAGTCTTTCACTTGATGGTTCACATATTGTTCTAACTGAAGTGAATGTTACTCCAACAATACCTTGAGAATTGCCCGTAGCTAGCCACCCTTGTTTATAATAATTACGACCATCTAAATTCCACCCTTCTTCCTAAAAACAGAAACAAAAACAAATTGCATAAGTTTTAATATTTAATTATTTTACCAAACAATTATTTTAAAGAATATTTTTATTCATTCAAATAAAGTCACTTATTTTTATAATTTTTTCCCCTATAAGTTTAAATTGTATTGTCATCAAAATGTATATTTTACACTTATTTAATCATACTTGCTACAAGTCTATTTTTTTTTATTGAATTATCAGCATAAACTATTTATTTCTACAATTACAGATGTTAAATTAAATTATGTAGCTTAAAATTAATATATACAAACTAGACGGCATTTACAACAATGGCAAGCAACTTAAAATTAATTATATACAGCGATTATAAGGCAAGGCCGGACTCATCAGTGAAAAGGAGAACAGATTTAATGATGGGAATGACTGAGGAGTTAAGAATGGAATAAATGTCAAAAGAATCGATATTATAGGAGGAAAGGGTGGTGATGAGAGGAATACGAAGTTAGGAAATAGCAGGACACCATAGCAGAAGGGGGAAGTCGCATGGAAATTCATCGTCGTGACGAGGCCAGAATGGGGAATCGTTAAGGGAGAGTTTGAAAGCGTGGTATGGCAGCAGGTTATGGCCGGATCTTAAGCGGGAGAAAGAGATTATTTCTTTCCTAGACAGAAGGAGGTAATAAAACCCGGGAGTTTGTTAGGCGTGGAAGTGATTGATTTATAAAATTGGGCATAGTTGGGGGGAGACTAATAGGATATTGTGAATATTAGTGGTATTTACCATTTTATTAACATTAGTATATTATGTACACTGAATTCTCAGTTGCATGTTCATCATTGAAATAACAATTTAATTTATATTTATACATAATAAAATTGGTAATGATATAATTAACATATACACTAAACACCTAGGTTTTCTTTTAAACTTTGATGGGGAGCTGAGAAAGTATTGTTTTTACAATCATTTATTTTTTATTTTTTTTTTGTGTACCTACCATATCTACTAAATCACTGAATCTATTTATTCATATAGCATGTTTATAGATCATAAATTGTACTCCAGCGGTAATTTATTGAGTCGAAAATAATTTAATAGTTACCCCTTTACCTTAATAATTGAAAAACATAAGTCAACAACATGCAAAAATCTAACCCCTTTCTCTAATACTAAGTTTGACATCTTATACACTACATTCGTTGATTTATTATCTAACTAAAGCTGTAAATATTTGATGAATGATTTTATACATTTTTTTAATCCTTATATGCACAATCATGAGAAAATGCAATACATCATGTCGCTTAACGTGCACTTAAGTTTTAATTACAATAGTTTAAATGGAAATTAATTTTTTAACATTTTTATAAAATACAAGAAGTGTTATTAAAATATATGTATGGTGTGTCGCAACATATGGATGTGAAACATTGGTAATAAATGGTTCCAAAAAGAAAAAACTAGAAGCCTCAACGATGTGGTGTTGGAGGTGTATGGAAAGAATAAGTTGAATAGAGCGAAAAACAAACGAAAACGTACACTCATAGATACGATTAGAGCAAGGCTTTGGAAAATTGTTGGACATGCCCTGAGACACCCCGAAAAGTTGCATAATATTATTAGAGGGTATGATAGAAGGAAAGAAAACTGCAGGACGTCCTCGAAACTCTTATATAGGACAAATTAAATGTGATGCAACAGTCAAAACCTTTAAGGAACTCAAAGAAAATGCGAGCTATTGGTCAGAATGGAAAATTGGAGTTGTAAACCAACCTTCAGGTTGAAAAAAAAAGTGTTAATAAAGAGTTTAGACTTATTTCATAATGATTAGTATAAGTAATTATTAAAAAATACAGCAATACAAAATAATTAAAAAGTGCAACAACATACTTCTGCATTATCTGGAACCCTTCCCATCCAAGACAAGGACAATATTTCGCTGTCACATTTTGTGTTGGCATTTTTCTCAAACCTTATGTGCATCGTCTTAATATCTCAAAGTATATTCATGTTTTAAATTGTCTAAGACATTTAACAAACGAATTTTAAAACATATTCAAAAATAAATTACATAACGATTCAGATTTCAGAACCCAAATCTGGACGTATGTCAAAAAATAAATAATATACTAATTTACCAAATTATTGATTATAGATAACGAATGAGGTATATATGATATCTTTTAGGGTTCATAATATTAAGGCCGTGGTAGTAACCATTTACCCTTGAATGTCCAATCAACCTTGCATTTACCAGGGGCGTTAGTGTTTCAAGGGGTTGATAACCAAGGTTTACATCATTGTTGCTCTAAGGCTTATAGTATTATAAAATTAATTAACCTTTTAACTATACAACATATTTCAATTGAAAATGGATTTTTTTGAAAATATGCGACGAGAATTTGAAATTGTCTTTGATTTATGGCAATTTTACATCACTTAGGCTTCCGTAGCAATTAGGCTATAAGCATACCCTTGCGATTTGCGGGATAACACGATTATCACGAAAAGTCGTTGCACCGAATATACAATTACTCCGAAAGTTATCAGTTGCTCCGAACATAAATTGCACCGAATACCCAGGAAAACAAATTTAACAGACACCAGCTGATGCTATCTTAAAATATGTAATATTGATAACATTTTGCCTCCATTTATTCAAGGCTAAATATTGTTGTGCTGACGCCTGTTTGCGGCATACCCACCACCGTTTATTTTCCCATTTTCCTTATGTTGTTGTTCTGTGTTCATCGTTGTCAAAATAAAAATCGTGGTGTTAACAAACTCTGTTCTTCAACACCTTGAATTAATAATTATGTTTTAACCATAAACTATTTAATATTTTTTAAATTAAATTATTTAGCATAGTGGTTCCAGTATTTAATCATGAAACTAGTAATCCCAGAAATATCGTGGCACAATCGTGACCCAGTGCTCAGTGTTCACTTCCAACCTATTCGTCAAGACGAATATTATCGACTGGCTACTGGTGGATCAGATTCCCATGTTTTTGTAATTATGCTTTATTTTTTTTATAATTGATTAATTTATCATTAATATTTGAATGTGGTTTTACGTTAGATATGGCGAATTAAAATAGAAGGTTCAAATGTAAATGTTGAGTTTGCAGCAGACTTGACTAAACATCAGAAAGCTGTGAATGCCGTACGTTTTTCCCCAGATGGGCAATGGTTAGCGACAGGAGATGATGGTAATGAATATTGAATATGCTTAACATTATTTTAATGCTTTTTAAGTACATTTCTTTAATACCTATATTAATTTTTTTTTTTTAGAATCTGTTATTGTTCTATGGAAATTCAAACCTGAAAATTGTCCTGATCATAGACCAGATTTGTTAGAGGATAGTGAATCAAAAGATCTTGAAAAATGGGTGTGCCATAGTATATTAAGAGGCCATTTAGAAGATGTTTATGATTTATCATGGTCACCTGATTCTAAACGACTTATATCTGGTGGTGTAGATAATAAAGCAATTATTTGGGATGTCGATTCTGGTAATTGTGTTTCTGATAGTTAAACTAAAAATTATTATGTGTAGAAGTATAAATTACAATGCTAATAAATATTTAATATTATAGGACGCTACAAAGCTATGCTTGATGATCACAAAGGTTTTGTTCAGGGTGTTGCTTGGGATCCATTAAACGTGTATGCAGCTACTTTGAGTAGTGACAGGTATTAAAATAGACTTGGTTTATTTCAGAATTTTTTGTAATAATATTTTTTTTTTGATGATAGGACATTAAGAATATTTAATACATCAAATAACAAACTTTTAACAAGATGTGACAAAGCAGTTCCTTTAGGTAAAAAGGTAGACGGCGATGAAGTAAAAACTAGACTATTCCACGATGATACTCTGAAATCGTTTTTTCGACGTTTATCATTTTCACCCGATGGCCAAATTTTAGTGACTTCATCTGGAATTTTAGAATCTATTGATGAGGAAAATAAATCAAAGCGTACTACAAATGTCAGTTATGTGTTTGCTAGAAAATCGTTTTCTAAGCCCGTACTTTATGTTCCTTCATTAGACCAGTACTCTGTAGCTATTCAGTTTTCACCAATTTTGTACAAACTCAAAGATGATACTAAATCAGTTTTTGATTTACCTTATCGGATGATTTATGCTATTGCTACTAATTCTAGTATTTTACTGATGGACACACAACATGCCGTACCATTTGCTTACATTGGAGATATCCACTACACTCGTTTGACGGATCTTTCATGGTAACTCATATTAATTTAAATTATATATATCACGTTAATATTATATTATTGCTTCATAATTTTTTTTTAATTTAACACGAAGGTTGGTTTATAACTCCAATTTTCCATTCTGACTGATTGCTCGCCTTTTCTTTGAGTTCCTTAAAGGTTTTGACTGTTGCATCACCTTTAATTTGTCCTATATAAGAGTTTCGAGGACGTCCTGCAGTTTTCTTTCCTTCTATCATACCTCTAATATTATATTATGCAACTTTTCGGGGTGTCTCAGGGCATGTCCAACAATTTTCCAAAGCCTTGCTCTAATCGTATCTATGAGTGTACGTTTTTCTCCCACAGTTCTAAGTACCTCTTCGTTTGTTTTTCTCTCTATCCAACTTATCGTTTCCATACGCCTCCAACGCCACATCTTTGAGGCTTCTAGTTTTTTCTTTACAGTATAATTAATTACCCATGTTTCACATCCATATGTTGCAACACTCCATGTATAACTTATAACATTTTTTTTTTTTTACAATTTAGGTCTCCAGATGGTCAGCTACTTATTGTATCTTCGTCGGATGGATTTTGTTCAATAATAACTTTTAGTCAGGAAGAACTAGGTGTTCCATTTATAGACAAATCAATAAAAATTAACGAGTCTGTTTGTCAAGAAGTAGAAGATCTTATTAAAGAAGATGCAAAATTATTGCCAACAAAAGAAGAAGAAAAAAACAATCCATCTATAGATCTAGCAGAACCTCCGACTAAGAAAAGAGTTCAATTAGTAACAATTTCTAGTCCCAAAAACAAAAAACATTTAAACAAGTAATAATGAGATTTGTAATCATTTTTATATTTATTTTGTAACATTAACATTTATTGATTTACACAATATTAAAAATAATTTATATTTTACTAAAATATTAATCGTTATCATCAAAAGTTATTTTTTTCCCTTCAAATTTCGCTAATGATTTTTGCTTACGTTTTGCCTCCCAAGACGGATGCAATACTGTCTCTACAGGATCCTCAATTTGCTGCCTCCTTTCTCTTCGATTACCATATGGTTTTTGTCTATTATTGGTGACTTTCTTCCCTTTGATAAAAATGTCTTTAGGTGGATTTCTATACTCTAGTTTCGAGGGTTCAGTCGTACTTGGTTTTTCAAGAGACGGTAGAGGTGGTTTATATACTGACTTGTATACTTCGTCATCAGTAGTCATGAAAAATGAATCTACTGATTGACAAACAGGTTCGATTTCTTCAATGTTTCTTCGTTTTTTCGACTCCTCTTTAATGATAAGATCAGACGTCCTTTTCAAACCGTGATCTTGACAGGTAAGATTAGTAATTGTTACTTCAGGCAATTCAGGTATTTCAAATGTTTCGGAGCATGATCTTTCATCAGAACTGTTTATGCTTGTATCATAATCAGTATTTTCGCTTAAGCAATCGGAATTTTCATCAACAAAATCATTTGATTTATTATCATCCAAATAATTATCGTTTTTATTTGTAATTGATTTGATGTTATGTGAAACAACTACTTGTTTGGACTTAGTATTTTCCATTGTACATGGTTCTGGTTTTTCATTATAGATAATATTGTCTACAAGTATATTTTTTTCCTTAATGCTATAACAATCTGTTACATTACTTTTGTTTTCTTCTGAATTGATGATTTTGTCATCAAAATCAACCAAAGGATTTTTTTCAAATATTTTATTTTTTATTTCTTTTTTTATTTTAGTTGATTTCTTTTGATTTGGTTTCTTTTTTGCTCTATATTTTGTACCTAATGCGTTTAATAAATCATTCATACTTAATTTCCAATCTGGATATTTTTTCCTGAAGTTCTTAACGGCATCCATTATAAACTTGTGTCCTGCTAATCTTGCTAGTGCTCTAGTTTCTATGCTTATATCAACTTTATTTAAAATGTCTGCTATTGGTGTCTCATTTTGTAAAGCATACTTTGTAACCATATCATCATTGAGTTTCTGAAATATATACGCCTCAATTAAACAACAAAATCAACATTTTTAAACTTGACATGTAATAATTTACCTTCATCTGCATTATTTCATTGACAATTCGTTCGGATTTTTTTTGATTTTTATTGATCTGTTCTTCATTGCCCTTTCTATCTTTTAATTTTTTTGACTCCCTTGATAGTTTATTAATTGTATGGACCTTTGATTTGCGAACTATGTGGCGCATAGAAACAATCTAAAAAAAAAAAAATGTATTTAAACAGTGTATAGATTAATACAAAATAGTTTTAATATTATATACTATGTTTCTAAATAATAATTAAACAGTTAATTAAAATAATTACCTGATTGTTAAGTGCAAATTTAGATAAAGGTTCCATTTTTATCAAATTGAATTATGTAAACGAAGAAATTCTTCAATAGTTAACAATTATTTAACATATTATATAAAAAAATAAGTTAATTTTTGATATTACTCAAAAAAGAAAACAAATTATTAGTAGTACTTAGTAGCTACTGCTAGTGTTTAATGTTTATTATAATTTTATTTTTTATAAAATTGTTCCTATAACCTTAAAATACAAAGGTTAAAAAAGATAAGAACATGTTCATGATAAGAGTCATGAAAACGATAACCGTAGTATGATGTGGTAATATGTTGTTTTGGTGTATTGAATTTCTCTGGTAAGTAGTCTGGTAATCTGGTATTATATTTTATCTATGGGTAATATTGGGCTGGGCGTTGGTTATCAGTTATCACAATAAGCAACAGGAACAAAATAATAATTAAACTGTAACATTTCGTATTTAAAAAAAACTGTGTAATTAAAAACAAAAATTAAATAGTTTAAATAAAACTTATAATAGAAGTTATTGTTTGATCGTTCCACTTTTAAAACTCAGCATAACATATGAATACTTCATCTTCTCAAGATGATTTTTTTCCTGAGTAAGTTACTATTGTAACATCTATTAATATCAAATAAAGTATTATATCAAATATGTTGATTATATTCATACTGTTTTAATTGACTTTTGTATTATTAGGAAATACTCGGCACCTAATTTTACCACAGACATGTATGATTTTGTTGATAATCGATTAGATTATTACAGTGACTATTTTGTCTCTAATGATTTGGAAGCTAACCAAAACAATGATTTAATTACAAATAATCCTGTTAAGTATGTATACAATTTACAGCTAAACTATTAATTTGTGTTCATCTGTTCAAAGTTATGTGTTGGCTATTATTTTATTACTTAACTATATTAATAATATTACAATATTATTAATTAAGTAATTAATTGATAATAATTAGTGCAATATATTATAAAATTTGTAGAAAATCCTCTGAACCTGCTTGTACGGATAACATAAATGATTTTGTGGAAGACCCATTAGATTTTTATATCAACTATTTAAATGAAAACAATTTGGAATGTATCTCAAACAATGACTTGGCTACTAACAGTTCTATCAACAGGTACTTATCTTAATAATTAATATGTCAATTGATACTTAAAGGATATACATTTTTTTTTTTTATTTACTGAATTATTATGATCTACTAAATCAATTGAAAATTATTAAGGTACTTAGTTCTTATACCGACCCCCTCTCACTAATTTTTTAATATCAGAGGGTAATTAAATAAAATAATACACACTACACATTAATACAGTTACTAATTAAGCGATTACTTGCGGCCTCTCCTGCGTCTACTTGCATACCATATATAGGACGACAGGTCAACGAGTTTTTTGGCACTTTCTCGCTCCGCTAAACTAAGAATATCCTAGATGTGCAGGCTAGACTCTAGGAGTAGATCATAAAACATATAAAGAGGCGCGGAAACGTATGACTTCCTAGATTGTAGCCTGCAAACCTAGCATATTTTGAGTTTTGCTGAGTGAATTAATGGCGCCGAGTAATCGAGTGCCAAAACACTCGGTGACCTGCCCTTCTATAGAGGTCTACAGAGGAGCAGGGCGGGAGTAATCGCTTCATTAGTAACTGTATTAATGTGTAGAGTAAATTATTTTATCTAAGTACCCAGTTATTGAAAAAAATCGATGGGGGTCCGTATAATACTCAAGTACCATTATTATTGTACTAGATTAAATATTACTATTGTTTATTTAATAGCCGAGAAAACATCCATAAGATTCAAAATATAGAATTGTTCAAATCTAAGTTAAAAATAAAAATAATCGTAATAATGTGATTACTTAAATTTATATTATTAACAAAAATGTTAGTATATAATAATATAATACTTTATATTTTACAGTTGTACTCCAGAAATATTTCCTGTGTCATCAGAAAATAGTAGTTCTGAATCAATGGTTAAGGAACAAACCCTGGCTGACGATGAAGTTATATACTTAATATCTAAAAACGCTCATGTATATAAGTGTGACACATGTGATAACCATTACTCTAACACTTTAGATTTGGCAAAACACCAACGAATTCATACGAAAGTTTTGAGCTGTAAGTTATGTGACCATCGTTTTTCTAATATATATGGACTTTCTCGTCACATGAGAACACATCGTGGAGAGAAACGGCACCGCTGTTTGGTTTGTAACAAAGCATTTTACGAGTCTAGTCATTTGGCAGCCCATTCAATTGTACACACTGGGGAAAAACCTTATGTTTGCCCCATTTGCCAGAAAACGTTTACCCACCATTCAAATCTCATTACGCATCGTAAAGTGCACGGCAAAGATCGACCTTATGAATGTGAAATTTGTGCTAAACGGTTCGTACGTCCATCCCATCTTGTAGAGCACAGGAAAATACATGGTGGTGACAAGCCATATGGATGTGACATGTGCGAAAACAAATATACAAGAAAGTCTCATCTAATCGAACATCGAAGGATTCACACTGGCGAGAAACCTTATACGTGTGATATTTGTAAAAGCAAATTTGCCAAGTGTTCAGAATTAAATAAACATAAAAAAAGATTACATAAGTAACCCATAATAATGCCAAATATTCTAATTGTGAGAATCTTAAAAGAGACTGAATTTAGTAAGTACTAACTAATTCTGACCAAACGATTTGTTCCAAAAATCTTTGGTATTTACTATTTACCCAAAAATTGAGATTTTATTGGATTTATGCATACCCAAAAAAACATAGCTGGGTTGAGCTTTAAGAAAAAAAACCTGATTTTTACTAACATTAATACATCAGCATTTCTGGATTTCATAATAGAAAAGTTATTTTACGATGTATAAATGAAGTTCAAATTAACATACAGACATTTCCCTTCTATAATATTTTTAATATATAATATTGACTATAATTATTAATAATGAACTGATATAATTATAAGTCAACACCACTCTAGTCATATATACATAATGTATAAATAAGTATTATACAACTTAAAGGCAAAATATAAAGTATCAACTCTTAAGAATGAAACTAATTTAATACTTATTAAAGACGTATAAGTATATGTATTAATATACCTTTATAGTTTTTAATTTTAAGAAATTTATAAATCAACCTAACTTACTATAAGTTATTGAAAATTGCTTATATTTTGCTTAATAATGGCATTATTATGTACATATGATATATTACATAATACTCCATACATTAACAAGGAGATTTAGTAAAATACATACTAAATTGTATGAGTATTATATTTTAAATGTATACTAATTACTATTTAACACTTTTAGTAAATGCCAATGAAAATAAATTTCTCTGGGGGTTTTAGTTGTTTCTTATACGCTTCTCTATTATAAATATATAATAATAATAAGTTAATTTAAAAATCGTCATCAAAACCTCTTTAACAAAATTGTGATTGAAGAATTTAAAGCACTGAAATCAAGTATTAATAATTATAATTTGTTCCTTGAAATGTACGATCTCGATAACAACCTAGTATTATAAATATGTGCTTACAATTTATTTTATTTTTCACTTGTTACTCAATCTGCACATGTTTCTATACTAACATAGTTGTACATTTTATAATAATATTGTAGAGCATACAAATAAAATTTTTGAATAACCCTTAAAACGTCTCTAAAAATTAAGTACCTCAGTATACATCAGTATAATTGTTAAATGTATAATATATTATAAAATCAATAGTTTTTTCAGGAAAGTATTTAGATATGATTTACTAAAAAAGGGGAGAGGGCTGGGGCACTAACTCTTAATAAAAACTTGACAATATTAAACTACTACAATTCACATCATATAGGCCCATAGGTAGACTAAAAAAAATCGGGGGTTGGAGCCCCCTCAGCCACACCCATAATACACCCCTGGGATCTATTATTAGCTAGTTGGACTTTGCCTGCCATACTTTTCGTTACATAGAACTTGAGTATCAGAGTATGATTATATTTAATTAAGCAAATTAACTGACTATTAAATTAACCAAGTGCCAAGTAAACTAAAGTATACTCAAAAAAAGTTGTCAACAGTATTAGAATACCACATTAAATTGTAGGTCATTTATCAAGTCACAATTTAAATATCTAATCTGTGATCAAGCTGATGTTGTGATAAGCCATAAATTAATAATCAACTTTTTTCCTGAATACTTTTATACATAAGTACTTTGTTACCAAATACATTTTATAAAGTATTTTTCAAGTGGTAATTTTGTCTCTTAGATAATAAATCGCTAGAATACAGTCAGTTAGCGAGAGTCTTTAAAAATAACATATTATAGTTAGCAAACAACATTGTAACCTTTGCCAAAAACATGAAATTCGAAATGTCCCCTGAACTATTTGTGTTAACTCCCTATTGGCAATTGATAAAATGAAGTTCTGATGAGTGTATAGAGTATAAACATAATTCATAAATGTTGTGTTCTCCATGGTAAACCATATAGCTTAGTGTTATTTAAACAATTACTTAAATTTTATTTGTAATGATTAATTAGTTGTTACATAACATAATACTAATTAGTGATTATATATCAGTAAACAAGAACTGGAATATGTATAATAGTTAACAAAAATATAAAATAAGTAATTAATAACCAATATTCACCTATTTACTGTATGTGAATCGATCTAGTCAGTAGTCATAGATTTGTAAATTTTATTATGTAATTCTGTTATTGTGTTAATAACTTTTTTATTATTACAGTGGGTGCCACTTTATTGTGATTAATTTACTCGGTGTCAAAATTCTTAGATTATTTTATTTTTAAGCATTTTATAATAATAAATCATTGTGCCATTAGTTTTAATCATTAATTATATCAATCATTAATTAAATCATATTAATGGGAATAATAATATATATATATATATATATATATATATAGACCGATTTTGTTTTTATAAATTAAGAACTATGAATTTATCTCTCCCAATCATTTACATACAAACCCTACCAAATCAATATTGTTTTATCCTAAAATATTAATCTTATACCAATTTAATTGCAAAATGAAAATTGTTCATATTTTACAATTAATTAAAAAATATAAAATTAATATGTAAGTTAAATTATGTCCAAAATTCTGTGTTATGTATGTTTGTAATTTATTATAATATTATGTGTTAAAATACAATTTACTATATTACGTAATTTAAATAATCATAACATGTAATCAACTTGGAACTAAGAAATGTATTCCTATCATATTAATAATAAACTAATAGGTTTTACTTAATAATATAATTCTATTAAATATAAAAATTATACATCAATTTAGTATACTTTCCAATCTGTAAATCCTGAATAATAATATTTTATTTAATTCTTTTTAATCAAGATCTATAAGCAAAATTAAACATTTCTATTAGATCAAGCCAAGTCACTACATAAAAACATACTTTCGAAAGAGCTATTTTGAAGAGGGGCACAATAGCCACATTTTTTATTATAGGAGTATGAAAGGTCATTTTTATATATTAAATTATACTTCTAATCAGCTAGCCCAAAATATTAAGTCAGTGTAAAGATTAAAACAATTTTTATCTTTTCCATGCTTTCTTTTTTTCTATTTTGTTTTTGTAATATGGTTAAATTTATTTTTACTTATTTAAGGGGAACTACTTTTTTTTTAGAGGTGCAGCTTGACCAATAGTTTCGCCAGTAGATGTTATAAAGTATTATTGCTTGGTATTAAAAAAAAACAATAAACAAGGAAGATTTCTTTTATTTATAATTAAAAATTTATTATTTCACACATTTTTTATAGGTATAATTAGCTATAATTTTATAAAAATTAACAAAATAATTTCATAAAAACATGTGTCTAATTTAAATTATGAGTTATCATAAATGAAGACAATGTGTGATTTTTAACAAAAAAAAAATAAGAACAAAAATATATAGAATATTATATTAAACAACATCAAATATACTTATCCATAAGTAAAATACTCTTACTTTTAATAATGCCCATTGTTTCTGAAATCTTGCATGTAACCCTGTCCAGAAAGATTTAGTGGATATTGAACGATTTTCATACACTGCGTTTATGCAGCTTACAGTCATTGGCCGTAATGATGTCAATCTAAAATAGTAAACAATTAACAAGCATACAACAAAAAATATTGTTGTTTTAATTTACTTTGAGTGTGTTCCCAAAGTTGTATCAATGCCACGAATTAAATCATTGGTTTTGAGAAGTAATAAAATTTGAGGATTGACCGTTTGAAGAATATATAGAGTTTCTGTTAACACCAATGGAATACCGGATTGAAATTTTTCTCTCTAAAATTAAAAAACAAAACTAGTAAATTAGTTAATTATTGATTGGTAAGCCATGTGAGTAGATAAAGTACCTCTTCGTCAGTCCATTTTTTGGTAACTATTCCATCTTGAACAGAATCCCAAGTACGTCCGGCTATCATACATACAAGCAAACCATACATTTCCTTGACTCCTAATTTGTTGCAATATTTCTGCATTCGTTCATGATTTTTGTCTAATATGCTCATCCATAATTTAGCATAGGTACATCTAAAATTATCTGTTAACGTCTGTAAAAGTCATCAAGTTTATAAAACCTTAGCAAAGACTACAGAAAAATGTAATAATTTTACTTACGGCATACAATCCATGATCCAATAATATTAGACTCAGATTTCCATGTTTGTCTTTGTTCACTAATAGATTACCAGGATGAGGATCACTGTGTACAAATCCATTTTTAAATATCATCTCACTATACAGGCTTCCAATTTTTTCAGATATTTCAGTCATATTAATTCTGAAAATTGTAGATTTTTATATTGTATAAGTAATAACATAGTCAATAGTTATTAACTAATTAAATACTCATTACTAGTCATAGTAGTGTAGTCATAAAGGGTATATGCTATAAGTTCCCTATGACTTAATACCCAATTATTATTATCAATATCATTACTTACTTATTTTGTTTTATATAATTAATGTCATTAACTTGGCCACCTTCACAATATTCCAGTGTCAAAACTCTACATGAACTATACTGATCATAAACTTTTGGTATCTAAAAATTTTAAAAAAGAATACGTAAAATATAAATGAGAATTTTCTTTACCTCAATGCAGTGATCTGTGGTGTAATCTGTACACACAGCGTACATCTTTAGGACTGCATTCAATTTTTAAATTACACTACCTTTAGCCAAGTAAAATGCTTAAACATAGAGCGAATCATTTCTGTATTTTTTGCTTCAATGGTAAAGTCTAACTCTTTCGGTATATTTTCTTTGGTTTGCTTAACAAGCCACTTAAACCGAAAATCAGGAAAAATATAGGAACCAATCTTCACCATTGCCTTTAACAAAATAATATATTTGTTTCATAATATTACAAATATTATCACAGAGTTCATAAATTATAATAAAATTTGACAATGGGCATACCTCTATTATAGCAATGTCTAAGCTAGCATCTCCGTGAACATATGAATGTTGTACTTTTATTGCTACACTTTCACCGGTGGACCGCAGCTTTGCTTTATGCACCTGAGCCAATGACGCGGCCCCAAGAGGTTTCGGATCAATTTCACTAAATATTTCATTGACCTTAAAATTGTATATATTATATATATATATAAATAATAGTTGTTCATTATTGTTTTGTTAATATAAAATGTATTTTTACGTCTTGTTTTAAATCTTCTTTGATAACTTTGTAGATTTGTGGCAAAGGTGTAATTGGTGCTTGGCTATGGAGAACTTTTAATGTGTCTGTATATTCTTTTGGAAAGAGATTCTCTAACGCTCCGATATGCTGACCAATTTTTATATAAACTCCTTTGTTGGAATAACATAATTGAAGTAATAGTTCAGCTCCTTTTTTGTGAGCCTATAGTAAATTAATATTTATTTAATTGAAAGAGTCAATTCCTATTTGTATAATTTATTCTATTTTTTTAGTATAATTTATTATTCATACCTTTGACCTGATTTCTTCGTAATTTGGTAACGATTTATCTACTGATGAAGCATACAAAGAAGTTTTATAATGGATTATCACATGCAACCCCTAAAATAATTAAAACAATTTGAAATTAAAATAAAACCGTGACCAAATCAAAAATATTACAAAACATACAGTGATGGCAGCGCGACTTAACCTCAGGATACCAATAGAATCTAAATTAAAACTATTGTCGTAATAGGAAATTGCGGTGGCTGTTGTTCCACTAGCAACACCTAATCCAATAATTCGCCTAAACATTTCAGAATATCATCACACCACTTAAAGAATAAAAAAAAATACTATTTTGTTATAACTTGTGAAGTTTGGTAAAACGTATTCACTTGTCAGACACTGTTTAATAATTAAAAATATTATGTCATTTTTAAGCTTTAATACTCCTATCTCATTTGGTAGAAAAGAAATCTAAATATTTTGTTATTTGTATTCTACATCACGAATTACGATCGACAAAATCAGAAAACCGACGACTGATCAGTGACCACAATATCACTTTAATCTTTTGTGACCTTGACCTCTTATATGATAACGGTAATTTGAAAATGTTTACTTATGAGCATTGAGCAATGAGCATGGACATTAAAATATATAATTGTTTTAACTATTAAATAATTTATGTAATAAATGATATTATAATATTACTATTTCAAACATAAATGTCGCACAATTAGTCTCAAGATAGCAGGGAGAATGTGAATTTTAATATCCGATTGATAAATATAATAAAAAAAAAAATTAAATACGAGCCGATCAGAGATAATTTAAACAAAACGATCTTTAAAATATACAATCATTTTCATATAATTAACTTTGGTATATGATTCTGTGTAAAGTTTACATAATGCTGAATGCATTGACAAACACAAAAAAGACTAGTTACTAAGTAACTAGATTAATAACTGTAATTAAAGCTAATCGTAATATATTGTATAGGACAGAAGACTTTCAAAATATAAAGTACTTTACATCATAAATTTCTAAATGAACGCTTCAGCTTAGTTTCCAAAGTACATTATACAAATATCATTAAATTATGTTTTACCATATAAATATAGTCAATATTATGACAAAATTAGCCTCTATGCAATGAAAAATAGTTAAAATAAAAACAATAGCTCCAATTAAATATATTAATTATTATTAATTAGTGAATTGTAAAACTTCAGAAAAATCTTATAGATTTTTGTACATTAATACATTATTGTACGAATAATGTATTATTGAATGTGTGACTATTGTCATATAACAGTTCTACTTATTTTTACATTCAAAGTAATGAACAATTATTTAATATTTTTTAATGTTAATGTTCAACTGTATACAATAACTATACTACAAGAAAACAAAGCTATAATTAGGTGAATTAATTACCTAATAAAATTATAAATCACACATAAATGAAATATCTTTATACCTAATTTTTAAGATATTGCCTAATAATACATTGATTAATAGTGTATAAAATATAATATATGAGATAAAGGCATGTCGCAAGTGACAACAGCGAGAAGAGTGTTGAATATATAAGTGTAATTGTTACTACGAAAATAAATATACTTGTAAGAATACAAATATCATTAGTTGGGCTTAACATTTGTTTCTCAACTGAAATATTATTTCTGCACAAAATAGTTGATTAATGAAGGTTTTTGTATACCTCTTTGAATTATTTTACATCAGGATTAGCTTCTTAACAGGCCATTTCTATTTCTAACCCTTTAATCTATAGGAACTAAATACTAAATAAAATCAAAATTTTGTATTTTAAAAGATACACTGTCTAGTACAGTGTCAATTAGTGTTGTGGGTATTATGTGTAATGCTAAATAAATATTCCATTGAGAATAACTTGAGAATGTATTGGTTCTTTTTTTATAGTTATATAAATACACATATGTAGTAGGATGGCAAAAATTGATATATTATGTTTTGTTATAATTACTTTTTGTCAATTTAAGTGTAAATTTAAAATTACACAAAATGGCAAAAGATGGTATGCCTAGGTGCTTTCATTATCAAGCTACGGTTGCTTAAATTAAAAAAAATGTTTTTCTGCTATAATAAAATAAATAGTTTGTTTTGATAGTTGATATATATATATATATATATATATATATGTATATATATGTATGTATGTATGTATCAACCAAAACTCAATTTGCATTTTATTTAAAATTCCTGATGTCATTAAGAATATATAAAGTGATATATCAATTGGTCATATAAATATTATCACAGAAATTACTAGAGGAACTAAATCATAAATCTTATTCTGATTGAAATATATGAAAAGATGGTAATAATTTACATAAAACTATACTTAGTGTTCATACAAATGAATAAAATTTACATTGTACATACATTTTTATAAACATTTTTTGAAAAAAATTAACCATTTAAGTGCTAGTGATTATTATAATTATTTATTACCACCATTTAGATTTATTATATTTTCAGTAACTAAAATAATAAGTAATTTATGTCAATGTAACGTTTGTGTGTAATATTTTAACATTATGTTATTTAAAAATTCAAATTATATACTTTGTACACACATATATTAAATTAAGTTTAATTTAAAATGTATGTTGTTTTACTATTAACATACTTATTAATATTTATTAATTATACTGACATTTTTTTTTTAAAGTTAATACATTAATGATAGTTATATAAAATGATATTTTATCTAGTTGAAACGGAAAGAGGGGAATCGCGGTCATATGTATTGTTACCATCAACCATTTCTACATCATCCTCTTCTTCATCATGAGTCTCACTATCGTCTGAGGCGTTTACTTCTTCTTCTTCATCATCTTCTTCTTCTTCTTCCTGTATCTGTAATTAAATAATTATTTTTCAACATTAAACTATAATTACTTTTTTTTTATATAATAGCCTTTGGCTTTACTAAAAAAATAGTATGGTAACAAAGTACATGTTATCAAAAACTACATTAAAATAATTATTAAATTTAACTAAACATAATAATATGAACTTTATTATTATTTTCTATTTGTGCATTTATAAGAAGCTATTAAAATGTTTTATATATTCCAAAATGGTAAAAATTTCTAAAACTGTTAAGAGTGTTTTATCCTGTATACATAAAACCTGTAACATAAAAATACTTGTTTGTTTTAGAAAATTACAGTAACTTCAATTTTATAATAAGAAAAATAGTTTAATGTATCACAAATTACAATAAATATAAAATATTTATTACTTCAGTGGCTGTTTTTCCTATTGGTAATGGTATGTCTTTATCGTTGATTTTATTTACTACCGAGAGGAGCTGCAATAAAAATAATTTACAAATGGAATGTATAAAGAAATAAACCGATAACATATAATTTTGAATTAATGTTACCCATGTTTGGTGTGCACTTTCAATTTGAACAAGTTCCACATCTTCATTTTTGGCTTTATCTACACTAAACCATAAAGGATCTACAATACTTGGTGTCAACGTAGGATAAATCGGTATGCTGGGGTTCATTGTAGACTATATATTATATTATTTTTCATCGGTGTCAAACAAACTCGACATTTTCATACAAACCGATCTACACAGTATACGTTTTCGACTATCGTTCGTGATGTCAATGATAAAATCGCTTATCATTTGTCAACAACTACACTTATCACTTTTAGCGGCAGCTATATCGATGATTTCTATTATCACATATTGCAACCATAGACCTATAAAGATAGGTCTTTATAGGTCTATGATTGCAACCACTTCTCCCAAATTGCATAAATTCCAATGTCACTAAAGACACACCGACACACCAGGCACTTTATTGAAAACATTGCGCTCTGGTAGACAATAGGCATATTAATGTCAGTAGTCGTGTATATGTGAATATATTGGAATTTTTTTCTAAAAACCACTAGTTATATAGCAAATGGTTTTATCCATTTTTTGTTCATCAAACATCTTAATTAGAATAAAAAAATTTACCATAATACATTTTTAAAATTACAAATATTATATAAATTTTACATTTTTTAATGCTTTCTTATGGGAAGATAAGCTTGTGCTGTTAGCTACAGCAGCGCTGAGTGTCCCGGTGCCTAAAGAGAAAACTATGATTGTCTGTTAAACCTCCCTCAGAATATATATATGTATATATTAATTATTATTCATTCTGCGATTCTATCCCTTTTAATCACAACTTCGTGATAACAGATTAATCATGTAAATATTTTAAAAAAACAGCCGACAATCTATATTTTAAGTTTAAGTTTTTGTATTCTATAAGAACTAAATTTTTCTTCGTTATGGAGCTAGATTTAAAAGACTTGGATCTCTATGGGATGCTTGATATTCAACAATCGGCTACTGAAAAGGAGGTTAATAAAACCAAAGCTCCATCTAAGTAAATAATTTTTGTTTATTAATTATTAATGTTTTGATTTAATTTTAGATTAAAACCGCATATCGAAAAAAAGCTTTGCAATGTCACCCAGACAAAAATCCAGATAATCCCAAAGCAGCTCAATTGTTTCTACAATTATCTAAAATATTAGCAGTACTTACCGATAAAGCTGCACGGGTATGACTATTTTTTGTTTATTTAATTTTTCAATTTTTTTTCATAAAACAATGCTTCGAAATTCTATGTTTACAGGCAGCCTATGATAAACTAGTAAATGCTAAAATAGCAGCAAAATTACGAGAAAAAGAATATGATTCCAAAAGAAAAAAACTTATTGATAATCTCGTACAGAGAGAACGAATGGCAATGGGACAACAAAAAGACTCTGTTGAGCGCAATTTTGAAGTAAAGATACATTTTGTCCAGATACATTTTTATAATACAAAATGTATTAATAATTTTATCGTAAAATTACAACATGTATAGAAGGAACTAGAACGGCTAAGAAAAGAAAGTTCAGCTTTACTTGCTAAAGAAAGACAACGTGTTAATGAATTACTTAAACAACAAGAGGCGGAAAAAGAAGTGAGTGGTTCATATAAGTTAAAAGTGAAATGGAAGGACCAAGGTGTTTATGATGAAGACAATTTAAAACATTTATTTTCTAAGGTAATCAAGGTGTAATCAATAATTTATTTTTCTTTATTTTCTATGTACTAATTATATTTTTATTAAACACCATTATTTAGCATGGAGATGTAATAACTGTTGTAGTTCTAGAAAACAAAAAATCTGTTGCTCTTATCGAATTCAAGTCTAAAATATCTGCTGTAGGTACATTAAGAAATGTTTTAATACATGGTGGTTACGAAAAATTAGTTTAATTATATATATTTATATATATGTTTTAGATTAATGCAAAAAATTTTGAAGTTGGTTATCCCAATTGTCCACTCTCTGTAAGTTTCCTTGGAGATTACGGATGTAATACTAATAGTAAAGACCAAAGTACTACACCAAAACCAAGTAACATTTTTTCTGCCTATAATAGTGAAAATTCTAATCATACTGAAACGACCACTAATGCAACTACTACACAGCAAACTTCACAAGTAATTAAATGTATATTTTATACAAATATCATTGTAATGTTTTTTTTTTTTTTTAGAATTTTTCTGATTATGAAGCGATGATACTTGAGAGATTTCGACAAGCTGGCAAATCTACTCAACCGGAATAAGTTAACACTAAATAACAAATGACTTAGTCAATTTTTAATTTTATTGTTAATTATTATGTAAATTTTGTTTAAATGTAATTAAATGTAAATTATCAGTAAGCATTTAATTTTGTATATATTTGCAATAAGCATTGCCACCATATTCTTATCATATTTTGTAATTATTGATAAGAGCATTTATCAATTATTGTGATTAGTTTGGGACTACAGTCTACACGTAACACGCTGCATTTAATAATTTTTAAAACTGCAGATCGTTAACTTGAAACTTCATGGTTACGTCAAAAAAAAAAAGTGATGTACAGACTTTAAGTACACTTTTTATTAAAAATAATTTATTTTTGTCGAGTTGTGGATTAATTCTTAGCCTGAATGGAAAACAATAAGCAATTATCATACCGTAACAAAATTATATTAGCACCTATGGTCAAGATCAACACTCTTCCAATGCGATTGTTAGCTTTGGATTATGGAGCTGATATTGTTTATACAGAAGAATTGATCGATTATAAACTATTAAACTGTCATAGAAAAGTAAATGGTACTTATATTGAATTACTTTTTTTTGTTACGCAAAATTACAGTAGTAAATTCATATCAATTTGTATTTGATAATTTATGCTTACTGCATTTTCAGATACCTTAAACAGTGTTGATTTTATTGATAAAAGTGATGGCACAGTAGTGTTTCGAACATGTCCACGTGAAAAACCGTTTGTAGTTCTTCAAATTGGTACAAATGATCCAAGTCGAGCTGCAATGGTCGCAAAACTTGTGTATGTTGAGTATGATTTGACAGGGGTGAGATTGTAAGAGTATCTGCCTCTTATTTTTCTATGTATGCATGTAATACTCATAACACAAATAATGTCCATGCGGATTGAGTATGATTTTCATCATTTTCATGCTTAAGAGCCATTTCACACGTACCCGGCGACCGTTTAAACAGCACCGGTAACCCGGTCGTATGTATTATAATAAAATGTGAGCTTTCACACGTGCTAACCGGCACCGATGCTGTTCAAACGGTAGTCAATAGCCGATAGTCGATAGTGAAATGGGCCTAACACTAAAATTGTCAGTCGTATAGTTCTAAGCATGTAAATTGTATGTACCCACCTCACACTTTTTTAAGTACACGCATACCTAAAGAAGTTTGAGGTGGGTACATACAATGTATATGTTTAGAACTATACTACTGACGATTTTAGTGTTAAGTCACCACAACTATTTTAATAATAAATATATTATCTAAAAATATTTTTATTTTTATTATATTATCTAATATAATTTTAATTTAAAATTATAGAGAATATGATGTTGCCGGAATTGATATTAATATGGGTTGTCCAAAAGGATTTTCACTTAAAGGAGGTATGGGAGCAGCGTTATTAAATCAATCAGACAAGGCATGTGCCATACTATCTGCTGTAATTTCCACTGTTAGTATTCCTGTCACGTGTAAAATTCGAATTCTCCGTGATATAAATGAGACAGTGTCGTTGTGTAAAAAACTTGCAGCAACCGGAATAGCTGCAATTGGTATACATGGTCGTAGAATCCATGAAAGACCAATACACGAAAACAGAAACAATGTAATTAAAGCCGTTTCCGAGGCATTAGAAATTCCAGTTATTGCAAAGTAAATAATTTTAGCTGTATGTATTTTTCTATCAAGTATTGTTTCTTTTACTAAAATATTTTGAAATTTAGCGGAGGTTCTAAAGATATCAAAGTATATGAAGATATCGAGAAGTTCAAAATTGTAACTGGTTGCAGCAGTGTTATGATTGCTCGATCTGCTGAAAAAAATTGTTCTATTTTTAAGCGTGATGGAAAACTGGAAGTCCCTGCTGTTATTCGAGATTATTTACATCATGCTATAAATTACGATAGTGTGGCTGCTAATACAAAATATTGTGTTCAAAACATGATGGGAAATGTCCATGAAACCGAGTTGGGTAGAACATTTTTAGAGACTTCCACACTTCAAGAAATATGGTGTGTTGTATTGGTAGATTGTTTTATATTATAACGTATAACTGTCTATTTCAAGTTTAAAAATAACAGATAATTTTTTTTATTTCCAGCGATCTTTGGCAATTAGGAGATTATTGTCGTGAAAAACAGAAAAAAATGAACATGCTCCGTTTTGAGGAAAGAGATTTGGCATGTAATGATCAAAAGCGAATTAAACCAAATCCAGTTGATGAAACACAAGATGACATCAATAGTTTAAAATGCATGTACATACGATCATTGTATCCTATGCCAGAAGACTTACCAAAAACCAAGTTATTAAACTGGGCAAAAACTCATAGAAAACCATTACCTAAATATCATACAGAGCAGTTTGAAAAACTTTTTAAAAGCATTGTGACATTTGATAATAAAAAATATTCATCTTTATTTTGGTGAGATTATTATTCTTCAGAGGATGCCAAACTTTTAATTTATAATGAAGCAGATTATTAAGCATTTTTTGCGTCTGTAATGACAAAAATGAATAACATTAATTTTTTCCGTGAAAGCAATGCATTCCATTCATTTCAAAACCATGTGGAAAGAAACATTTGTAATGGCTTAAGTGACATTAAGAAAAAGTAATTTTCAGTACGGCCATCAATATGATAATAAAATTTTGATGTCAAAAAAAATACAATATTGTACAATGTTGTACCTTGGGGTTTTTTTTTTGGTACAGTCAATTGTTATAACTTTATTTTAATTGTAAGAAAAATAGTTTTTTCCCCCTCCCCAAAAAAAATAATATGTGGCATCTTCTTAAAAACATATAGTATTTTTAAATGTTTTTTCTTACTAAATCTGTATTTTTATTTTATTTTAGGGAAAAAAACAAGCGATGTGCTGAACAAGGTTCTGCTATTGTGTGCCTATATTTCTTAAATGTTTATGACATGGAATATTTGAAAATTAATGGAATTCTTGGATAACAAATATTTTCAGTTTATAAAAATAAAAATATAAAATATATTAATGACTGATTTTTTAGCATTAATGTGTACCTGAGAAGATAATGTTTTTACAATGAAGTATTTTTATTTATTTTTTGTGTCTGGATCCACAATATATCCAAAACTACTCATCCAAATCCTTCAAGTAGTAAGTTTTAAAGATAAAAAATTGTACTTAAAAAGTACTTTACTTAGCCGAACATTTTAAAAGTCCACCTCTGCCTCTTAAAAATTTAAATAAACACAAAAAGATTACACAAAATATTTATAAGCATTTTTATTTTTACTTTTTTATAGTTTTTTCTAACTATTTTTTTAGTTTCTAAATCAAAAATCGGTCTTTTATTCCCCATAGAAAAAATAATAAGCTTCGCATAAAAATAAAAAAACTTTAAATCCAATAGATATGCCAGAAAATGATTTCTACGAAAGTAATTTTTATCAAACTTTTGTCATAATTCGGAGAAAAAAAACTTTAAAAGTATTAAAATTGGAAAATTGTAATATGTGTTCACCTTGAAATTAGTAGGCATATGAAAAATGGCTATTAGATCAATTTTTGTCAAATATTGCCTATCCTTTGCCCCTTAATAAATAGCTTTCCGTTCCCCTTAAAGAAAAACCAAATAAAGGGGAAAATTACACTTTGACCGAACATTTGTAGGTTGTTATATATTAGTGAATCAATAGTCAAAGTCGGGTATTTGAAAATATCTTCAATTATTTAGGTTATCAACAGCAAAAAATTCTGCCCTCCCTCATGACTACTCCTATTGACACCGATTTATCAACCCCCTTCAGTTTTCCATGGCTTCATTAACTGGATCTTTCCCGTTAAAGTATATCCTCCTTCCCTCAACTCAATAAGGATCTCCCACTTTCCTAGTCTTGCATAGCTAGGTATATTTGATAATCAGATCTGGACAATTTTTTATTTATATAACAATTGTTTGAAAAAATATATTAATTAAAACTTCAAATAATATTTTATGAAAATACTATTTTTGTTTTACTTTTTCAAGTGATTTTTATTTATTACAAGCTGCCCGGGATTTAGTTTTCCAGGGCTGAGTAAAATAATTACAAATAAGATAAAAAAAACTCAGTACTCCAGGTTGTATATTGTAGAGCTTTAGCATACCTCGTCTTGGTTTTTTTTGGATTTACACATGTACATTACATTATATTGATTATGTGCCTTACTTAAGGGTCCCAATTCTAGATCCAGTTCAAAAGTTTAATAGCGTCCCCAGAAACGGCCTGTTCCTTTAATCACGCTCGAGTACCGTGGTTACCATGGTTACTACCAAAGAGTTATTTTGGGTTAGCAACGAAAAATATTTCGTATTTAAAGTAGAAAAAACATGTTTGAGGTCATCCTTGGGGGTGGAATTTTCGAAAAGTACTAAGCTAGTTGTAATGCATAAAGGACAAATACATACACACATACATTTATTTATATACATATATATATATATATATATATATTATAATTATATTATTATATCTCATAGGGTTTAATAAGAAATTAAAATTTGTTTTTATACAATGTGATCTCAATTTTTCACAATTTTTTTTGTTTTTACGACCCTCCCAACTTAGTTTTTTATAGCAACTTTTAAAACTTAAACGGCAACGTATATATTTTATTAACTTTTTAATTTGAGAATAATGTACTAACAATTTTGTCTGGTTGATAATCAATTTCGGATAACTATTTTTAAAGTTATAAGAGTTTTAAAGTTAGGATGAGAGGGGAAGTTCGGTTGGGAAATGCACGCAGATAAAAATATTACTACACTCCACCTTTTCTCCTGCCCTAATCTTGAAACTTCAACAACTTCAAAAATAATTATCCGAAACTGGTTATCGACCAGTCAAAATTTTTAGTACATTATTCTCAAATTAAAAATGATATATTAATAAAATATATATGTTACCATTTAAGATTCAAAAATTGCTATAAAAAAACTAAGATGGGAGGGGGTAAAAACAAAAAAAAATGTGAAAAATTGAGATCACATTGTATAAAAACAATATGAAAAAACAAATTTTAATTTCTTATTAAACCTTATGAGATATTGAGTGGCTCATGATAAAAATATCACCCTGTATGTATAAATGTATAAAAAAAATTGATGTTATTTATATTTAAATATTTTTTTTTTACTATATAGGTACATTTTTAAAATTATTAGCCCAGGTCAGAAAGAAGATAATACAGATCAATTTAACTGTTAACACAATACTACATACACATATTATGTATAGTATAAATATAAATGATAGGATAGGTGTTAAATGTTAATATTATAGATTAATATTGGCCGTTATTAGTATTACTGAATAGTAATATATTTTTCACGGACCTAATTGACAGCCGGCAACTCAAGCTTGACCTCGTGGCTCAGTTATCAAAGCTATTATACAATATACATTTATAGGTATTAGGTACCTACAGCAGTTGCCACCAGCCACTTGCCGGAGAAACTTCGGCGCGTCAAGTCATGATTATTAGTTATTTCATTAAAAAAAAAATGAGATTGGAAATTGTGTCGGTGTTATTGGCGTTTTCCAGTTTGTCAGCTGCTTCGCAATCGGTAATTACGAGTATTACTTAAAATATATTATACCTAATATTAATAATAGCCAGGCCCCTAATAATAATAATTATAACACATTAATAATAATGAATTAACACGATATTCGTCGACTATAATCTAAATAATTATTTTGACTTCTATACTATACTGTAGTCTGTAGTATTAAGTCTATGAATAATAACTAATATTTTTACATTATGATTATACTTATTGATAAGAGGAAGACCTATACCGGTCACGTTTAAAACAATGTTGAACCCCGAAATTTGTTTTGAAAAATTTGGTAAGCATTAGATATTTTTTTAAAAATCGTTGTGCTAATGTTTACTGAAGGCATCATTAAAATCAAATAATGAGTCGATCGTTGGAATAACCTTTCGATCGGTAATATTAGTTTTTTTAAGAAATGTATTACTATATTACCTATTTATTACGGTCAACTATGTTCCTAATACTCAAGAGTCAGATATCAATCATGTACAAGAACAAAAAAACATCCTTTTATAAGTTTTTTACCTTCAGATATTTTCTAGCTCGTCTTTTTTTTTGAAACCGCTTTCAAATTAGGAAACAACTTACGAAACAAAAATCATAATTTTCTTTTGTAATAAAAAATATGTCTACATTAGTTACAATGTATTCTATGAATTTCTCTCTTCAAACCAAGGACATTATTTTTCAGTACCTAGCACATTTTAGTTAATTCTTGGGGGATATCCAAAATTTTATTTGAAATCCAATCCTAAGGAGCCTGACATCAATTATTTTTCATTTAGTCAGCTATAAGTTATAGTCTATAACTTATGGCTATAATACCACGCAATGTATACAGGCATGGATACATTATTAAACATTATTAAGGAACAATAAGTCACTTAAACGTAGCGGTTCTATTAATTATAACAGTCGTTTTCACACTTTTGCAGTTTTAGTCTTGTGTTATATCTATTTATAAAATAGAATAATCTATTCATATTGTGTTATCAATCATTACAGAGATTATGTGGTATTATTAGTAACTAATCATTGAGCTGCATCCACACACTTAAGTACATTTAGTTCTTGGTTATTTTATACAATTGTATATTTTTACATAATATTATATTAATAATTAAGAACTTTAGTCTAGTAAACAAAAGTATTTTAGGATTGTCGACCATTACATTTTGTAATTACACTTTTCAAATATACCTTTCATCCGCACACTAAAGTACATTTAGTTCTTGGTTATTTTATACAATTGTATTTTTTACATAATATTATGTTAATATTTAAGAACTTTAGTCTAACAAACAAAAGTATTTTAGGATTGTCGACCATTACGTTTTGTAATTACACTTTTCAAATACACCTTATTTATTTAAAATTTGAAATGCGTGATTGTTGCTGACGTATAAGTTTTAACCTTTGGTCTTTATTTTTTGGGTTAACAGCAATCTTGAACTGAACTTCGTTATAGTTTAATAACGTTATAGTATATTTAAGTAAATTATAACGTTTACATTTTATTAAATTAATTTTTACACATAGTGCACCTACTCATTTTAATTTTATTATCATATTTTTCTGTATAATCTACCTATAAAGTTTAAACATTAGATAAAAGAGAAAGAGGGAAAAAATAAAGGTAGTGTTATTGCATTTATTTGGGTAATGTGTAAATTATTTTACCGAATTTTCCCTACATAAACATTTCATAGTTTCATGCTCATTGCTCAAAATTGTTTCTTAATATAGTTTAATGTTAAATCATAAATGTATACAAACTTATTAAACATTTTATAACAGTAAATTATTTAAATAATTAAAAATAACGTTTTGTACGAAAATGATATATGCAACTAGTTTGTAGCGTATTTTGAATACGTAATTTATTTTAAGTTAGACATTAAAATTATATTAGTGAGAATTTCAGTAAAAGTATCAATTAATATACTGTATTATTGTTTACATTTCAAAAAGTATAATTACATATTATGTATAAACAGCGCTCATACGTCGTATGAGTTGAAGTACTGTATATTTTTATACATTCGATTTATTAAGAGAATCTCAGCGCGGTCCATTTTAAGGAGTAAAGTATAGGCAATTTTTTACAAAATCTTAACTTAAAAGTTAAACTGTGATGTGTAATTATTAGTTCAGTAATTAGGACTTTTTTTGGTGGTTAAATTATTTTTCGGACTATCACAGCATCCGTGACAGCGATTTAAAAAAAAATTTCCATAAAAACTTAGTTTTTAAGATCCAAAAATACGGCTTACTGAGTGATTTTAGAGCCAAACACCTTATAATCAAAATCAAAGAAAACGGCATTATTGAGAGCACCTCGAAGCCTTTTTTAAAATTTTAAATAGGACATTCATTAATTTATTTTTAAAATTATACAATTTTTGTAAATTTTAAACCCCGCAACTTCTAAAAAAATGATTTTTTTGAAAAAATGGCTTTGAGATGCCCTTCAAAATATTGTTTTCTTTAAATAATCTAAAAGGTATTTTTGCATTATTATCAATTAAGAGCCACTAATTTTCAATTAAAGTAAACATGTTTTAGTGCCGGTAAATCGCTGCGCTGACATCCTCTTAAGTGTTTGATTAAGTGTTAATGATCTCCCCTTTGGGCAGATTTTGTATGTGGCATTTGTTTTATAATAAGCGGAAATCAAATTCAAGCTATTTAGCTATTATTTTAATTGGTTCAGAAAAATGTCAATTTTTTATCTCCTTAGGCGCAATACCACTTAAAGCAATTAAACATAATTTTTTCATTAAGGAATTACAGGTGTATTTATTTAAGAGTCATAGCAGCATGACAGTTCCATATGGAATTTCAGCACAAAAAGGCGTTAAAATACATACTTTGTATAAATATAAACATATATTCTATTACAAGGCTATAAAAACAAGAAATCCAGAGCTCGGCGCTAATTCAGATGAATGTTTTTTCCTATGGTTGCTGTATAACTATATAACTTATGATAAAGATATTATAAATGTATGATTATCTAGTAAGGAATAATGTTATTCTATTATCATAATTTCGTGGGTTTTCTAGAATCTAGTGTATAAATAGAAAAAAAAATAACGTTTAATGTTTAACGTTCATGGTCTAATATCCGTGCCAGTGGAATTACTATGATTTTGCAACGCCTTTTAGTTAAAAATACATAAAACCGGAGAAATTACAAAATTATTATTATTTTTTTTTTCCTGTGGTTATATTGTATAAGCATATTTTGACAATATTTTGTTACATGTAGGCAGGTACACATATATATTTTCAAAGTTACACATAACACATTGTCCATTTCAGTGTACCAATATACAATGTAGTTATAAATAATAATACAATATATTTTATGTTTCTCCCATGACAACTTGAAATAAAAATAGTGATGTGTAATGTATACAATAACTTTACATTATTTATAATAAAATTACAGAGTTCACCTGTAAGGGATCAAGATGTTGTGTCATACAGTCTGAATAAAGTAAGTAACTACCCGACTTGAATATAAACAAATTTGTTTTGAAAAAACACCAATTGTTAATTGTTATCTAATGCTAGTCGACTGAACGAACGTTTATTGTTGACCATGAAAAAAACGAATTCCTTAAAGATGGTAAAGTGTTTCGGTATGTTTCCGGGTCCTTACACTATTTTCGGATTCCTAGAGAGTATTGGAAAGACAGGATACACAAAATGAAAGCTGCTGGTTTAAACGCTATCACGACGTGAGTGTAATGTTGTTACATACTTGTATTTTAATAATTATACTTGATTTGTTGCCAAAACATGATTTGAAATAATATTTTGTCAGTATTAAACATTGTGCAAACACTGTGAAAAAAAATTCCGAAATTAGTGACTTGATAAAATATTTAGATAGTTAATATTGTAACTTCAATAATACATGTAATTATATTGTATAGTTGTATATAAATCACAGTTTTGAACTCTTATAATATTAAACGTCGGCGATTGTAATCTGCACCTAAGTAATCCATGTAATGTAAATAGCACATATAAACTGCACCCCAGTTTTTATCACTAGTAAAAACAAAATATATTATGTAAAATATACGCATCTATGTACGCACTTATGCCCTATATTGTATATTATTTACAGTATTAAGTTTGGTGATGACACTATTTTAGATATGTAGAATGGAGCTTGCACGAACCATTTCCGGGTGTGTACAACTTTGACGGATTAGCTGACATAGAATACTTTTTGGAGCTAATTAAAAAGGAGGACATGTATGTATTGCTTAGACCAGGACCATACATTTGCGCTGAAAGAGACTTTGTAAGTGGACGCTAAACGTTAAACACACTAAAATATTTAATATATCTTGTATTATTTTAGGGTGGATTTCCGTATTGGCTCTTGAATGCTACTCCTAAAAAAAGTCTAAGGACCAACGATCCAAGTACAGTATAACCGATAATTAAATGTTCCTAGATTTAATTCGATCTTAATGATTATACAAAGTACATTTAGAGAATAATCGTATAAAGTTTACTCTGCGAGTATTTCTTTCTGAAAAATATATATATTTCTTTCTAAAAGAGCTACTATTAGTGTGCTAGAAAATACGAGCATGTTATAACTTAAGACTTTTTGATTTTCAATTTATTATTTGTTTTGCGAATTTTTGAAGAATTAAATTAAAATTTGTCGGTAAATACAAATTGTCGAGACACTAAAAAAAAAGTACTTCTCTACAATTAATTTTTAATTTAGAGCGTTTCTAATAACAATTTCAACTTAAATTTTGTTTTTTAAGAAAAGTTAATGGGGATTACTAGCGATTATTTATTTTTTCTTAAACACTCGAGTACTGTGAACTATCTTAGAACTATTCTGTTTACGTTGCGTATTTTCATGGTTTATCAATACATACATCAACAAAAAAATGTTGGAAATAGTTAAAATATTATAACAACTAAAATAACAATATTGAGTAAAATGCCATTTGTCATTGTACTAATAACTAATTGTTTTTCTACTACTACAAAGGGTTGAACATAATTCAACGCTAATCCACAGTGTTCGACCTTTGTTGAAACAATAATGCTATAATATCAATAACAACTAAAGGCGTATTGTAGTAGACTTCAAATCGTATAAAATTGATGGTTTATTTATACAAAAGGAAAATTAATCAAATTAATCATTATTGACAATCTTATCTCATAAACTATACAACATTTTCAAATTAAATTATTTTTATAGTTCACCTCTTCTCAGTCCCTTTCAGTCAGTTTGTACGACAAACAGGCAATGATGGGAAAATAAAAGTTAAAACTTTGTCTGACTTTAATTGTATTTTTTATTTGTATTTTTAATTTGTATTTTCTATTATAAAGCTTCAATTCAATTATTAAAACAAAAGGAAGAATATGAACCCTCCCTATTTCTTCTTTTGGTGGATAACTTATTAGGTCACTACTTTGATTTCACTGGGTTAAGTTTAGAACACTGACTTTGCCATATTATAATAAGAAAAATCAGTATTAGAACTTAAATCCTTCTACTAACATTGATGATTATTTCTTATTAAATGTTCACATGTTAGGTATTGTCTTCTGAAAAATATTGTAATATATATTTGATATATATCCATATGTCTTTTAAATTGTTGCCTTAATCTATACAAACGGGGTCGGCCATCTCTAATCTCTCTCCTTCTTCACTTCTCCGCCATTTTCGAATTAGCTTATTAGGTATTATTATACTTATGTATAATAATAAACTTATTCGTTTTGGTTTAAGCTTATAAAGATTATGTGAAGAAATGGTTCGACGTGCTAATGCCGAAAATGCGTCCTCATTTATACGGCAACGGAGGAAACATAATAATGGTTCAGGTTCGAAATAACGTTTTATGCTTGATGACTCGAGAGCACTTCAACCATACATTGTGAAAATGTAAAATTGTGTTTTCAAAAATAGGTAGAAAACGAATACGGTAGTTATTATCCATGCGACCAAAACTATACAATATGGCTACGAGATCTGTTCCGTTCTTACGTCAATGAAAAAGCTTTACTTTTTACTATTGACGGATGCGGTTCTTCGTACTTGGCTTGTGGCTCAATACCAGAAGTGTTTGCCACCGTCGACTTCGGAGCTTCAGTACAAAATGGTGCGGCATTTGAACGGAGAAAATCGACATAGTACATAAAAGCAATGTTTGTTTCAGCGCAAGATTGCTTTAATTTCATAAGAGAGATACAAAAGACCGGCCCTCTGGTCAATTCAGAGTTTTACCCGGGCTGGTTGTCTCATTGGCAGGAACCGAACCCTGTCGTACATTCGGAAGACGTGGTAAGAGTGATGAAACAAATGTTGTCGTTAAACGCCTCGTTTAATTTTTACATGTTCCACGGTGGGACCAATTTCGGGTTTACTTCGGGTGCCAACACAAACCAAAGCACGCCTAATGCAGGATACCAACCTCAATTGACTTCGTACGACTACGATGCGCCCATGACCGAAGCCGGAGATCCGACAGAAAAATATTTCAAGATAAAGCAGGTCCTCGGAGAAGCCGTGAGTGGTCCTTTTTCCATTGAAATATTTCCCATATAATCTAAAAAAAAAAAAGTAAAATATAATAATACAATACCATTGATTAAATAAACAATGTATTTCAGCTGCTTGACAAATTAAAAATATTATATGGGTAGTAGTAACAGATTAAATATAACAGATAACACTAAAAAGTAAGTAGGTGAATTCAATGGGCTGTTTAAAATAATTGAGAAGCACTGAAAAAGAGAATTGCATTAAATAGATGAACTAGTTTAAGCAGCCGACGACAAAAAATCGATGTCTTGTGATAAAAACGTTTTTATTTTTAAATGTTTAAGTATGCTTTTATTTAATAAAACTATTAAATATTTAAAAGTTCGTCGTTTGTTATGAGACAAGTTTTTAAAGAGTTAATATTGAGCAAGATACTGAGAGTAAAATAGTTCCAACTCTAAAAAATTAAAAAAAAATTATTTACAGGATGCTGGGAATACACATAAAATCAGATCGCGCGCAGGCTCCAAGTGAAGGCCGTACTTGCGCAATATTTGTTCCGTTTTTTTCAATTGTTTACACTAGTAAAGTTAATAGATTTATTATATATTAGCAATTATGAACATAAACGGCACAATAAATAAATACCCGGCAACCTTATTACCCTCCAGTGTTTCTTCTTTTTTATAATACTTTTACGATTTATTATTATTTAACTAAATAAGAGATCAGTCAAATACATTATTAATAACAGCAACAAAAAAATAGAACAAAAGAAAATAAAAAAATGAAATTTACCAAGCATACATTTTCATAATCTACCGCCTTCGGCTAAACTAGACCGCGCGACCTAAATAGGTTGCGACCTGTTTATCTCTTTCAGACCAGAATTTTATCTATTAGTTTTCGTCTTTAAAAACCAATTTTCATTGTTAGCAAAATTTGACTGCATATAAATTTTCAAAGCAATCAAAAATCGATATTAAAAATTGAATAACCCAAAAAATATTGATAGTGCATTGTCTATGATATGATTTAGGTGATTCCATTAACCATTTAGTAGTTCATACGGAACACTGAAAAAACAATTACTAATATATAACTTGATAGGGACGTTTATAGAACGTCGATAATGTTTTATCTTCTGCGAAATAAAAAATACGGTCGTACTGTTTTAATTTGCTATAGGAATTCTTAGTTTCCAATGAAATATCACCCGTTCCTGTATCCAAAGGTAACTATGGCAAGTTCATGCTTAAGCCAGTGGCCAGTTTCTTTGATAAAGTCACACAACGTATGAAACCCGTGGTCAGCGACGTTCCTTTGACTTTTGAAGACATGGATATTAACACAGGATTTGTCATGTACGAAACAACACTGACGGAAGAACAAAAAAATATTTCCAGACCGGCAATTCTTTCTATAAACTCGATTAGAGATCGAGCAATCATCTACTTGGACAATGTATGTTATCTTAATAAATTATAAACAAATAATATTGTTAACTGAATAGCTGCAATGAGATACATAGTATCTATATTAATATATACAATTATCATAAGGGTTGCACATATTTTCGATACAAATATTTGTTTTTACAGTCATGTAAGTAGCTTCCATCAACTTTTTCAATTTTTTTTTTTTAGATATATATTATTTTTGAAGTTGTGAAAACGATAGCATTGATTATAAATAATTTATAATCAATCCCGGTAGTAAAGTCAGATTTAATTTGTCACATTTTGAAATTATTTAAATATATTTGTTTTTTTGACACTCAAAAAGATTATAAAGGCACAAATTTAATATCATACTTTTAAAGTTATAAGCAAGAACTTTATTTTTGCTGTTTTTTTTTAACATAATAGCTGTAAAAATGCGACAATACAAAAAAATTGTTAGTAACTACTAAGCTGGTTATTTTCTCTATACGTCATATTTGTGCATAATTTGAAAAAACTACCCACTATCTAGTCACTAGATAGTTATAATAGATACTTAGAAACCACAAAAATAATTCCAAATTGCGTATACATGGTTAAATTACAGGTTAATGTAGGGGTTATGTCACGTGTCAAAGGCAATACTACAATGAGCATAACAATTAAGAGCACAAACGAAAAGCTGACCATTCTGGTAGAAAACCAAGGTAGAGTTAACTACGGCAATTTTTTCGAAGACAGAAAGGTGCGTGCTCGATTCTCATAATTTTTATCGAATTCGCCAGTGATACGGTATGAAAAGATTCGGAATGATACATATATTGTTCGTTTAGGGAATAATCGATCCCGTCACACTGAACAATTTGACGTTGGGTCCGTGGAAGATGATAGCTCATCCGTTAAATGAAACGTCTTGGGTTTCGCTCATCGAACCTGTTCAGAGCGTTCAGCTACCAGCTTTCTATAAAACGACATTTGTTTTACCAGAAAACACTACCAAGTGTCTTGACACGTACTTGGACCCTACGGGATGGACGAAAGTGAGTTCAAACAGTTTTGACCTTTTCCCATAATATTTAACTCATCGCTTGCTCAAACAGGGAGTGGCGTACGTTAACGGGATAAATCTGGGCAGATATTGGCCTTTAGGCGGCCCTCAGGTAACCCTTTATGTACCAGGAGTTTTTCTCGTAATGCCGCCTGCTTCTAACAAACTTGTAATGATGGAACTTGAAGGCGCCCCTCCAGATTTGTCTGTAAAATTTGTCGACACGCCTAATCTCAACGGATCGATAACGGTTTAGATTTGTTATATCACAATTATTATAACTATAGTTTTAATTATTAACATTAGAATCGCCCAAGCAAACCTGACCACGCTTACAATATTATTCGTACCAAAAATGATTTTAAAATCATTCGGAGCGCAAAATAGGGTGAGCTTTTATTAAAATTGGGCGGTTTAGTATTTATTTTTATTTTCATATTAACAATATTTAGATTGTGCGAATTGGATAGAAATTACAACTACTCATTGATCCCTTTGACTATAATGATTAATATATTATAATTATAATGTAAACTAGCCTAATTTTTAATTAGTTAATTAGACATAATATTAAGCAATGCATTGAATGTACTTAAATAAAATTAAAAAAACAATACACGAAAGGACAGTGCGTAACTGTTCGGAGTAAGAACATGTTACTGTACAAAAAATAGTCTGTATGCGTTATAAAAGTTGAAAAAAAAAATTGAATATCAAAATATTGTATAACCTCTATCTTGTGTTAATATATTTGTTTACAAAATGTAGCTTAATGATTAAAGTTAAATGTTTTAGTAAAAATTTACTTTACAATTCACCTGAATAAATGCTAGTGTAAGGTCTCTTAAACTTTTATTTATGTTTTAAATTATGTTTTTATATTTGAATACTTATTTACATTTTTAGAGTTAAAACTAAAGACGCGTTTAAACATTTTTTTATTTGTTATTAATTTGAGTTCAATTAAAATGTATTTCAAAATTATTTGTGAGATATTTGTTTAAATAAAAATAAAATTTTAATTATTATTTTAGTATCCATTCAAATAATTATTTATTTAAATCATATTTTAAGTTTATTTAAATTATGCCCAGGTTTATAAGTGAGCTCGTCAACCATAACCCGTCTCTTCCCAACATTGTAAACCACGCCAGAGTATGAAAAAACAAATATACGTACAATTAATTGCCTAACCTGCTCCTCTTAAAAAAACAAGAACAAAAATATTGTTGAAGTATATTGTAAGTATTAACCATATGATAATAATAATATTATAAAAAAATAATGGTATTACGTAGAAAAATATTTATTGAGAACAAACTTAAATTGAAAAAATGAATCATGTTTTCATCTTGTTTAAAAAACATTCAGCTCTAGTACATATTAGTATGCATGTACTGCACATTCTTAAATGACACTGTTAATTGAAAACCATACCCATCTGTAAAACGGTCAAAAGAATAACAGCTAATGATTACATTGTTTGCGATTGATGGACGTTTTTTTGAATTCCTATACTTTAAATAGTTATTGTAGTAAAAGTTTACTCCCATATCCCATTAACACACTCCTTTATTTATGGATATTTATTTTTCTACCTAAAGTAAGCGGAAAATTGATTTCAATCATAATTTCTTGGAAAAAAAATATAAAAACTAATAACTTAACCAAAACAAAACATAGGACAAAACAAATTAATAAAAATGGTAAAATATTTGATACATTTGGTAATAAAAAGTTATACTTAACCGTTCTCACCAGTTCAGCCTACGAGTATATAGTATATTTGTTTATTTTTAGTATTGATAAACAATACTTATTTTTTAAGCTTAACTGGTGAGAAAGGTAATTAGTGTTTAAATATATATATATATTTAATATTTTGTTTATAAATAAAACTCTATTTAACTTTTGGGACTTTATAAGAATGAAATGAAATTCTGTACCTAACATTCGATTACTTATTAAAAAAAAGCTATAAGCCTACTATAAACCTTACAGTAAATAGTTTAAATTTTATACTTATAAGTCAAAACAGGTACGTATAGAATTATACCAGAATTTGTAATTAGTCAAATAGCTTTTTAATTTTTGTGGAACAAAAATATAAATGTTTATATATAACAAACAAAAATATATATGTTTTAATATAAAAGGTTGGTAAGAGTAAGACGGTTTAATGTTGTGTTGCTTTTAAATGCTACTTACTCTGTTGAAAAAGTTGATTACCGTATGGGTGATCATGTTATATTTTTTTAAAGTAACATAAAGAACGTTTTTAGTACCTACACACTTTTACATGCATTTCTCATTGAAAATGTAAAAATATGTCAATAGTCAAGTTTGCACCGTGAATAAAATTATATATACATTGTCGAAGGAACAAAAACTATGACCAGACCTAAGTAACCTGTAAAAGCGTATATTACCCTATATGCTTACATCATATTATCTCACCTAACTATGATCAGGTTACGTGTTTTTATGTACGACGTGTCAACTAGATCTATGAAATTTGGTGTATAATAAGAAATAATTGGGCCCAATTAGACTTGATATAACATATTATACATAGGTAAGGTGAAATTCGCTTCGATCATTTATAGTACTTTTACCTGTCAAATGTCTTATTTGAAAATACATTTTTTTTGTTTTTACACAAATTTAAAGAGAGGGTTTTTAAATTTGTATCAATTATAAATATAATATTAGTAAAACAAATTGCAACGTACTTATTCGGGTAAACAATTAATTTAGTGAGAATTCTGACCCCAAGAGTAATCTTAAATATCACATTTATTAATTTTGATATTGACAATTTGATATAATTATTTAAGTTATATTTACAACGAAGATCTTTATAATAGTAACTAAATCAGTAGCTGGGTCTTAAAGTCAGGGAGACTATTAAAAAAATATGATGTACTTGAAATTTGCATGAACATATTTGTTTTTTAAATTGAATAAATGTAGACTGACATCTACTACGCTTCCTACTAAACATAAATGCTCACAACAAGATTGGGACTATTAAAAGTTTGTATTAACTTTGTACTCTGTCGAGGATTATGCTAGATAATTTTATATTTCTAGATGTACCTATACTCTGTTCTTATTCCAACCAGAGTATAGCTAAACATTTTATTAACTTTAAAACAAACATAATTTCTATATTTCAAGATAATATGTTTGTTTTAGGGTCAGGTCGTGGAAAGACGAATAGGGTAAAAAACCAAAACGTATATTTTAAATGTCAACTACAAATTTTGAATCGTGTCAACTTTTATTGTGTTACAAAGTTGTAAGCGTATGAAATAAAAATCTGAAAATTGATAGTAAGAAAAATAATCGATTTTACATTTGCCCCAATTTTTTACAACCACACCACCTGACACTGACCCTATTTAAATTATAATAGTGATATTTTTAATGAATTGGCCAATAATATTTCAAAGAGAAGTAATACTTTGTTATTTTCCGTATATAATACAAATGCGTGCTCACATTCCGTTCAGATGGTCTGTGCCGACTACTACCTATTATTGTTATTTGTTGTCAATAGGTTTCTCGCATAATATAAACGAATGAATCTTTATACTCGCAACCTACTTATACGAGTCTGCCTCGACATAATAATATAATGTGTGTATGTATATACAGCGTGCATATTATTATTATATTCGTTATTTTTGTTGTCGCTCCACTATAATTGATTGATGGAAGAAAGATTTTCTTTTTCGAATACGGGGGGCGCCCCGGTTACTGAATAAACAGCGACGCGCCGGTCAGAAAACCCGTTTAAACGAGTCGGATGCCCGAACAATACACACTTTTCCAGAAATCACCGCAGCTGTGTATACAATCATACGAAATAATATTGCAATTATAATAATAATAATAATTATTATTATTAATCAACGGCATACATTGTTGTTAAGACCAGGAGACAACACCCGTAGTTCTACAGCGGCCGCCGCGCCGTCGTCGTTTAGGCCGTTGAGGTATAGGTACGATTGAACTATTTTTTTTTTTTTTTTAATTGTTTTTTAGTTTTGTTTTTATTATTATTCATTGTGAACGGTTTGTGTTTGTTTGTTTATTTGCATTTTAATGTTTATTTATATTTATTTCATTGTTATTGTGCAGTGGCGATTGTCTACATGGCTGCTGTTGTCCCCCCCGTGGTCGACGGGGACAAGATAAATGAGCGGCGACTGCGATAGTGGGTGGTGGCCGTTTCTCGCGACGGACCGGTACCTCAAGCAGCCTGGTCGCGCACACGCTGGACGAGTCCGGTTGCGGAGGTCATGAGGTGAGTGACTTCGGTACAACCCATTAGCTGCCAATACCTAATTGTACAAAGCCACCGAGCAGCAGTCCAACATTGACGGTCAACTCCTCCAAAATCAAACGCAGACCTCCAAAATGCGTTTCAACGGTTTGCGGGAGCTGTTACCGCCGTTGCTGTCTATGCTGACCGTCACCGGAGCTTTGGGCGCGATGCTCGGGGTGAGTGATATATTTATAATTATTAATCGTTATTTTTTAGTAGTTATGATAAACAAAAAAAAAATAAAACGGGATCTGGTGTGGTAGGTTCGCTTTGACAAAAAACGGCAAGATGCAAATCTGTTATTAATTAAAAATGTTTTTTAAAAATATTTTTGAGACTTTTATAATCGTATTTAGGTAAATGATAAATCTATACGACTTCATTAAGTAAATATTTAGGAGAAATAGAGGGAAAAGGTTTTATTTCGTTTTAAGCTTTTGATCATTGTTCGATCAATGATAATATTTTGTAAGACAAATTACTAAGATTACTTCCCAACCTTCACGTCAATAACAGGATATTATATTCGTTCAGAGTTGTGCAAATTATAATTAAACGTTATTTGAATAATTATTTTTAAAATTATTCGATTAATTATTTTTGAAATTAAATTTTTTTGTTTTCAATGAAATGTATTGTAATAACTTTTTTACAATTTATTTGACAATTAAAATTGTCTACTTTATGTTTTTATTTAGGAACATTATTTTTATTTAATTGAAACAATTTATGTTATAAATTTTTAAATTAATATCTGAAAGAATCAAGTTACCAAATTTAAACTTTAGCCCTTACGAGAGGTGAGGGGCGGGAAATAGGTAATTTTGAGGCAGTTACCGTTTAGGACACACCAAATACATATTTCTTATAATCCGATCTGACCATTTTTCTTAAAATTATAGCTAGTCAAAATTTAAACTGAAAATTCGTATAGTTCTTTTTTGTTTTTCCCCATTTAAAGGGCGAAGGAGTGAACTTTTTCAACTTTTACCCTCTCAAGGTACCAACTAATAAAATCTATAATTTATAGAGTTTTATAAATAGTCGTTAGTTGTTACTCGAAGAAATTGGTCTGATAATAAAAAAGTTACAGAAACAAAAAAAGCTTACACCATTGTAAAATCATTTTAAAACCGCATCGAAGTTAAAAACATAAATCATCGAAAAATAATTTTTGTGTTATTGTTTTTTCTGCAAAGATCGTGACTTAAAATTATAGTAATTCGTTTATAAAAAGGACTATAGCTATATACTTATATACTGGTATATGTCCCATAATCTATTATTTAACTACATCCTCATTATTTAATAAGGTTCTACACGAACAGGTAACAGTTATGTGCGTATAAATAAGATCAATTTTATTTGCCACACATTAAGTTGCGAACAATCTGTTGCGATAAATTTATACCGCGACTAATTGGATGTTACCAAATACTTAATAATTCCAGTGAAATTCACTTCATTAAACGTGATGGACATTTGCGCCGGTCTTATTACAATATTTATACTGCCGATTTAACATTTTTTAGAGATATACAAATGTTTTTACGATATTAGGTATTAAGAAATCAATTTATATATATATATAATATATATATTATGAGATGTGTAGTATAATTGATTGCATTGCTACTCAACTCAATTATGTAATAAAATGACTGAAATTTAACTAACTCACATAATAGATGCAATTAATTATTATACAATATGGGAACAAAAGACCACCGTTATTGATTTCCAAATGGTCAAAACAGATTTCTAGTAACAATAAATTGTAATACTCGCGGGTATTAATGACACATCACGTGCAACGCAAAAGCCGTAATGCATACAACGTTGAATGTAGTCTAATCTCGTTATATTCATTCATAATTAAACTGCATACTGTGTAATACCTATACATCTATACCTTTGTTTATAAGCACAGTACAGGCAGTTTCGATGTAACAAATAGTGTTTGCTCCAGACAGTATTATGTAGCGAAATAGTCTCAAGGTTGGTTAGGTATGAAAATAACCATTACTAAATATCTGCATTATCTATATTTTATGCAAAACTTGGTTCCTAAACAAAACTGTAAATATGACTGTTTTTCAGGATAAAAAATATTTTACTCACAATTCACTATATACTTTCAGAATTTTTACAAATACTAAAAAAGTGCACTTAGCCGATGTTTTAATACTACAATAACGTGTAAATGTCTATTGTGCATAATGCAACAGTAATATTATGTTAAGCGATTTGTGTAACTTCAAATCTAGTTATTGAATAATGAAAACTGTCGAAAGACCGGGTGTATTCAAACAATAGCATTTAACGGTTAGTTCATTAACTGACAACAGATTGAAAACAAGAACGCGGATGGATAACTCGGACAAAGACTAGTAATCACTGCGTATGTAGTAATCGTATAAGCAAGGATGGGCAGGTTAATGATTTATATTATCAACTTTGTTAAGTTAAATTAAACATTGTAATACAAATTAGCCATAATATCTGAGGATTAATGGAATGCGTAATGACCTATGTTTAGTAAAAGTAACCTAATTCAAATTCATACGAGAGAATAAAGTTAAATGTACCTCTAAAATCTTTCTTCGCTTAATTTGCTTTTTAATTTTAAACGATTATGTCAATAACTTTACTGTTACTGTACTCTGAATACATTTGGGAGAAACGTAAATACGTAATTGTTGTAGTATAAGAAAACAATAATTGTTTTATTGTAGATATATATTACTTGTTATTAAATACATAAACTAAAAAGTTATACATTTATGATGAGTTAATAATATTCAAAACGCTTTTATAAACTAAAGTTTATGAAATAATATAGGTATATTTTTATTATAATTTGTTCACCGTTTGCTCAGTGGTGCAGCTAAAATCCCTGAAAAGTCGTATATTGAGGAATCAGTCTACATCATCCTTACATCTCCTCTTATATTTTAGTATATTAAACAACAATAATCATCATGTAGCTTTTAACGGGCCATTAAGATCCAACGCTGCCATCATGAGATGATTTCTTGACGAATTCGCTATCCGAAACGGGTCGTCAATCCGTCGCCGGAGAGGGGGATGGCGGTTCCTTTTCACAGGACGATTATTGCTTGCCCGGCAAACGGAGCGCCCGTGACCGAATGTCGAACCGGGACAGTGAGCGCTAACACACTGCCGCCTTACACACTCCTCCTTATATTAAACAACAATAAAGAAATTAATATTTAAAATCAAAAACAATTAATTGTTGTATTAAACAACAAAAAATAAATTACACAAATAAAAAGATAGCAATAAGAATAGATAATACATTTTTAAAATAGTTTCTTTGTAAATAAAATCAAGCTAATTTGAGGATACAAAAGACAATTAGAACGAGACTATAAGTTACTTGGACCTCATTAGTTATTTTTATTATTTTATTATTTTCTGAAAACTATTATTTCAGATCAACATAATATCGGCTACGTAAACGTTTTTAATTGTTTAAAAGTTGTTTACAAAAAACAATTGACTGTACCAACACAAAAATTATATTTAAAAAAATCGAATTAAATTAGTTTTAAATTATAGTTTTTATCGAAGATGTGTTATAATATACTGTCATTGTTTTTTGGTCTGTTAATGTTTATCGATAGTACTATGTTTAAAGAACAATTCATATAAATTTGGAACATTTTCGACTATTTTTAAAAAAGTTATAGAGCATCGTAATTTTAAGTTGAAAAATTTGTAAATTTTTTAGGTGTTTTTCTCGATTTTGATGGGGAAGGGGTGACTTTTTTTAATTTTTGGCCCAATAAAGTACCTTACAGGTATGATTTCTGATCTATAGAGTTGCTACACGAAGAAATCGGTTCAGCGGTTTACGAGATATCGTGGGTCCAGACACAAAAAAAAAAAATAATAAAAAACACATCATTGTAAAAACAATACCTTCTCAGCTCCGCATCGAAGCTAAAATATGACGAAACGATTCATAACATTATATTGTTTGAAAACCCCAAATGTACGTTTACTTTCAGAGTACCTACATTAAAGTCAAACGATTTTTTTTAAAATTATATTTACTCGGTCGGCTACTTTATCAGACCTATCCGCACTATTCCGCATGATATTACGCATATAATTAAAATTAAAATTGCAACAATTAACCGAGTTTTATAATACAATTATTGTGCCATTGTTAAATTTTAGTCAAGTAAACCAACATTTACGGTTGATTATAAGAACAACGAGTTTCTGATGGATGGGAAAATTTTCCGATATGTCGCTGGATCTTTGCACTATTTTCGAATTCCAAAACAACTTTGGAAAGATAGAATACAAAAAATGAAAGCTGCCGGCTTAAACGCTATATCAACGTGAGTATACATAAATTAATAATAATATAACTATACATAATATTTTTATAAAAATGCCTTACCTACCTATTTTAGCTTTTAACTTTATTAGATAATTATATAGCTATAAATCATAAACCATGAAGTTTTTAATTAAATTAAGTAAGACTTTTTATTTAAAAAAAAGACAGTACAGTAGGTCGGGGCATAGTGGGAACGGAGCATATTGGAATCGGTTTTCAGTAATTATTATAACTAAAAGTGATCAAATCACGCTTCAATATGAATCTGTAAATGATAAGAATATTAAATATCAATAAAAGGTTTATAAAGACAAAAAAGTATAAAAAAAAATGTTTTTTTTAGCGTTGGAGAGATACGATTAGAACTCATCTGTTAGAACAAATAAAAATAATTAGATAACATAATGAACATATTTTTTGACTGTTGACTCACACATAGTAACCTAGAAATTTACTGCGATCAGGTTTTTCCTTTTTTGGTTTTCTTTATAAAAAAAAAGTTTGACTACAGATTGTTGAGAAAATTGTAAGTACTATAGCCCAACCCTAGATCTACCTTCAATCTAATTTTAACACCTTAAGCCCTAAAAGTTGTATCTAAAAAAGCGAAATAAAGAAAACGTTTTGACTCCTTTTAAAAAGCTTTTGATGTTTTTTTTTGTTTGTAATAATTTAATTGAAATATTCTATTGTATGAATTTTATTAATAAAAAAAAGTAAATGAATACATTTTCGAGGATTACTTGAACTGTTTTTATAGCTATGTTGAATGGAGTCTACACGAACCATACCCGGGAGAGTATAATTTTGAGGATATAGCTGATGTGGAGTACTTTGTTAAGCTAATTCAGGACGAAGGAATGTACTTGTTATTAAGGCCAGGACCGTACATTTGCGCCGAAAGAGATTTTGTAAGTATCTACTCATAAACATTTTATAGAGAACTTATTTCATATTATTTTGATTATTGTCATTGTTTCTATGTAGGGTGGGTTTCCGTATTGGTTGTTGAACGTGGTGCCCAGAAAAAGACTTCGAACCAATGACTCCAGTGAGTATAAATTATTTAGTAAATTACACTAAATCATTTTTTTTTTTATTAATTAATATTAACATACTAACTATTTTTTGTCGAAACGCTCCAATTTATTTTTAAATATATTTATTAATTTCAAAATCATAAATACCTACTGAGTTACTTACATGCATAACTAAAATTAACATTATAAATCTATAATTTCAAGCATATAATATAAGAGAAATGTTTTTAGATTTTAAAAAATACGTTGCCCAATGGTTCAGCGTGCTGATGCCTAAAATGGAACCTTATTTGTATGGAAACGGTGGGAATATCATAATGGTTCAGGTGAGAGGTAGTTTAATCGGTAGACTGTACCATGTTTTGAAATAATAATTTTATAAAGGTCGAAAACGAATACGGGAGCTATTACGCTTGCGATCAAGAGTACATGATTTGGTTACGGGATTTGTACAAAAGCTATGTGGGCTACAAGGCTTTGCTGTACACGACCGACGGGTGCGGTTATTCATATTTCACGTGTGGTGCCATTCCGGAAGTCTACGCGACCGTAGATTTCGGTTCATCTGTGTTTAACGGTAAGTAAATCGAACGTCGGCGAAGTTCATGTTCTCTCGCCACAACATCTCTATTAATCCCGGAACCCTTTTAGTCAGTCAGTGTTTTCAGTACATGAGGAAAACGCAGCAAAGAGGTCCGCTTGTCAACTCCGAGTTTTATCCTGGATGGTTGTCTCACTGGGGCGAGAGTAATCCTGTTGTACCGTCTGACCAAATTATCAAATCAATGAAAGACATGTTAGCCCTGAACGCTTCTTTTAGCTTTTACATGTTTCACGGAGGAACCAATTTTGGGTTCACCTCGGGGGCCAATACGAACAGAAATACGTCTCACTATGGTTTTCAGCCTCAGTTGACTTCGTACGACTACAACGCACCGTTGAACGAGGCCGGTGATCCGACAGAAAAATATTTTAAAATAAAGCAGGCTCTCGAGGAAGCCGTAAGTGTTGCCGGTTAACTGATACTATAATGATAATATTTTCAATTTATTTAACGCTTTTACAGAACTTTGAAGTGTCTAACGAAATTTCGCCGGTACCTTCGCCCAAAGGCGATTATGGTAAGTTGACGCTCGAGCCATTAGCGAGTTTCTTTGAGAAAATTACACAACGCGTCAAACCCGTCACCAACGATGTGCCGTTGGCTTTCGAAGACATGGATGTTAACACAGGATTTGTCATGTACGAAACCATTCTAACGGACGAGCAAAAAAACTTCACCGGTGTCGTTGAGCTCAAAGTGAAAACTGTCAGAGACCGAGCGATAATTTACTTGGATCAGGTTAGGTGGTCGTTCACTGATCAGCCAAAAATTTTAAAATTAAAAAAAAAACTATCTATAAAAATAACCAATAGTAAAATAATGATTCTTGTGATTTTTGTTTTAATAGAAACAACAAGGTACGATGTACCGAGCCAAAGGGAACACGACGATGAAATTAAACATCAATCCTGCAGTTGAGAAGTTAAGTATTCTAGTCGAAAATCTAGGACGTATAAACTACGGCAGTTTTCTTGAAGACAGAAAGGTATTTTTTAAATTGTATTCTTACTCTGGTGAAAATAAGGTCGGCTAGCCTTATCCTCTCTCTCTGTATATCTCTATTCATCACCATTTAAAATCCACCAGTTCTTATCATAATCACTCTTACTCTTTAACTATTTAATTATTCTCCTGCTAATAGTGCATCTCCTAAACTTGGTCTTATATACTCATTCATGATTTTGTCCAAACAAGTCACTCCACAAATCCATAATAATTATATAGCATCGATGCAAAGCTGAAAACGTATTGGTTATACAATGTTTGGTATTTATTTATTTATTTTTACATTTTCTTTTCCTATTTTTAACCAACGATAACTTTTAACTAATTGACCAATTTCTAAATGTAGCTAGACTATTGATAAAAAATCAAACCCAAAAGATATTTTATAAGGCCAGAAGAAAATACTTCTTCCACCTTCAAAATCAATATAAACACTCTAAAAATGTATGTGTTTTCAACTTAAATTACAGCACGCGATAATGTTTTCTAAAATATTTAAATTTCTTTTATTGAATGGTGCCTTCTTAAGATATAGTAATTACAATAAACAGCAAAAAAAAATCATACGCTTTACTAACAGAATATTTTTGTTATAAAATTAAACTTTGTTACCTGGTACATGTTAAAATGTTGGTAGTCTACTTAACTTCAGTTACTTTAATTTTTGGCAATAATAGCCATTTTTTGGTTAATATATTATTTTTGAAAGGATTTTTTGCTAGTTTTTTAATAATATTAAGAATTTTTCAATCTACTAGTCAAAATTGCCAGTAGATTATTCAAAACACAAAACATTTATTAAATATTCATACATGTTATCACTTCAAAAAAATGTTTAATCTGTACTCTGTTTTATCAAATGGTGCCGGATTTTTTTATGACCCGGTTGACCTAGGTATTTGAGAAATCTAGATATTCATTTCGACGAATTTCAGGGAATATTCGATCCCGTTAAATTAGGTAACCAGACTTTGGGTCCGTGGAAGATGATACCTTATCCCCTAAACGAGACTTCTTGGATTCCGCCCATCGAACCGGTGCAAAGCGTCCAGTTGCCGGCTTACTTCAAAACGGAGTTCGTACTACCGGAAAACAGCACTAAGTGTCTCGACACGTTCTTGGACCCGTCGGGTTGGACTAAAGTGAGCCCAAGCAGTGTTGAAATGGTCGTAACACGACGTACTTACGTTTACTTTTGCAGGGCGTAGCGTTCCTGAACGGTATTAATCTGGGTCGATATTGGCCGGCAAACGGACCTCAAGTTACTCTTTTCGTGCCAAGCGTTTACCTAGTGCCACCGCCGGCTAACAATACGCTCATAATGTTAGAGCTCGAAGGTGCCCCACAAGATTTGTCTGTTAAGCTGGTCGACAAACAAAACCTCGACAAACCGGTAGCGTATTTTTATTAGACTTGCAATTTGCAAAATATAGTGCATTCGTTGTGCAACATGCGGACATGTGAGTTTACGCCAAAAGATTCTTTTCGAGTCTTTTGTAGGCCTTTGTTTATCGTTCTTGATCATCAAATTAATTATCAGCAAACCTATTGTCGATGGTCTTGTAACTCCTTAGATTTAAAATGTATCTTTAAGTGATGTATTTTGTTACTTTATACTTATTTATCACTAGTGATTCAATTTGATTTTGTAAAAATATATTTTCATATAAAGTTTTGAACGGTATTGTTTTTTGTTAATATATTTGTATATTATACCTCTGGAGTTTTCATAATCTCTATATTTGTAACGCGACTTGTAGGTACATTATTATCTTATTATACACAAATATTTTTAAAAAGGTTTTTTTTAAGTTACATTGCTAGTTTTGATCAAATTAATTTAATATCTTCTACGAAAGTACTTAAAATAGTCGAACACAAGGAAAGAAAAAAATAACAGTAATTTTATTAAAAAAGTATTTTTTTTTAAATTGAAAAACAAGATTTTACTGTAAATCTAGACATTAAAACAATAAAAGACAAGTAAGTTTCAAGTACGTTTTCAGACTTTTAAACCAAAACCCGGAATACAAGTTTATAGACCCGAAAACCGAAACGCAACAAAATTAAAAACGTTCTTAACCTCTTAATCCAAAAAAAAAAAAATGAAAACTTATAAATAGACCCGAAAAATTAAAAAAACTGTTTCTCAACTCAAAACTTGAAAAAATTGGCACCTTTCTGACTCCTTGGCTACATCATAAAATAAGAACCTCTGCAGATGAACATTATAATTATCCAAAATCAGTAAATATTGTAAGTGATATCAAAGTTTAAAATACTTGAAAACTTTAGTTTTATACATACATTAATGATTTATAGAATATAATAATTTGTTTTTAAATTTAAGTGTCAGAAATAGTTTGTTTAACATTTATCATAGTCAAAAATAAAATGTGTAGTATACTTTTTACAAGTCAATGGCGTTTTTACGTCCCCGCGAACCTGATGTACTTCATCTTAAATGTTTTTAATAAAATATTGCGTTTTTTAACTTCTACTAGTAGGTACAATGTACATATTAAAAGCCATTTTGATTTATAACTATATATTTTGAAGAGTAAGCAGAATTAATAGTTTTTATATTAACCAATTCGATTTTGTTACCACTTCATTTTGACCCTTCAGAAATCTATTCAAAGATATTAATGATATAAACGATATCCTTAACGTATTTTCATAAGTCGTCATTATTGTTCGATGACTATTAAAAATACATCCTGCGTTTTAACTCAGCACTTGGCTGTGGTATCATTCTTCAATATGGTTTTGTTTTTTACAAATGATCGACATTCGAATATCGTTAAATGTCAATAAATGGCCGTCGACTTCTATTCAGGCGAATCCCTTTCGGATATGAGTACCGTATTATTGCATTTCTATTGTTGTCTCAATCGTCTACTAAGAACATAATATTTTGTACGTATGATATTATAGTCTATAGTTCTTTTCAACAAATTCACTCTCCACTGAACACATTCAGGCCTATTGCAATCAAAACCCAAGTAAAGGTATGGTAAAATCAAATCTATTCTAAACATATTTTTTAGCCATCTATTTAGTTTTGCCATACTGCCAATCATTTTTTTACTGACGTGAACATGGTGTTTTTTAATACTTTAGCGAACCGGTCAAAACTTGTGTTCACCGTGCAGTGCTAATAAATAATAATACTTATTTTATTTTAATTACTATTATAGTTGAAGTTACTATTATAAATATGTTTTTTAATAAATTTGCATTACACAGTTTTTACACTTCATATAGTGGAATTTATGTGTTGACCGGATTTCATTAAATTAATTTTATTATAGTAAGTATAATAGTATATATATAGTATAGTATAGTATTATATACAGTAAGTATACATATAAAAAAGAGTGTATACGAGTGGAAGTTAGGTATAGAGAAAAATAAACACTGTAACTTAATACGATATACTATGATTACTGAACAGATATAATGAGCCCCCAAACCCTTAGCTCAAACGCTTTTTATATTATGCTACAAGGCCACACGTGTGTCTTTTTATAAAAAAAACAACTTTGTTATTGTAACACTTTTTCTTGACTATCTACGACGTATTTTATATTATAAGGAAAAACTACAGTATTAGTGTAGGTTTACAATATGCAGATACATAAAAAAATATTATTTATTATTCAAACAATAGTAATATCAAACGGAAAACAACCAAATAATACGAAGAGCACATACTTCGTGTCGACATCATTAGGGTTTTTTTTATACAACAGGGTTTTTTTTAATTTTATCAATTAATTTTCCGAATTAATTTACACAACTCCATAATGTGAATTGTCTTTTTATTTTAAACATTTATTGTTTAAACCATATTGTGACATTCATTAGATAATAAATAATTTAACACTTGGCCAATATATTATTATTCTCCATATTAAATGTCTTATTTATAAATTTCTATAGTATCACTCTGGTCGTATTAGTAATATATAGATAATTCGCTCAAAATGGAAGGAAATGGAGACGAAAAATTGTTTAACGATCACGTCGAAGACATCGGTGTTACTTTGGAAGCGGAAACCGACCACCTCGGTAGCTTATCAATGGCCGATTCATCTTCAACGAGTTTGCAAAGTGTTATTACCAAGTTAATACTGTAAGTAACACAACAAGACGACTACTCTAAAAAAACCGGGATTATAAATCTTTTAGGAGCCTTATTTCTAAAACGTTTAGAAAAAATAGTCGATTTTTTACGGATTTGAATAATATCTTCTTTTGATAGTAAATCGGTAGTAATTTGTACAGCATTACCGATGTGCGTAAGGAAAAACCCCCAAAAATTACCTTTTCCACTAAAAATAGATTGAAATTACTTTATTTTACTTTTCATCCGACTCGGATGAAGAAGGGATTAAGTTTACTTTTAAAGTGTAATGTATTTATGTTGTATATATTTATATGGGTTTTCTAATTACTACTATTATTAATCTTAAAATCCCCCCCAAAAAAATGTTTAAAATTGTAATTGAATATATATTATATTTATAAATATAAGTTTAACTAAATATAAGCTTGTATTTAATGTAGGTCGGAACGCTTTAAGCCGTTTCGTAACGATGTCACTGATGAAAATCTGTCCGACGAAGAGGATCCAGATGAGCTTTTGCTCAGGGTTACAGATTCTATGTCGGATACTCTGTCGGTTGAACAGAGTAATTATTTTGCAGGATTACGTGAGTGTGTGGGGTTGCGTAGACGGTTAGAAACCAGGAATTCTGAAGATACGACCACAGCCGTATCTTCCATCCAAGCGTCCACATTAGATTGTTCCAACGACCCCAGAGAAGATTTCGACTTACCAGGTGCAATGGCGTTTTTACAAGACGAATTCGACGTGGTTTTGCCTAATATAAACGGTTCACTAGAAGCCAAATTTTGCGATCCTTCATTCGACGCTAGAACCGCAGCAATAGCATACCTACAGGATCTCACTAAAAAAATGGTCACCGACTCCACCAAAAATTAATCTCTTCCTTGTTATTTATTACCTTAAATTAAAAAAAAAGATATACATTTTCACTAGTTTTGACGTTCGATATTTATTATGTAGAAGATATCTTTTATAATACTTCAATGTATGAAATTATTTCTTAATATTGAGTTAATGCACAATTATTTAGTATATATTATTATTAATCAGCACAGTTTCACACCCAAGCGCTCACATCCTAGTAAAACTTTAACGAACAGTCTAAATTTGTTTTACTGTTAGTATTTTTAATTTTGATACGCATAAGGTTAGATGAGTTAATTATTTAAATAAAAACGTCGATAAAATTAATTGAATTCAAAATTAACAATCGTGTTAAGGTTTAACTAAATTTCCAGTCCACTTAAAACTAAATAATATAACTCAAAATTGAGACAAAAATATTTTTTTGGCCACGAATGGGTTTTTATTTTTCTATTTAATCTAAAGTTTTTAATGTAACAGAAAGAGTTATTTATTAAGGGGCAAAATATAGGCAATAGTTGAAAAGGATTTGTTAAGTATGACCATTAATGTGTAAATCCTTTTTATTGAGTTACATTATTTTTTAATATATTTTCTAAGACTTAGTTTAATAAAAATTATTTTAGTGAAAGTTATTATTCGGTGTATTGGACGTCTAATGGACATATTTCAAAACTTTTTAAATAAAAGCTTACTATTCAAGGGTGACTAAAATGCCAATTTTTGTTAGTTTCATTAAAAAATATATACAGAAATAAAAACATAAACGCTTATAAGACATGTTTGAAAACAGACATTTTAAATTCAATTTGTAAGGCCCCCAAATACTAGATGATAAATTTTATAAGAAAAATTAGTTTGAAATACACCTTGGAAATTGGCTTTGTGTTTCAACCTTTCTTTGTACCTTTACCGTTTTGCTTATTCTGTTCTTCTTAAGTAATGAAGTTGTCTCAAATTATTATTACTAATATTAATACTATAAATAATAATAAGAACTCGGACTAGCTCTGAACTAACGTGTTAAAATATTAATAAACACTTAAAATAACGTCTTTATGTTTTCTATACTTTCTGTCTTAAAAAAAAAAAAACAAATGACAATTTTTTATTCTATTTAAAGACCTACATTTATATTTTAGTTCAACGTAAATTATTAAGTTACATTCTCTATGTAGAATTTTGTAAGAAAACCATGTGTCGATAATTTAGATACATGAAATCAATGATGTGTTTCTTAAGTAAGGAATTACACTTGTATTATTAAGGGAATTGAATTAGTAATAAACAAAAAATTATAGTTATTTATATTTAACTGTTACTAATACACAGTTATTTATATTTAGCTGTTACTAATACACATGATGATCGGTGTACTGTTTTGCCATTGCCCTGCGTAATCCCATCAGAGCACTGATTATTTCCGAGTTCCTTTTTGTCAAACTTATTCCAGTCCATGGTGTCTTTAAGGTGTTCAATATGTCGTCATCTTCTGCCAACCTCTTTTCAAAATACTAAAAGAAAATACAAAATATTGTTTATTTCATTATTGTACAAACAAAATATTTTTAATATAAGTACCTTAGGGAGGTCGTAGGAAATGTACTGTTGGTCGATTGGATGGCCAGTGGATACGGTGACGAAGTAAGTGTTTGTCATTACAAATAACAAAATTGAAATGAGACCTAAATATTTCCTAAACAAATGTATGTGCAAATATCTAGTAAGTTATAATTATTACAAATAAAATAAAATTAAGTAATATTTAAAAACTATTTTGCATCGAGTTTGAAATTGTTAGTTTTTAACAGAGATGTCTTAACACTACAATGTCACGTCATTTGGTGTAACACCGGTTGTCGCCCAATCTGTGGGATACAAGATTAACTTTTTAATTACTTGTAATTAACTTTAAGTTTTGGAGTGGATAAGTAAACAAAACTTGAACAGCACATATATTAATAGAACCATTAGCAATTAAACATATTCGTTTTACATGATGTTACAAGTATGATAAAAAACGGGACGATATTTATCTGCTTGTAAGATAAAATAATAACATAACAATACATGTATATAGAAATAAATTTAAATAATATACTGATAAACAAGTTTAGAACGAAACGTGTTATTTATATGTTTTCTTAAACTTTAAAAATTATTTTTAGTATAATTTCGATTAAATTGCATCATAATAAACTACTTTTTGACTAAAATAAAAAAATGAAAAAAAATGTATATAGTTAAGCTAAATAAATAAACTTAATATTTTTTCAAGAGTATTATGATTTAATTAATATTATGTTACAATTAGACTACATCTGAACAAAAAAACATATTTAATTATTTTTGTTTAAATGATTTTTTTGCGTTGAACAGTTTCAGAATTTTTACTTTGTATAAAAAAAAATAATAATAATAATTGTTTAGTAAAAGTAACTAAAATGTATGTCTCTTTAATATATTCAATAACTATAAACAAACAAGTACTAAATTTCTCCAAGTCTTATGAATCTAAATATTAAAAGTTGATTTTTATAATAATAAAAACAATTGTTTTATGTTGCTCTAGACGAGAAATTTGTTAGCATTAATTCTTATTTTAATTCATAAATAATTAACTTTATTTATTGATAATTATATTGCTAAAACTGAAAACATATTGCAACGTGTCATAGAATATTTTTCAAGTGATAAAGTTGTACTTACATGCTGTCTATTTGCTGTCTTCGATGCTTTGACTTAAAAGACAATAACCAGTGTTATTTTATACTCAAACAGACGTTACATAATGTATGTCATATAATATTTTGTCCCCCCAATATTCTATATTATCGTAAACACATCATCAGCAGATACTCAGTAGGAGCTCATTTCTTAAAACTTACTTGTCATTTTCATGTGCATAAGTATATTATTTTCTCTGAACATTGCAAAAAAACATTTTGAACCGTCCTAATGTATTTACTGATGCGTTATTATTAAATCTACGTTCATTGTAATATATTTAATTATAAAATATTTAAAAAAAATCGTTAATTCTATAATTTTTTTAAATAATTGAATTTGTTAATGCTCATAATCTAACTGTTCATGAAGATTAATAATATTGTATTTGATAACGGACAAACGGGCATCCTTCAATGGTCGGGTAGGGATCAAGGAAAGAACAACTTTGAACTGAAATATTCGAGTTTTTGTTTTTTTTTCAATATATTTGATGAAATAAATAAATATAATGTAATATTCTTTATCAGTCTCTTAAAAGTTTAAATCTCACACAAGTTATTATTAACTACTATTATGATGAACATTGATAAAACATTTAACGTAAGACAGCCATTTCCTCAGAAAGTAGTAACAATTTTATTGTTTGATTTTTGAAAACATTTTGATTTATGTTATTTTTTAATATTATACAATTACTAAATATTGACCTTTTTTAGTATTCTCCAGAGCTTTATCAACTTTTGAAACTTAAACGGTAACGTACAAATTCCAATACATATTTAAATTATGAATAATTTGATGACAATTTTGACTGGTCGATAACCAGTTTTAGGCAATTCACTTTAAAGTTTAGGGCGAGAGGAAGGGTAGAGTGAAGAATTATTTTTATCTGGGCACGTTAATAAACCGTACTCCATCCTCTCATCAAAATAGTCCATTTTTTTATGAATTTTTTAATTAATTTACTAACTATATTAAGGGCGTTGCTTTTTTATAATATCACAAAACATTGAAGGGATTACGAGTGATCGCGGGCATATTATACTACATATTATTTAAAAACATTTTAAATTTAACCATGCCCGGACGTCTAACAATAATATTACATAGCGGAGTTGCCAAAAAGTATATGGCTAACATTATTAAAAAAAAATATTTGTAAGCTCGTCAGATATTAATTAAAACTCATCTAAAAAATATGCTTTTTTAAATTTTAACTGGAGTGATCTCTTTGCTTAAGTTTCATATTCGCAATATGAAACTTATTTCGAGTATGATATTTGAAATGTGGATGATAATAAAGCCAATATACCCGAGTAGTCGATTATTGTAATTTGAATGATTTGACGTCAAACGCAGTTCAGATGGAAATTAATATTTTAAATAATATTATTCATGAGCCATATTCGCTAGAAACACTCGGTGTCATTTTTTTACATTAAAAATGCATATAATTAATCTCATGCAAAATGTATATCTATTGACAGATGGTCGTGGATAGAAAAGGGTCTGTAGATTTATAATATTCCATATTGTGTTGCCTAAATAATACATATTATGGTGTATACCGTTATTATTTTATACGATTCACTTATTTTCACCGGTCCTTTGTGCCAGGCAAATACATAATATATTATGACATATATACTGTACTACTACTATAGTATGTACTAATGGATTTTGCGTTTCCAACACACTAGGCCGAAATATCTCAACTACTTTGGCAAAACACAAAACATGTATCATATTACTAAAATGAATACCTATATTTCCCAACCGGGTTTTACGTAATAATATCGAATATTATAGAAATAGGTTAGGCTTACGTATTGGATATAAATATATTAGTATTTTAGTTTGATCCAAAGTTGATGAGTGGATGATTTTGGATGAGTAGATTTTTTTTATAAAAAAAAAACAAACAAACAAAATGTGGAATAATTATTTAAACCAAAAAATATTATTGTTTTTATTATTTTATTGAAGAATGGTCGAATAGAAAAATGTTTTTCGTTGCTCTCGATTCCGATGACAAGTTTGTTGTGGCGGCGACCCTTATTTGGTCATTAGCGCCACTTTTTACTGTGTGTTCGTAGTAGAGTAACGATGGTTTTTGGTCTGTTGTAGGTTTCGATTTTGAAATGGAAAGGATTACTTTTTAGCATTTTTGACCGATTAAAATATCTTTTTGGCTTGATTATTAGCAATAATAATTTCATTATGCCGGCTGTATGACTACTGTGCTACACTAGCCCCATGGTTAAATATAAGGTGTAAATGTATGATAAAACATTTACTAACATTTAAATAAACAGTTATAACCCTATGTATTTCTAGCACATTCTTATCTCTTAAAGCCATGATTTCCATTTCTTTTGATTTAATATCTCTGAGATAACAAAGAGGTAATTACGTATTTAGACCATTTTTACCAATCTAGAGAAAACAATTTTATAAGTATGAAAAGACATGGATTTTGGAGTAAATTTAAAAAGGGACTTCATAAATATCATAATAACTAGAATATATCGCCACCCCAGTAGAACAATGACACAACTGCGAAATTCGGTAAAATGGACTAAAATCTAAATGCTTCAATGTTTTTAGATATAGCGAACAAAAAAATGTAGACCAATTAGACTTGTGGACTTGTATTGTAATACTTTCCCAAGCCCCAATTTCATAATTAATTGCGCATTCATGAATTATTAACATTTTAGTGAAAATAATTTGTTTTGTGGTTCTCTTGTAAAATTTAAATTATTGCAGTTGTGTCATTGTTCTACCGTGGTGGCGATATACATATAAGTTACAAGATATTGTAAACGTTTAACATCTGTTGGTCGGAAAACCCTAAATCATGTTTTTAAACAATTGATTAAGATGTCGCACTCGTCAATTTGTTTTATTTGGCAAGGTTCGCGTCCAAAAACTTAAATACATTCAATAAAAGACTGCGAATCTCAACTTTCTGCGTCGCAACGCTCACAACAGATTTAGGCTTCACAACATACAGTGTACTGACAGGTGGAAAATATCGTTTATTTTTTAATACAAAAAAGAAATACGGTTATTGTATACACATATTTTACATTATATAAAAATTACTAATGTGTCGTAATGCAAAACATGAGTGTCTAAAAAAAAGTTTATTATATATTGTATTATTAGTGTCTAACAGAACAAAATTATAACTCTTTTAATACATGTTATTTTAAATAATTCAATAGTATATAAATTGTTTTTATAAAATACTTTTTAAACTTAGAATCAAACTCGAAATATATATTTGGCTTCTTTGGGCGTCTCGTCGAATAGTAGTTAAAGCCTAATAGTCATCCATTATGTTGTATTGTATACAACTTTGTGTGTATATTTTTAGTTTGGTAACAACAGCTTATTATTGAAATAAACCCTACAAAGTTTTGAAACTCGATATTTATATATTAGAAGAGACGAACAATTATGAACGGCACTTAGTGTATCTATTACGGCCAAGAATAATACATATAAATATAATGTATATACACAATATATAATAAGCATTCTGAGTCAAACCACGCGGTCATCGGCCCGACCTCCTAAATTTTTTTCGAAATTTGTTTTATAAACTTCATTTAATGGTCTAATATAAGACCTTCATTTTTAAAAAAATGTTATCACTCATTTTTACCCTTAAAATAGAGAGTTCTTAAGTTATTTTTCACGAAAAACAGATTTTGACCGGTTTTAAAATTCTGTATAATTCTGTAACAGCTGTAAGATAAATTAGATTTGATATAGTTTGACTTAAATATTTAAAAATCCTAAAAATTGTTAATATTTTATATTTTGTGCACGTGTATCTAGTTTTATAAACTGATAGACGTTATGAATATCATTTGTCATTACAATAGTCAATATGGTAAATACGTATTATGTATATATAATATATTGCGTGTATATATATATTGCATGATTGTTATTAGACTACAATTTTAATTGCCTTCGAATTATACAGGAACAGAATTTATAGCGGCGGTGCAACCAACGGTTTCGGTCGGTTGAAAGCATCGCTTGTCAGTTAACGTCATCTACACATACAAATTAACCGCTTAGATCACATCTGCTTTGTATGACATCATTATTCATGATCAGAGCTCAAAAAGGGTGTCGTTTAAGTAGAGGTAATTTTGCGAAAACTGTTAACATTTTTTATTTTTTTGAGGATGAATTAAAGTTATTAAAATTGTATAATTGTTTTTATGACTTATACAAAATATAATCAAGATAACAATGGTCAGTTGCGGTACATGCAATTCAAATTTTGATAAAATGATTTTAGCTTCGATCATTATTGCTTATTACAATCATTAATAATCATAAATTATATAATAATAATATTATTTATAATCAATGTTAGAAGTTTTGAGATATTATATCCTTTTAAAGTAGTCTGTTTGTTTGACTTTTTAGACCAAAAAGCCCGACAATATTTTGACTACTTAGAATATTCCAAGTTCAATTCTGTAAAGATATACGAGCTTTTTGGCTCCTTTACTAGGTGTGTTGAAAACAAATTTTATAATTTTTTATGAGAAAAAAATGTTCAAATCTAATTTTTTTAATTACAAAATGTTGATTTTTTTAAAATGAAAATAGGTTTCCATCATAACCCAGTTAAACCAAGGCTAACAAATTATTACTTTTTACAAAATTCAATTCGGACAAGCCAAAATTTTACAATTTTGTCACAGCAGAAGTATTTTTTTAACACCAAAATGACTTTTACTCATAAAAAATTTTGTACTAGTTAAAAAACATACCTCGGGCCTTATACAAATTGACCTGAAAACAAATTGGCATGGTCGAAATTGATTGAAACAATTTTTTTTCTTAAATATTACATACTTAATTACGTATTAACTTCTTAAAAATGCTGGCATTCAATCCCCTTAAATCGTAATAGAAAATGATTAATTTTATTTACTAGGTACGTAAGATTAACTGATCAATAAAAATGTAATTGCCAAAAAA